TAACTGTTAAATTATTATTGTTCTAAACTATAAATTATTGTGCAGTTCACATTATTATTGTCACGAACTCCCTTGGTTTATTATTATAATAATTTATGATATAATAAACCAAAACCTAAAAAATGGAGTGTGATTTAAAAAAAAATCAACATTGAATATTCATATTAAAATACAAAATTATTTTGTTCAGACTCCTGAAAAAGCTACTTGGTCATATGGATAATAAAATTTAAAAACATAGTTACGTCATCTCATGTTGCTACAGTACATTAGTACAATAAAAGAAAATGATCGAGATAAATACTAAGAACAGTATTAGAGAAAAAATCACATGTTAAAAAGAAAAAAAATTAAAAAGTTGAAGAAGATTTCATGGGGAGACTATAATTTATGGACAACCTTTGAACGATACTAGAGTTACCTTGAGAGTGCCCATCTAATAATTAGAAATAAATGAGGATTATAAAACAGTTTAATGAATAAGGATTATGATTTAAATTTGATGGTTAGGAATTAGATTTAGAGTTTTCATCATGAACTGACATCAACTATAATGCCAAAACGCTATTTAGCCAAATAAATGAATGAATGTCACGCCAAAATCCGAGACCTGTTATCTTATACCTGATTGGTTCATCCATAAATTATAGTCTCGCCGAATTTATGATTCTGGAACTAAGAGAAGATAATAAGTAAATGTACCAGTGTAGCAGTAAATAATTTATGTTATATCAGCCAAAGTTTCAAACCATTCGTTAAAATATTCGCGCAAAACGTAATCTGATAATCCTCACTTAAATCTACTTGGTTCAATACAATTATTTATGACTTCATGAACTGATGCAATGTTTTGACTCGATACCTTATAGCTTTCTTTTAACCTACGCCAACATTAAATAATATTACTTATTGAGATGGATGGTTGATAAATACACGTAAATGAAATGTCATTTGAAAAACAGATAGTGATTTTCCTTACATATCAGGAAATTAGAGAGTCACAATTGATTGATCACTGGGTGGTGATCAATGTCATGCTTGTCTAGTCCTTATTAGTGCAGATCGAATGCTATCGATCATGTTGCAATATGGCCACCAGTCTAGGTGACTCAACACTGCGAGCACTATATATTGAAATTAGATGGTGGTTGGAGCTGGGTGACACGAGATCGAATCCGCCAGGAAACACTAGTTCCCTCAAGATTACAGGTATACCTTGCTGACGAGTGCCAAGTAGCACGAAACCCGAGTCCAGGGTTTCCTGTTGACTACCTCCAACCACTATCTAAATTAGAGAGTGCTGTGATAGAATGAAAAAGAAAAGATTTCGTATACATATATATAAACAAAAGAATAAAGTGTCTCATAGGAAAACAATACCAGGTGTTTTACATAAACATAAACAACTACAGATGATTATTTCATAGAAAAAGTATGAACAGAAATGAATATGAAAGATAGGCATACATATATGCGCATGAAAAGATGTATATCCCATAAAGAAATCAGAAATCAATCGTTAGAAAAAGTAAACGAGATTTATAACACTTTGTTTTAGAAGTCATTCAAATAACAGATACATATGTATATAATGAGACAAACAATTCTATAGTGCTAATAGTGTTACATGTAAAATGAACTGTTTTATTTCAAGCACTAGGTTTAAGGATAACATAAACTATTTACTTGGTAACTTACTAAGCAATATTTTCATTTAAAAAAGGACTGTATTGATTGTTCGAGAAAACGGTCAATTTTAATGATCAAATAAAGAATTTTAATGATTGATAAACAATTACAAGTCCTGTTTGATGTCATAGTAATAATACAAATATGTACAATCTGAGTTGTGGGATAATGGAAGGAATAAAAATGAAGTACTTAGTCATTTCAATCGGACGGTATACTACTATATGTTGGTAATGTAAGTTTGCGGTTGGAGATAGTCGATAGGACGATCTGCTTGGCCTAGGTTTAGTGTTGACACTCGTCAACAAGGTGTATCAGTAGTCTTGATAGGACTGGTACTGCCTGGTGGATTCGATTCCGTGTCACGCAGCTTCAGAGTCAGAGACGTTACCACTGAACTATCAGGACCGTGAGTGAATTCTTGTAGGAATAAGATGTATTTATAAATGATTGATCACTGGGTAGTGACCAGTGTCATGTGTGTTAGGTCCTTCTCGATAATAATTTTTGAGAATTTCAAAATTGTATAAATATGATAATATATTCCTTAATAATGGTTACGCTTGAGAAGTTAACAACCAAATATTATGTCATTTGAACTAAATAATATAAGTGATGTCAGATTAGAAATTGACATTACACATCTTATGCAACTATAGAATTATGAATAATTGACTTCTTCAATAAAAAAAACCTTGTTGGTAAGAAATATTCATGTGATGACAGATTTGTTTGTCAATAACCGAGCATACTACTTTGGTGTGTGCTGCATATATTGACGTAAGTAGTATATGACGTCAGTCAGGAACAAAATGTCTGGCAGCAGAGAGACAAGAGGATCAAACAGTAAAGAATGGAAACAGAATGCAATTCATATGAAAATGCAAGAACAATGAAGCCTGAGTCATTTTAAGACAATTGATGGACATTATGCAAATTAAGCATTTACTATATCATTCTCAGATTTTATTGAGATGCTCGGTAGTTTTGTGCTTAAACACATTCGATTGTCCCCCGATCGTGTTCTTGTTCACTACACTACATGGAATGCAATTAATTGGTAACAAAAAATTGAACTTTTCAAGCTGATATCGGTCAAATTTTTATAAAAAAAGAACAATTTTGATTAAGTATGCTAGTGATGATTTTTCTTTCGAAATGCGTGGTAACCGAATTTCAGATAAAGAACAAATGTTAGGATGCAATCCAAATCACGAGATCATGGTTCGAATCAGTATGATATTTATCCAGTTGAATATTAGTTTTGTTTACAAGGTGATATATTGGTTAACATAAAACTTTATTTAAAAATGACATTTTTTCAGTTTAATATTCTATGTATTAATTCAATGTGAATTTCATTTTGGTATTTACCGTTAGTTGTGACATTCGGTAATTAATCATTTAATGTCAGTAAAATTGATGTATAAATGAGAATGTTTGCTTAAAATCGTATATTCGAAAGGTCAATTGTCAGTTTTTGTCTTTTTATTTTAGTGTCATGTTAATCACTATTTTACATTTTCCAAGTAAGAGTTTTACACAGCGACATGAAATGTGAAAGAAGGCAATAAGCAGATTGAATCTATATTTATATTGAGAAGTTACAATGCGTTTACAATATACATATATACAAAGCCTTTAATCATACATTTGCATGTTTTGGTGTGTTCTGCAATCTGAACAATTTAAACATTTGGTCTCCGAATATTCTGCCAACGCCATGCCGAAACTGTTCATTCTTTCCAATAACTTCAAGGCCACGTTTTACAACATACTACTTACAAGCAATGTTGTGAGTAGTGTCTGTTGTATCCGAAAAATATTAAATTATGGGTATCTTGTAGGAACTATTATATATTCTTATTGTAAAACTATTAGGTAACTAGATTATATGTATATTTATATTTCTCTTATTATAAGATTTTATTTGACCTATTGGCTATCATTATACGATTTACTAATCATAAGTTATCCTCAATCTATCTCACACTCACAGCCAATTTTGACTTGATCTTGTATAGTCGTTATTTTCTATTTTATAGTATGATGCGGCCTGACTTGCTTGTATAGAAATAGCGTACGTCTGAAATATATGATACACACAGAGGAATCTGAAATTTGTGTTCTGGATTCAGCGGACAGGGCAAGGCAAGAAGAACGAATAAAGACTCAGAGATTGACTCTAGGCTGTTCATACTGGTTAACGTATCGTTGGTTTGGTACATTTAAAAGGACATATAAGTCAGTATTGTAATTGACAATCTAATCACAGGATAATAAACAAGTCCATTGAGAACATAACAGCATCCACTACATAATAAAAAATCTCCTCAGCTCAAACAAGCAATATAGTACCTCGCGTCTGACACTAAATAGCCACAATTCATGTCTATATATAGGAAAGAAATTAATAACATGAGAGCATAGAATGAGAACTAATGCCGGAAGGCATACATTTCATACATTTTTCAAACTATCTTTACTAATGATGAAGAAAGTTAGGTTTAAGTTTTCGTTATTTAATCAGGCGAATCCAAACTTTAAACAACAAATACTATACAATGAGAAGATAAACTAAAATGTTCACTCGTTATGAGCACTAGGTATTACTTTTTCAATTGTTATTCAAACATACTGATATATATATATGGTGGATCTGATGCAGATGTGAAAGTGCGGATCGGTAAAGCAAGAGCAGCATATTTACAACTGAAGAACATCTGGAACTCAAAGCAACTGTCAACCAACACCAAGGTCAGGATTTTCAATACAAATGTCAAAACAGTTCTACTATATGAGGCGGAAACCAGGAGAACTACGAAAGCCATCATCCAGAAGATACATGTGTTTATTAACCGTTGTCTACGCAAAATACTTCGGATCCGTTGGCCGGATACTATTAGCAACAACCAACCGTGGGAAAGAACAAATCAGATCCCAGAGGAGGAAGAAATTAGGAAGAAGCGATGGAAAATGGTTAGGACACTCATTGAGGGAAGCACAGGACAAGCCCTCACGTGGAATCCTCAAGGTCAAAGGAAAAGAGGAAGACCAAAGAACACATTATGCCAGGAAATGGAGATATACACCAGAAAAATGAACAAGAATTGGATGGAACTAGGGAAGAAGGCCTAGGACAGATTGGATTGGAAAATGCTAGTCGGCAGCCTATGCTCCAGTGGGAGTAACAGGCGTAAGTAAGTACGTATATATATATTGAAAGAGATTTACACAAGATTAACAGCACAAAAGGTATAATGTGACTTTATTAATAATAATAAATCATATAAAAAGATCTACAATTGATCTGTTTAGTATACCAACTGTGAATTAATATTTATCAATATTATTATTAATATTATTATTAATATCAATATTTTTGGAACACAATAATAAGGGAAGATGTAAACGAAAACTGAAATCCGTTTCTATACAAAAGAAGAGAGAAAAAAATGTCAAGGAATAAATAAATGCATAATTTAGTTAAAAATAAAATAGTGAAAATTATTCAACATACATGATTATTAGTGTAATTAAAGTTACATATTGCCAAAGTGATTTTTAAAAAAAACATTTCCATGTAAAGTTGTATTGTTCTAAGCCTAAAAGAATGATCCTAATCTTTAGACAAATGTATATATGAGCTCACATGTATACACGTATCTATTATACATACAAATGTTGAGTTATGTTTTTGAGTAGATATATTCGCCATCATCTTTTTGACTTTGCATCACTCATTGTCTGTTTGCATAAAAGAATGTCGGAAATCGATTCTTTCAACTTTATTTGTATTTGGTTTTATATTATTTCTGTCAACCGAACGATGTTAGTTTACGTAAGATATGCGAAATCAAGCTGAGAATTTATATTCATGTTTCTTTTCTCATCAGTTCCTTCATCATTTATAATAGAGTGAGGCAATAGACCTTTAGGGTGCAAGTAAACTAGTATTGATCACCTTTCTCAGATAAATTTGCCAAGTAAAAACACCATACAAAAAGTGCAACTTAATAGTTAACCAAAATGAAAATTGACACTAATAATGGACGACTAATTCTAATGAGATAATGAAAATAAATTTCATGTTCCTAACTCTCAAACGTTAGTTTACCAATGATGCTCACTATAAGTTAGAAAAGATTGATGAGTTTTACGGTTACTATTATTGATCGATCTTAGTTAAACAACTACTAAAAACCGGGAGAGACTGAGCAGCTGTTACTTTCTTGTTTGAAACTTGGAAAAAGTGCTCATCCATTCCCTTGCCTCGATAGGGTCTCATTTAAGACTTCCAAGTTACGTAGCAAGCAATAGGACTTTAGACCACTGATCCGGCATCTAATAGATTACATATCTAGCTTCAATCAGTTCACAATAATGCGCAGTCACTCGAATGGTGGGTAACTGCCTCGTATTCAATATAGCTAAACCTTACTGGTCATTAGAACTCTAAGGATTACCTCTCAAAATCAGTCGAGAATTGATTAAAATTATACGTGTCAGCTCTGTAATTCAACAGTTAGGAGCTCGTCATGAAAGTTTTGAATTCAATCAGCAGAGGAGTCGTAGATTTGCAATGTTAAGAAGTTTCATACAAGAATGAAACAGATATCCAGTACATCTTGGTTTCAAAGGTGGTTTGACTAAAATTATTCCGTAGTTTAAACCATATAATAATATTCAACAATTAAAATCTAATTGCCAGTTGGATCTTATTAGTTAGCGACTAAATGAATGAACAAGAAGTCAAAAAGTTATTGATTCCAGTTAATTAGAACTAAAAATTAAAATTTTTAACATAATCATACTAGTAGTATGCAATAACATAGAAACAAATTAATTTATTTACACTTATTTACAATTAATGAATTCAAATGTTTATTAAAAAGAACAAAATTTTCAAATGTAAAAGTATTATTATTACCTAACTGAAAATCTACTACTTAAAACAAAACATTCACTTAATAATATTAGTTTAGTACATAGAAATTACACTGAATTACTTTACAAGTAGTTTCTCAAGAACCTGGAAAAAAAACTTGCCACAATCTATTCATGAAAATGAAACTCATTACTATCATTTGTACAATAAATATATAAGTCATATTAAATGCTTCTTTGAAAATTCTAACGAAAGCGATTATATATCATTCCATTAAGAACTTTAAATGTTTGCTCACTGTCAGTATTGAGTATAATCATTAAATTTTACATCATAGAGACATTATATCAGTTGACGCCTACACTATTCCTGATGAATCTCAAACCTTATTCTATTTGTCACTGTAAGAATGTACACAGTTTATTAGTTTAAATAAAATTTAAACAAGTAGACCATGAAACAATCGTCTAAATATATTGTGATATACTTATCATAGTAATTTTTGTTGTTTCTTGATCTGTGTTATTTTTTTCTGTAGTTGTATTTGAACATAATTACCCTGTAACGAGATAGAAATTCCTCTTTGCAACAAGTTTCACTTTGAAGCATGAATTAACAGTCCATCTACTAAGAAAACATTGGTTCTCAACAACTGTATACTATGAAACATCTATCATTCCAACATATTCATGATGTTGTAACTATCAATATCATAGTGTGCTTATATTTTTGTTATTATTGCACACTAGAGATAACTTTGTTTTCACAAGACTGATGACTATTACAATGTTTTGTTGTGATAAAAATGCTGTGCTATAAAATGTTACAACCTATAGTTAAGTATTTAACATGGATAATATACTTCACGTGAATAAAATCTTTGTGCAAAAATGTTTAACTTAAACTATGCATCAATCATATCTTTTGAAATCTTTTGCCATTTTCTAATATGTTACATTCCTATTTTCATCAATATGTCTTTAAAGTGGTTTGCATTGTGTAATTGTTTTCAGAATATAATTAAAATGATTTGATGATACATAAAAAAGACATCTTTACAGGTAATACCATTGTTAACATAAATTTCTTCAATACAATATTTCTTGTATAAGTTTAGCATGATATTAGTCCAATGTGATATTTAGTGTTCATTTGTATAGTTCAAGATGAAAGATTCATTTATATTAAAACTATTTCAGTCATCTATGACATTTTTTGATCTAATCATCAGTAAAATCTGTACATAAGTAAAAATATTTGGTTAGTAAGTATTTATCGTCAGGTATTTGAAGGGAGAATAAAATTTACATCTGAAATCCATCTTTGATTGCTTCATAACATGGTGCAAACCTCTGTTGTTTCCTAATTCAAGAACCATTTTCCATGGTTACACGAACTTACAGTAACATCAGCATAACAAAAGGAATAAACCAAAAACATAAAAAGTGGGATTGATAAACATCTAGATTAGATAATAAAGTTTGAAGTGAGAAAATGAGATCATAGAATGAAAGATATGAAATGATACATAACATCAAGTGTGCTCCCCCATGGAATCAAATCACTCAGACTAATAACGACATTACAAACCTGATTTATAGAATTCGATTAGCACTGCAGATGAGGTCAGTCAGTCAGCTACAACGTAGGACCAGGCACATATATGCATCGGTCCAAGTTGCAACATCTCATTAGCACAACAAGATGAACATCAAATTTATAGAAGTAGTGAATTCAATGGTGGTAATACATAAAAAAGATTGCGTATAAAGATATAATAGAAGAAAAAATTACTTCATATAAAAGTATAAAGAAATTTTAATCTCACGGTTTAAGGGAAGACAAAGAGTGTATACACCGATGCCATTGTGATCGATTCTGAGCCATATCACAAAGAGTCTCTAATCATTGGTTACGATAGTCACGCGGAGGTAACATTGTTTCGCTGACTATTCCGTAAGTAAATTAAACATATTCAACACCATACAAACATTATAGTATACAAATAACTCTACTGATCATACTTATATAATATCAATTTGACAAACATTAAGGCGTCAGTTACTGTTATTACCTGAAGCAACGGTTGATACTGAAATCCAATACTGTAATTTTTCCTTCAAATCTTTATGATTTAATAAGTACGGATTAATTCCTCGTAGTAAACAAAGCTAATAAAAACAAAGATCAACATAAAAAAAACGTCAAATCATAGTCATAAATAAACCCTCCAAGAGAATAATTTTATACTGATTTCCAAGAGGACCAGACATTATCAATGCTCTTTACAGCATGAACAATGCACTCCAATTCTATGACGTAACCACAAAGGTACCAAGAGCCATAATTAGAGGATCATAATACATCATAAGATCCCTTAGAAAATGAATTTGTTGTTTGTATATCAAAATGTAGAAATAACTTTAATGGGCCAGGATTGATTAATAGTCGTCAATTATCTGCATCTTACTAAATCTTGATTGAAGAAAACATAATCCATAAAATTCCTTCGAAAATTAATACAGTCCATATAAAAATTACCCCAATAATCTGAGCATAATTTTGACTTGAAGTTAAGTACTAGAGATATTCTTCAGAATAAGGAGAAATTCATACGAACAAAATAGAAAATTCAGAAACACTTTATAGATAATGGGATTATTGGTAAAATAAAGGTTTCTCCAGTTTATTAACAATATCGAAATGTGATTTTCTAACCAAAGATGTTACACACCTAAGATAAAAAAGTTAATGTCTTTAAAAATAGAACAAAACAATTAGACCATTTGTCCATGAGTCAGTAAACTAAAGTACATAAGTAATACAAACAATGAATAACTATTGCATACAAAGCATAAGTTAGTAATCCATTGGATTCGAGTGTTAAATTCAAGCCGTGGTGAGAATTGATAAGCTTACAACTAAATAATAAGTCAGAAGTAGTATAAAACATTCATTCAGTCACTGCCTTCTCGATACAAAGGTACTGTTTACGAAATTGAAAGGATAAAATGTGAATCTCCAGTGTTTAAACCGGGTAGGTGGATATGAAGGATCGATGTACGGGAGTCTGAAAACCCCGATTCTAAACCAATGGTGCACATAGGCTCCAGGATCCTGAGGGAACAAATGATATGTGAACCTAATATTGATCAACGGCTACCATGGGACTGTATCTTCTAACGTTGCTCCACTACCTTATAGACTAGACCTCTAGGTCAAATGATCCAAATGTGGCCTAAAAAACCAGCTATTTCGTTTTCGGCTCCCGAGCAGCATTCCAGCTCACAAGCTAATCGAATGATGAAGTGTGGCACATGTATACTGCGTGCTTTTTTCTACCAATGTTTATGTGTTGAAATAAAAGAATAAAAACATTCATTCAGAATCATCCGACTCATGAAATAAAATTAATTAAGGAAAATGTAACTAACACGAAAAATTGCAAAGCAATCTGTTTGAATATCTGGGCTACCTGTTCCTGTCATCTAGATATTTCAACAAGTTATCTGTTTCCTTATTTGTTTTAACAGATCATTATGTCAATTAATTTCATAACCTATTCAGGTGCATTTATGAAATGTTTACGACCTTTCGCTGTACAAGTTACAGAAACGTACAATTGGAGACATCCTGATGTCTGACAATATCCAATTAAAAGAATAAATATTATTCAGATGTCGACTTCTCAAATGCTAACTATCGATCACTCAATATTTATCGAAGATATCGATCAAGAAATAAGAAATGGAAACTCGCTGAGATACTTCGTGCTGAGAATTTTACATTATACAGAAAATTATAATATTTAATAAAGCCAATAACAAATAAAAATAAGTAGTATTTAAAGAAACGATTAGGAAATGTTTCAAAAAATTATTCACAACAGAAAACTAACATAAAAAATAAATTGGCGTGTTTTTTTAATAAAATTCATTTCCAACTAAAGATTTACAAAGTACAATCTTGAAATTCACTAGGTATTGTTTTACTTGTATCTTCTCATTATTATTTAGAACTGCAATTGATCAGTCTCATCTTGGCATATGTGCATCCTGTACGGATTGGCCCGATATACCCTTAGGTCACAAGCATTTTAAACAAAGACGGATAGTGGCTAGCAATAGAATCCAGTACTCGCATTTCGTCCTATTTTGGACTCGTCAGCTGGATGTACGTGCATCCCAGAGTTGATGTTCAGATCCAGCTGACGAGTCCTAAATAAGACGGAACGCGCGTCCTGGATTCCACTGTTAGCCACTATTCACCTTTACTTACAATCTTCAAGACTTAAACTTGAGAAGTTTGTTTTCTGTTTTTTTTCTTCTTCAAGATATCAATGTTGATAGACATTTATCGACACAATGAAAAATCAGTCTGCTTTTTAAAGATTAATTTTTCAAATTAAAAGCTTAATGTATGAGGGGAGTATTTTTCGGCGGGAAAGTTTTTTTACAAGGTCCGAGCATTTTTGTATACGTTTATAAAGAACTAAGAGATAGTTAATAAAAACGATTGTTGTTTAAAGTGTTTTAGATTGATATGAACTAATAGGGAAAATGATTCTTTTCATACTTCAAGTATCAATTTTGCTTTAATGATCAAATAAAGTAGAATATCAAACTATAAAATTGTGTAATTGTATCTATTAATTGTTATCCACTTATAATAACCAATAATAAATTTGCCTAGTTATATATATTTCACTGGTTGAAATCATGAGTCGATTGAAGCTAGATCGGCTCAGTGGTCTAGTTGGTTAGGCGCCTGGAGCGAGACTGATAGGTCCTGCGTTCGAATCTTGCAGGGGGGACGGGATTATGGATGCGCACTGCTAAGGAGTCCCATACTAAGACGAAACGGCCGTCCAGTGTTTCCATGGTGGTCTAGCTTCAACTGACTCATGATTTCAACCTGTGAAATTTCTAAAATCTCCACAAAACCCATTCTGATTATATATATTTGTTTACTTTTCTAGAAGAAATAATAACATCTTTTAAATACTTACTTGTTTCAATTCAGCATTTTGTAAAATTGATAAAGAATTATCATTGAATAACTTATCTTTTTGCATACATTTATCTTCAACATATAAGAAATATGCATGTTTCTTTAGTACAAGTATACGAGATGTTTTTAAAATGGATTTTCTCTTGAATAAATCATTCCATAATAATGTATTCATTATCCAAATATATGAATATATAGAGAGACCGTGTAATCGACATAAAGCCGCCTAAAAAAAATAATAATCCTAATTAAACTGATATGAAAACAATTATTTATAAAGACACGTTGAATTAATAACATTGATAGGAAGCGATTAAGATAGAGGTCAACAGAGTAGGTTTATAAAAGACAGGATTGATATTTCTATATATATTGTATGTTAACTTTCAGTCACTAAAATACAAGTTTAAGTCCCTCCTTAGCTACTTCACTTTGGGCAACCTAATAGTATTATTACCCTTTAAAGTTATGGTGTGGCTCATAACTAAGTAATTAGTGAATGATTAAGCGTTTTTATAGGGCTATATTTTTGTCAATCATCTAGTGTTTATAGTTATAGATATCTCCTAATATCCTTTGAACTTAGTGAAATATAAGTCACTATGAAAGGAACAATTGTTATTTGCTAACTACTCGTAATGTTTAGTGGAGTCTGTTTGTTTTAAATCGTATCAATTTACCTTTATGTGTATAAATTCTTTTTTTTTTCAAAAGGAAACTTCTTAAGAAATTATTAGACAACCTGATATGAACTATATATAACAAGTTTAAATGAATTGTTAAAACGCAACAGGAAAAAATAGGTAAGCAAAAAAGACTCATCAACACTAGAAAAATACATAGTCTACAACAGTAAAAGCATAGTCCCTCATATATATATATATATCGAGAGGTAAGTATCAACTGAGTGGTGAAACTTTTACCCATTAGACACACCTTAAACTATTTATTTTTTTTATTGAATGCATTTGTTCTAAAACATTTTTAGCTAACAGTATCAGTATAAAAAGGTATGATTTAGATTGAGTTATAAACTTTTGAATGTAATTCAAAGTGCTTCCCTTTATATTGACAAATAAAATTAGTGATAAGTCAAAGAGAGCATTGAATAGCTGTTGTAACCTATACGGAAACTCACAAATAATATTACATATTGATCACATTCTTCATAATTACATGAAGGTTCATATAATTTTATGTTTTAAAATATTCGACGTGAACTTCAGCTTGGGTCAATTCAAAACATTTTTTTACAAACTCATGATGCAATACAATATTCACTTAGCATATATAAAGGAAATTAGTAAGATATTGAAATTACAATTAGTGTTTCTTCAGATTTACAAAACAAAGCGGATACCTGTTTTAATAGTCTCTGACTATATGACGTAAAACATGATACATTGAAATACGAATTCACTGATATGGTATTAGTGTAATGAGTACTGTTCATAAGATTGCTTATAATTAGTATATATAGGAATGTCGCATAGAAGTTACTACAGTCAATTGCAGAAGAGAAGAGTCCCAGTAGGTCACAAAACGCGGCGTATGCAGGATATGTTAGAGGATCGAAGAGAAGCGGTAGAAGACAGTCTAGGGTCAACTTGGATTGCAGAACACGCAAAAAACACAAATAAATGACTCAAGATTCAGTATACCTACTGTGTAAACATTCTGTTTTTCTGTTCCCTGGTGCAACCTCTTATATAGTGTCCGACCTCAATGCACTCAAAGCACCTACCATTCCTACCCACGTGACGAAAACATTTACGCTAACTGACAAAAGTCAACTCAATAATGTTCAAGAAATTCAGTCTTACAAAATAATTCTGAATAATAATAATTTGGTATTCAATCTAGCTGCAAGATATTTTAATAAATTAAGATTAAAATGTATTGATCGCTCCTTAGTAATTATTATTTTCTTAATGGTTCAATTCATGAGTCAATGTAAACTAGATCATCATAGAAAACCTGAAAGCATAGGATAGTCGTTTCGTCCTAGTATGGGACTCCTCAGTAATACATGTCCAACTATTAAAATTACTACAATCTCCACAAACCCCATTCTGATCAATAATTTTTAAAAAACATATTTCACCATGAAATGAATATACCTAACAACAGACTAAAATATAGTGAACAAATAAATAAATAATTTCATTGCAAATAAATAATTGAAAGGTTAAATGAATTTAACTATAATATTATCAAATAAATAAACTTATTGAGATTAGATGATGGTTGGAGGTAGTCGACAGGAAACCCTGTACCCGGGTTTCGTGCCACTTGGCACTCGCCAGCAAGGCGTATATGTAATCTTGAGGGAACTGGTGCAACCTGGCGGATTCGATTTCGTGTCACCCAGCTTCACAGTCAGAGACGTTACCACTGAGCTATCCGAGCAGCGACCGACCTCCTGTAGGACTGAGATGTAATCACAATTGATTGATCACTGGGTGGCGATCAATGTCATGCGTGTCTAGTCCTTATTAGTGCAGATCTAATGCTATCGATCAAGTTTCAATGCACCAGTTCCCTCAAGATTACAGGTACACCTCACTGACGAGTGCCAAGTGGTACGAAACCCGGGTCCAGGGTTTCCTGCCGACTACCTCCAACCATCATTTAAATCTTAATACATAGTGCCCGCAGTGTCGAGTCACGTAGACTGGTGGCCACATTGCAACATGATCGATAGCATTCGATCTGCATTAATAAGGACTAGACACGCATGACATTGATCGCCACCCAGTGATCAATCAATTGTGAAATAAACTTATGTCAGTACAACACAGGAAATCAAACTTATACACATAGATAATGATTTTAAAAAAAAGGTCTTTATTATGTTAACATGAATTAATTCATTTATAAAATAGGATTGTATAAGGTCAATATGATAAATTGTTGATCCCTAGGTTAATTACATGCTCTCAAGTGTTATTACCACATATAAATATCAACGAATATAGTTTTATGTTTATCAATGTTTTAATTTAAAAAAATTTTTTACTAATTATATTCAATGTTAATCTGTAAGACAGGATGTATAAAACGACTATTTAAAGTAATTACATTTATTTAACATACTTTGATAATTATTAAAGTTTATTCTGGTTACTATTAATATTAATATTGGTATTATTATTATTATTATTATTATTATTATTATTATTATTATTATTATTATTATTAATAGAGAATAATTTCATATCAACCACAATTGGACACAAAATAATTTTCACAGATTGAAATCATGAGTCAGTTGTAGCTAGACCACCATTGAAAACCTAGAAGCACTGGACGGCCGTTCCGTCCTAGTATGGGACTCCTCAGCAGTGCGCATCCACGACCCTGCACCACTCGGGACGCGAACCCAGGACCTATTGGCTTCGCGCGAGAGCACTTAACCATTAGACCACTGAGCCGGAATCCAACGGTGTTAATGTCTAACTTCAACCAATCCACGAAGTTGCGCTACCGTACACCATTGTCTTCAGTGAGTTCCTATCTCACAAAAGACCTGGTTGAACTCCACTGGTAACGACTTCTCACAAGAACTCCAGAAGGGCCTCCTGAAGTCAGTCACTAGTGAGCAGATGATTTCAATCTGTAAAAATTTCTAAAAATCTCCACAAAACACATTCTGATAACAAAATAATTTGCTTTAATTGTAGTGTGGACTACTTATATCCATATCAGTAGTATATAACGGTGGTCAAGCATAGAATGTATTTCAATAGAAGATCAATAAAGAAAGGACGAAAACAGAACGCAATTGATATGAAAAGGCATGAACAATGAAATCTGAGACAACGAATTGATATTTGCAAAATGAACAATGAAGTTTGAGATCATGGATTGATATTTTGCAAATTAACGATTTATTATATGGTTCTCAGATTTTATTGAGATAGTCTATAATTTCTTGTCAAATACATTCGATTATCCCTACTCCTCTTCTTGTTCACTACTTAGTGACTATATATGAAGTACAGTTTGCTGAAATTGGGTAATTTATTAAAATCATGCGACAACTTATCATAAATAAAGCAGTTTTATAGTTTATATTGAATAAAAACAATAATTAATTTTTTTTAAGGAATATGTAATATGATTGGTATATACATACATGTATATACTAGTTAGTGGACAAAATGTCGATTGGTAACTAAAGATAAACTTTATTGGCAATTCGATTAGGAACAGCTTCTTTAAATCACCTATTTATTTATTTATCTATTTATTTGTGAAAATCAATGTTTATAATTTTTGTCATCTTTAAATGAAAACCAGATATTCCACTTGATATGACGTGATGATATTTATTTATTTAATTATCATAAACATTGGTACAAAGAAGCACCAAATATAATATACGACATACTTCATCATTTGATTTGTGTGTGGGCTAGAATACTGTTCGGGAGCTGAAATGGGTAGTTTTTTTAAGTGGACAATTCCCCAATCTTTTGGTCTAGAGGTCTAATTCATAAGGCAGTAGAGAAACGTAAGGAGATGCAGTCCTATGGTAGCCGGTGATTAATAATAAGTTCATATATCATTTTTCCCCTCAGGATTCTAGAGTTCGTGTGCACCATTGATTTGGAATTGAGGTTTTTCAACTCCTCTAGGCGAATCCTCCATATCCATCAATCCGGCTAAAACACTGGACATTCGCATTTTATCCTTTCAATTTCGTAAACAACATCCTCGCCGCAAGATGGTAATGAGCAGGATTTCCCTGACATTGGTTGTATACTAGCTGATACAGTTATTTTAGATACCAGCTTGCTATGGGCGTTGATGCAATAAACAGCTGTCAAGTGAATGTCATTCCCTAAATGAATGCACTTTTTTGATACGCTTTCTAATCATATATACTACCATAAAATCCATTAATTATTAAACTCCTCATAAACAACACAAGAGATTAAAGATTAGGAAATAAATTATTAAATAAAACCTAAATACTATATTAAAACTAGAAATTTGATATTCTAAGACTAATTTTTGGAAATAGTTAAGTGATTCCCATTTATCTAAAATGTAAAAAGATGGTTGTATACCGTGAGAATAAAACTATTTCTAACCACTGATTTCACTAAGTTGTTTTATTTTTAAAAAGAAGCTTTAACTTTAAACATACATATTTACAAAGTAACAAAAATAAAATACAACTTTATAGGTGTTGTAGTGAACAAAACACGGGTGGGGAATAATCGAATGTATCTAACACAAAATTACAGGACTTGTTAATAAAATCGAACAATCATAAAGTAAATGCTTAATTTGCAAAATGTCCATCAATTGTCTCAAAATGGCTCAGACTTCATTGTTCTTGCATTTTCATTCTTTACTGTTCGATCCTCTTGTCTCTGCTGCCAGACCTTCTGTTCAAGACTAACATCATATACTACTTATTTCTATAAGTAGCACACAACACACTATCAGTACCAAGGTTGGACTAGATAGTTTCAAATAAATTAAGCATTGGGGAGAAATTAAACAATAAATTCTTTTCATATCGTAATAAATGGAAAAATCGTATTTCTGACGTTTCGTGACATAATTTCAGTTATTTCTTCAGAGTATATATCAGAACATTGATAATGAATTAGACATCAGAAAAATTATTATATAGATAATTAGGAAAAAATATACCGAAAAAAGCAATTGGTTTAAACCATTGTACTTATTTAAATTTATCATTTTAAAACATAAGATTACTGACTTGGTGTCGTTTTACTTGTATCTTCGCATTGTTAATTGGGACTGCTATTGACCAGTTTCATGTTGGCATATGTGCATCCTGTGTGGATTGTCTCGATATAGCCCTAAGTCACAATCCTTCTAAGCAAAGATGGATAGTGGCTAGCAGTGGAATCCAGTACGCACATTTCCTCCTATTTGGGACTCGTCGGTCACTTTGGAACCCGAACCTAGTACCGTAATCCTAGTACCTGGGACTCAGTAGCTAAATGGATAACGTGGTGGCGTTTGAAGCAAACGGTACTGCGTTCGAGTCCAAGAGTGAACATCAACTCTGGCATGCAGGTACACCAAGCTGACGAGTCCCAAATAGGAAGAAATGTACGTCCTGGATTCCACTGCTAGCCACTGTCCATCTCTGCACAAGTGCGATTATTGTTTCAAAAATATTAGTGAGAAACGATGGGTTTATTTATTATTTTTACTTAAACACATAAACATTGGTACAAAAAGACACGCAATATATGTGCGCCACATAAATCATTAAATTTGTGTGAGAGCTAGAAATCTGCTCGTGTGCCCAAACCAAAGCAGGTGGTTCTATTAGGGGGCCACACTTGGAGACTTTGATCTAAAGGTTTGATCCACAAGACAGTGGAGCAACGTAAGGAGATGCAGTCCCATGGTAACCGGTGGTCAACAATAGGTTCTCACATCATTTGTTCCCTTAGGATCCTGGAGCCCATGTTCACGATTGGCTTGGAATTAGGGTTTTTCAACTCCAGTACATCGATCCTTCATATCCACCAACCCGGTTAAAGTACCGGAAATTTGCTTTTCGTCTTCTCAATTTCGTAAACAACACCCCTACCACGAGAAGATAGTGAGTAGGACTTCCTTGTCAGTGGCTGTATACACGTGGCCATGTTAGAGCATTTTGAGAGGGGTGCAGACTCTTCTCACGCTCGGCCACACCAGGGCATTTGGAAGCTGATGATAGTTAAATCAGTAGCTGTTTCGAAAGTATCCTTATCTATTTTAGGCTCATTTACATAAACATAATGGGATCATAAGTTATCGAAACTCGTATCAATTTATTAAGTAGTTGAAAGGAACTTTTTTAATCCAAAGTTTACAATTTTACAGTAGTGAAATTAATCTTATAGGACTGTTAGTTATATAATTATTAATTTCAATAGTTAGACCACCATGGAAAATCTGGAAGCACTGGACGGTCGTTTCTTCCAAGTACGGGACTCCTCAGCAGTGCGCATCCACGATCCCGCCCTCCCCTCTCCGAGATTCGAACCTAGTATTTATCAGTCTCGCGCGCGAGCGCTTAACCACTAGACCACCGGCATACAATGATGTTAGTGTATAACTTCAACCAATCCACGAAACTGCGCCACCACCACCATTGCCTTCAGTGAGCTGATATCTCACAATAGATCTGATTGAACTCCACTGGTAACAGCTTCTCATTAGAAGTCCAAGAAATGCCTTTTGAATTCAGTCACTAGTGAGCAGATGATCATTATCAGAGGTTTTGTGGAGATTGACTAATGATTTTAACTAATGAAGTTACTAAAATCTCTACAAAACCCCTTCTGATATATTTATTACTTAATGAATTTGAATGATCATTTTGATTAATATAAATAAGAATGAAAATAATCTAAGAAATACAATGTAAAACACATATGAGCATGCTAATTAACTGAGGGTTTTTTTTCCACAATTATTATTTCAAGAATATTTTAGTAACATTCTATATATTCAGTTTTATTGATCGGTTCAAGTTGTATATACAATGGATAAAGATAGTTTATATTGTGTACGAGTATTAATTTCGTACCATCTATCAAAAAACAAAACAAATGATAATACATTTAATGAAATAAACTATTAGTGACTGAGAAACACCTGAACTATACTTTTGAGAATTATGTACACTTAAATTATCATAAAAATAATGGATTGTATGTAGTTATTTCAATATTGAAACACACTATTGTGATCTTTTGATGATGGTTATTAATTAGCAACAAATAATTACAGTCATGTTATATTTGCCTAAATTTTATTTACTTGTTAGATGATTGCAGATGGTTTTTGACCCAGATAGATTAGATGTAACATAACAGATTGTGAAGCAGAATGATACAACTTTGAAATTCATATGGAGCATTAGTTCTATGAAGATAATTAGATTCTGAGTTTCGTGTAGAAAATATTTCTAATCAACTAATATCTTAAAATAGTTCGTGAAATATCGAATAAATTAGATTAATAATGACACTGAGATATGATCGATAGAATTCATTTATCCTGACGTTAGTTACTATTTTGTAATCAATCAAACGCTCTCTCTGCTTATATATGGAGAATTCAAACAAGTAAAACAAATAAAAAACAGTATGGAAAAATAACAGCAGAATTAAATGTACTTCTTGTCATCCGACTACTGAATTTAGAGCAAATGGAGATTATTACATATAAATCATAGTATCTACATGGATAAACATTGATTAATGAAACGTTTTTATGTTGAGTTCAGTGTAAAAACTGTATAAATAAAGTTGTTATAAAGTAAGAGAAATATGTATGACTAGTCGATCAGTTCGCCAATATCTGGGACTCTGAAATAAACTACACGTTAGAATCGGGTATACAACAATAGAAAATTAGGAAACTTCGGAAGAATACTAGCTTTATTATAATAAATTGCGTAGTAATATGTATTCAGTACGAAACCTTGCACTTTTTTCATTATTTTAGAATTTATTACCGGTCATAATCCAAGTAGTATAATTTTCAATCACATTTTTTTCAACGATCATAGTTAAGAAACATCTAATGTCATATATAAAAGATATAACAGTGATGGTGCGAAAAATGGCAGCTATATACGTTTCGTTGGTAAGTATGACGTGTAGAGTGAAAAGGGATGGATCACTTGAAGTGAACAGTGATAGATACTCTAGAGGTAAACAGCCAGTTTAAATATGAAATAAAAAACAACAATAGTAATGATTACCGTAGAGAGTCTGTTAAGATTATTGACATTTTTTAAGTTTACACCAAGGATCTTAGTCTCAATCCCTGATGTGTAGTGGACGTATATTCTTGAACAGTAGAAATAGTTGTCCAAAACGTCCTGGTTTCCCATGGTTATTTAACTAAGATCAGTCCGTAATGAAAACTATAATAGTAAGCATATCTTTCTTACTAAATGAATGGTAACTGTATAAAAACAAACCACTGAACATTTTATTATTTTTGTTGTACCCCGATAAGCACAATGAATGGTAACTTTTTGGATCCATTTATGGTTTAATACTATGCGTATATTTTTTTGTATAATTGTTATGTAACTAAACTGTTCATATTCAGTTCCTTCTTATCATAAGCTTAATTTTGACGCATAAACTATTATTATACGTTTTACCATTCATGAGTTATTACCTGTCTATTAATTACCATCTCCCTCAGTCACAGCCACATTTGGCTAATTCTTGTACAAATGTTGTTTCATATTTTATGGTACGGTGTGGTCTCTCTGGTTGGTATATAAACTCAGTATGTTCGATATATACGATTCATATCGCAGAGGCTGATATTGCTGTTCTGGACTCAACTGGCTGGACTAGGCACGAAGCAAGGCCAGTAAGGACTCTAGACTGTTCTCATGGGTTTTATATGTCGTTGGTCCGGTCGATAATTCACTGCTCTCTAATTGGCAGTATCATCACGCATACATTAGCAGGGCACTCAGGTCATAAGTTATAACAACTTTTTCTAAAAATAGATAAAAGACTAAATAGCAGTTATTACAAAGCAGAAATTCATACAGGGTAGTAAAAATTGGAATTTTCAGAGATATGTTTTTTTAAAAAAACAATATTATTATTATCATCATAATCTTATTTTGAGTAAATACTATTGTCGCATAAAATAAAACAGAATAACTCACTAAATGACTTGTATCCAATTGTTCTAAAGATAATGGACCTTTGAAAGCAGGTATTAAATCACGAATTTGTTCGATTGAAATTGGTTCTAATATTGAAACCTTGAAAAAAACAAATATATATTTGAAAGGGTTTTGTGGATATTAATCAACATATGCTTAATAGTGACTAGCTTCAAAAGGTATTTGCTGGAGTTCTAGTGAGAAGCAGTGACCAGTGAAGTTCAACCAAGTCTGTTGTGAGATAGTAACTTACTGAAGACAATGATGGATGTGTCGCTCAATTTCGTGGATTAGTTGAAGTTAGACATTAACACCGTCGAATGCCGGCTCATTGGTCTAGTGGTTAAATGCTCACACGCGAAAACGGTAATTCGTGGGTTCGAATCTCGCAGGGGGCGAGGTCGTGGATGCGCACAGCTGAGGAGTTTCACAATAGGACGAAACGGTCATCCAGTGCTTCCAGGTTTTCCATGGTGGTCTAGCTTCAACTGACTCATGATCTTAACCATTGAAATATATATTTGTTTTTCAAAAGAAAAAGAATAATATCAGAAAAAAAATGCTCATAAATAGAAACAAATATAAACTAACGAAGAATATGAATAAAACTGACTCAGAATGGGAATCAAATTATTTAATATGCTCAGTCGTTGTTTGTTTTTGTTTTTTTAATAAACAACTATTCTGAGATATCTACTCAAACTAAAGTTAACGCACTCAGTTTTTATAGAAAATAGAACCTGGTAGATTTATATTAGTACCAAATAAATGATGAACACTAGTTTTTGTACTGATAGAGGATTAATTGTATTTTGTAAAATTTACAAAACCTTTAACGACCAATCTCATAACTTCAAACACATAGTTTTGTAGACATATATATCAAATGTCTTATACATTTTAAATCCTTGAAGTATAGCTAACAAATAGAATATCTGACTTCTTGACTGTATATTTCTTTCATAAGTTTATTGAATGAAATTAAGTTTTCCTTGAATATATATTTAGTATGACATAGAGTTTGTATTCGATAACAAAAAGAGTGAATAATATTCTTCTTTTTATCAGATGACCATTTCATAATGATATATCATAAGTAAATTGTTGCATTTAGTAAAAATGATAACTATGAATGGATAGAAACTATTTGATACTTTATCATTCCAATTTTAGACCAAACTCAGAACTTCAGATCGGCGAGACTCTAATTTAGGGACGACCTTTGAACGAATCTTAAATGACCTTGACAATTATTAGCCAATCAGGAGACAGTAACTATAAAGTGAAAATATATTGTAAGTATGTAATGAATTACAGTGGATATTCTTCTTTTACACGATTTAAAAACTTGTTAAGGTTTGATAAAGGTTCAGAGGTTCTGAATTCATAATGCATATGGTATAGAAACTCGTACATACAATTAGGGTTTAGGTTAGGGTTGTAGCATCTCAATAAACCTAACCCTAACCTTAACCCTAATCTTAAACCTAACCCTGGCCTCTAACCCTAAACCCTAACCCTATGGACGAGTTTCTATACTATATGCATCATGAATTCAGAACTTCTGAGCCTTTATCAAACCTTAACAAGTTTTTAAATCAGATAAAAGAAGAATATCTACTGTAATTCATTACTTTCTTGTAATATATTTTTACTTTATATTGTCTTTTGATTGGCTAATGATTGAAACTGCTCAAACGCTTCTGATTGGCTCGTCCCTAAATTAGAGTCTCGCCGTCCCATCTGTTGTAACCTCTCATTAATCACCTACTATCTAAAATTCGCTGTGAACCGATCGTATGTTAGCATCGCGTGTTGAATTTGGCTCCATGACCTTGAAATCGCTCAAACGCTTCTGATTGGCTCGTCCGTAAATTAGAGTCTCGCCCTTCAGATCTTATGTTCAATAGTTTATATATTTACTATATATTTCTCAGAACTGAACAATTTGTAATATGGTGTAGTGATAAATTTGTTATATGAAACAGTCTTAGTACATCATTAAAAGGCTTAGATTTCAATGATAAGAAAGCATATCAAACAAAAAATTACCTGTAGAATACATGTAAACTAAACATCAGCTTAACATGTTTTAAAACTAAAACAGAGATATTAACAGTAATGTCAAGAATCTAGTTAACACAACTCAACATTTTAACATATTGAGGAAAAATTAACTTATTTTTTTGCTCATTTAAGCTACATTTTTGAATTAATTAGCTAAACTGACCAAGAATGCATCATTAACTTTATTTGGAATAACTCCTATGTTTAACTGCTAATAAGCAATTTGTATTAAAAAATAATAATCAATCATTATATATTTCCTTTAGTAATTTGGATGCTACTTTACTTGGGACTCATATCAGTTGATCATGGTGAAATGACTGACAAGCAACTTTTGAATCCATATAAAATATTACTTTATTCTAATTTATGACCGGGATACATGGCCTTTGTACATTACCAGTCTTGCTTCGGTCTGGGTACCCGGACAGTATCACAGCCCACACATAAATCAAATGAAATTTTGTGTGGTGCATATGTATTTCGTGTCCTTTTGTATAAATATTTACGTGTTAAAAAAAAATAAGGTTACTACTATTTAATCATAGGCCCCTTTGAAGCATTGCTCGTGTATGTGATCAAGACTGCAGTGAAAAGAAGCATACTATGCAAAAATGTCGAATTGATTGGCGACACGATAAATCTTCATCTAATGAAGTGATTAAGGGATGAATTATGTATGCCAAATTACTGCCTACTGGTATGAGAAGGTTGGCAGAAAGTTTGGAGCAGTCAAACTAAATTGTGATATAAGTTTATAAAGTCATTAAATGCTAGTTTGTTACATAGGCAGGCAATGACCAGTCAGTTAGGGTCTAGGCTATCATTGTTACTAATAGTTGGAGATGTTGGATGACATCTTTCGGAATCGGTTTGGATGACATAATCTCAAGATAATTATACTGTTATTCCATGTATTCATTCTTTGTTTTTGAATTATGTCGTCTACATCTAATCTTTCTTACTGCTACTGTTATATATAGATCGTTTACAACTAACTAAAAACTAAACTATAAAATGTGAATATATAACCCAATTTGAAGGAATCTAAGCTTTCACTATACAAAACAAAACATAACTAAATACACCAAATAAAATCCATTAGTTAAATTGTGAAAATACAAATATCAGTCCGTTCAGTTGGATTCATTCTTTCATTCAGTTAGTTAAATCATAATTTTTTTGTAAAAATAAATAAATAAGGAAACAATATACGTGAGTTTCAGACAAAACTCATCAATTTAAATCAAGGTGAAAAGGTATTCAACTACATAGTCTCAAAGTTTTTTTATTATTTATACATAACTTATTCTTATGTAATTTAGTCAATGAATACAATCAATTATTAATGCATGATAAATAATGTATTAAATTACATAATTAGAAAGGTTTATAGTAATTTCAATGATTGAGATTATGAGTCAATTGAAGATAGACCACCATGGAAAACCTGGTCTAGAGATTAAGCGCTTGCGTGCGAGACTGATAGATCTTAGGTTCGAATCTCGTGTGGCGAGATCGTAGATGCACACTGTTTAGGAGTTTTATACTAGGACGAAACGGTCATCCAGTGCTTCTAGGTTCTCCATGATAGTCTAGCTTCATTTGACTCATGATCTCAACTATTGAAATTACATTTAGAAAAAAACTTTAGATTCTGATAGAGAGAAAAAAATATTTCATGAAAAGATCTAGAACAGTTATCAACTGAAAAACTAAAATATTTACTTTGTACTCTAAATATAAATAATTGAGGAATCGGGTTGACACCATTTATGATAACAATGATTAGATACAATTTCTCGAACAATTTCATGTGTCATACTTAAGCTAATTTCATTGTGACTGATGGCAATAAAAGGCAAATATGAAACGAACTGGAAGAATTTAGTTCAGGCATTCAAATGTAAGCAGATATTTATTTATTTATTTCAACATATAAACATTGGTTTAAGTGGGCACCAAATATATATGCTCCACACAATAAAAATGAGGTTGTGAAAAGATAGAGAAAGGATAGTGAGTATAATAAAAAAGAACAAAAAATGAGTAGAAATTAGTGTATAAGCGTGAAGTAATAATAAAATATAATAATAGTTATAATAATGATAATAATGGGAGAATCATTTCAATTAAAATGCAACCAGAAAAGAAGTTACCTCCATTTTTATGACAAAAAATAGAAAGCTACAGCGGGATCGCCACTGGTTTGTATTCTAAGCCATATCTCATAGTCTCAAGCCAGCGTGTTGCACTGTCGAGAGGACCCCAAAGGGAATGTCGTAAAGAACCAGCAGAAGCCAGTCCTGTACAGTTTCCTGTCATACCACTACACCGTGTCATACACTGACTACCTCTCCGCTTTTTCCAAACAGTCCCACCGTCGGCACACCGTGAAATTCGCCGGGATAACACTTGTAATACATATCCAAGACATCGAAGTCAGTGTTCCAAAACAGTGGTACTAATTGGATTATCGTCACTGTGTCCGAACCTACGCATAATTAACATGGTGTTTCCACTAGATGTCGGCAATCCTTCTGAGACGATGATGATCAAACACAGAATTACCTAACGCCCACAACTCGGAAAACCCAGGTTTCATAAGCCTGGAGCGAAATTGCTCCCACCGACAGACTATAGATTCGACCTTTTACAGCCAGACGAACATCAAGAAGGCACCAAAGATGGAGCCAATCGGTTTATCATACCAATCTAAGACACAACTGTAACCTCGTTTAAGTGGTTGTATTTCGAGTGTGTGTTGCGTTATAATACGGTGAAAATAATGACAACAAACTTCCAACAATATGTTCTAGACCAGTAAAAATCTTACACAAGTATAAATCATCTGTTTACCGGACACGGAATTTGTAGGAAAAAAAAGATTTGTCTATAGTGCTCTTTATCTTTTAGAAGAAAATGAGTATATACACAACAATTTTTTTATTATCTACGAGGAACAATACAGTAGACAAAATGATAATCCTATTCGTCTCAGTCTGACGAAAACACCAAACGCTGTAACATGTTTTCGCTTAATTTAATCGATTTGGTTAGGCGTTGAGCTGCGAAAATGTTAGAATCTCAAAGAGCCAATATATGAAAGACTTGTGAATTCTTGAAGCTTGACAACAAACAGCTTATTTAGCAACCAATAGAATGTGAGAATAAGCCCAATCTATCAGCCTTCTAGAAAATGACAGATAACTGCAAGATAAGAGATATCAAAATAGATATATGCAGTGAGAGTACAATTATTGTTAACAAACAAAATCTCATATCAATGGAATAGGCTGTTAAAGACGTTTGAAAAATCCTAGCAGCTCACTTCCTTTATGCTAATCATATTGTTCAGAAAGACAATGGAAACGTAATGAATAAATATTCCATTTTACACAATGCAACATTATTCAATTAGTATCATGTCTTAGATCGATGATGTGTTGATGTTCAACTATTATATATTGAAGTAGTTTTTCACAAAAGATGTGAAATATAACACCATAGTATATTGATTTATGTAATTATATTTTATATTACATCAAGGAGACAGTTATCTGCGAATTAACGAACTCAAGCTTAAAGCATTTGCAAGCGATGTTCTTTATTCCAGCTCTGATTACGAGATATCATGTATATATTCGTTGAATAACGGTACACTAAGATAAGTTATAAGTCGTTGCATAGACACCTATAAGATATTATTGATAGTCCGTCACTTGATAAAGGTTATCAGTCTACAAGTCACAATCTTATCAAACTTCACAGTTACCATATAGTAAAAAAACGATATCTAAATTAATCCTAGTTGAGTAAATGTTCACGAGTATAAACACGCATAATGAGTTGATATGATTACAATAAACACATGCACACACATACACATAAAATATTCCCAGTTAATTTTTAGAGTAGAATGTATTAACTGAGAAGATAAGCTATGCCGAGGAAATTAAGCTAAAATTTACTCAAACAGTTGAATTTATGAGTCGACTTAAGCTATACCACCATAAAAAACCTGGAAGCACTGGACGACCGTTTCGTCCTAGCATGTGACTCCTCAGTAGTGCGCATCTGCGATCCCGCACGCGGGCTTCGAACCTATGACCTTCGGTCTCGCGTGCAAATTTAATCAGTCAGTTTATTCAATCAAATAATATTTGTTACTATAACAAAATTAGCATTCCGTTTGCTGTTCTTGTTATGCTGTTACAGTTAACATTATTCAAAAACCTGAAAATGAAATATCTTAGAAGTAATTAGCTTCATAAGTGAAAATACATAAAATACGATATATGATGAGTAACCACATGGTTTGCAATAAAAAAAACACAAACCGAGAATTGTAAGCAGATTTCAAAAGGATGAATAGCAACTGGGAAGGATTGTTCAAGATAGAGTTAGATGAAGAATGTTGGTGGACGACATATGCTCCTCTATGAGAGGTAACAGGCGTGAGTAGATAAGTAAGTAATTAATCCTATGGTACAAATAATGTTCAATCGATGACTTCATGTAGTTTTGAATGTTTCAGATAAACTGTAAACGTTAACATAAATCTCAACGGATTATGACTTATAATATATGTTTTTTAATTCTCCTTTGGTTTAACTAACAAAAAATTGACTTAAAATAGAGTTCATGAATATCCATTTGATAATTAAACAAACCTGTGCCGATTGCCTCAATATATCCAGGATGACACAAGTTGCTAAAGAAAAGATAGAATGTAGCTAGTAGTGAAATTCAGGACACGCGTTCAGTCCTATATGAGGCTCTCCAATTGAATGGACCTTCATACCAGAGTTGATGTACACTCCATGACTCAAACCCATTACCATTCGCTTCAAACCACATCACGTTATTCACTAAGTTACCGAGTTTAAATAGTCACTGGATCCCACTCTGCTAGCCACATTCCATATATTCCACATCAATTTAGTAACTAAGTTACACTAATTAGATGAACATTTTCCTTATTGGGATTAAACATGCATCTGTTGGTTTTTGTTTGCGTCCACATAAACTCAAGAAAAACCGAAACTATTTTATCAACGAAAAACGAACCGACAACGAGAGTACAATTTCACACTAACTAGCCCGTTGACACAGAGAGATTTAAAGATGAAAGTTTCAAAACATCTATATAAATATATTTGCACTGAGATGGTGGTTGAAGGTAGTCAACCACCATATGATCTATAAAAAATATTTAGGATCCATCTGTGAATATAAAACAGTGAACTCAAAATCGAATCCCGTAAAGTGCTAATCGTAATCTGAATACATATAACCTTAACAAAGTATGGTATACATTCTAATTTTCGAAGGAGCATATGCATGGTTAATGTTCTAGATACGCTTAGATGATGAAAGTATACAAAGTACGAAAAACATTTGAGTCATATTTCCTACAAAAATGAATACTTAGACGAGGATTGACTAAGGTTGGAAATGTAACTCTTGAGCTCTCCATGAAACTTCACAGTCGCAAGTTCGATTATATTTAAAATCCCGGCTGCGTATTGATGACAAATATGGGACGACAATAGAGTAGTTGTTCAACGCTTCCTGGTTCTCAGTGATTTCACAACGGATGAGGATTATCTTCAAAACGAAGACTAAAAATGGTTTTTCATTTTGATATCATAAAAACATTGTTACAAACGTTACATGAATAAATCATTCACCAGTGTATATGTAAAAACAGATTTTTCTTTTAAAAAACTTAAAACAACACTCAAATGTTAAAGTTCATTAAAGAATTAACTTAAATCTATATACTTGAAACTACCAAACTAACCTGACTTAACGCACTAGCTAACTTTCTTAAAGACTTCAAAATAGGTTGAGAATAATTCATAGAACATGAGGACGAATAAATTATTGTCAAGAGCTTAGACTTTAATAAAGATTGAGTATTATAATCAAATCGATCTTTCAAACATTTTATATCGATAGATTTACATTGTTCTGGTGTCCAAAATGCTCGTGACAGAAAAATACGAGGAAAAGCAAAACTATAAAGAAAAAAAATTAGAGTGAGAGGGTACAAGTTAGTGAATGTCAAGTGTGTTATATCACAAATTATTAATCATTCATTTTAATCACAACAAAAAAGAAGAAACTACTGAAATAGTTTGCGAACGATTCCTACTGGTGCTTTGCACTATAAATGATTGCTTCCTTATAAAAAAAGTGTTCGATTCCAATCCATTGAACAAAATAAAATGGAGTAACTCTGGATTCACTACTAAAATCTATGTTATTTAACATAATTAAATTTTAGAAAAGTAACAGTTATTGTACTATCAAATGTCTGGTTAGCACGAGCATATTTTCTTTAAATAACTAAATAAAAAAGAGTCTGGACAGTTATTGTAAAGTTTTTGGACAAATAAATACACCTAAAAATGAATTTACTGAAAAATCCTAAATCTCCAACTTATACTTACATTTCTACTATTCAAATTTTTGTAAGATTTAAGGAATTAACGAATGAATTATAACAGTATTGAATGGGACTTTTCCTTGAACTAAACTCATTTCAGAAGCAAAAACTAAATGATCATTAATAAAATCGAAATTAGATAAATATCTTTTTGAAGTTATTTTTCATTGAAACTACAATTTCACACCTACTTTTAGAATCAAATAAATTGAAATGATTCATAGAAGAATCAGACATATTTCTATTTTAAAAATTATAAACTGTTAAGAATAAGGGTAGAAAGGAAAATATAAAACTTATATAGTTTTGGGACGAAACGCGCGTCCTGGATTCCACTGCTAGCCACTATCCATCTTTGCTTAAAAAGCTTGTGACTTAAGGCTATATCGAGGCAATCCACATAGGATGTACATATGCCAACATGAAACTGATCAGTTGTAGTCCTAAATAACAATGGGGAGATACAGGTAAAACAACACCAAGTAAATTTAAAATTCACCCCAGTGCACAAGCAGGTGGCTACCAGGACTCAGTAGCTTAGTGGATAACGCGATGGCGTTTGAAGTGAACGGTACCGGGTTCGAGTGCCGGAGTGAATATCAACTCTAGGATGCAGGTACGTCCAGCTGATGAGTTCCAAATAAGACGAGACGCGAGTCCTGAACTTCACTGCAAGCCACTATCCATTTTTGCTTAGAGAGCTTGTGACTTAAGGCTATATCGAGGCAATCCACCTAGGATGCACATATGCTAACATGAGACTGGTCAGTTGCAGTCCTGAATAACAATGGGAAGATACAAGTAAAACAACACCAAATGAACTTATATAGTTATTCTTGGTATAATTAATTTTTATTCATTAAACAAGTAATTCATGGTAATATTAGTTTATGTCAATTGTAAAGTTTCATATAATTCATTAACTATCATGATATATTTTGCCGCTAATAAATTACAGTTAATCAATTATTAAATTGTTATTCTACCTGATATCATGAATGTTTAATTACTTTTCCTATTAAGATTGATTCCTAGTGAGCTATGATCTTGCATTTTCCATGAATAATCAAGTGAATTTTCACATTAAAATATATATATATATATATATATATATATATATATATATATATATATATATATATATATATATATATATATATATAACGATAAGAAAAGTAGAGCGGAATCAAAGAATAGTATAAATAAGAGTAAATAATTCTTTACCATGAATATAATGTCAATTATTATTCTAAAATCTGGAATCACTTTAAGTCACTATATTATTATTGTATTTTTTTTATAGTCATTACTTACAAGATTGGTAAAATTAGTATTGTTCCTGGTAATGGAGCAAGAAGCATTACAGGCAAAATCTTCACCAAATCTTTAGGCACCTGTAACAAAAAGATCGAAATAAAGAGATTTATTCTACATACATTTTGATACTAATGAAAATGTTATTTAATCGATTACAATTGAAAATGATCATCTCCATTTTCACCACTACAAGGGTAAAAACAAGAAAGACTCAAAGTAATGTTCAGTTTATCATAGTTACAATAAAATAAAACCTATAGATTTAAAGGATATATTAAGCAAAAACACAGAATTTTATTCGTAAAAGTTTGTATTTTCCCGTTGTTGACGTTAAGGACTTCAATGACTCAGTTAGTATATTTATATATGCGTACTTGACGGATTGCCTCGTTACTGCTATATAGCCACAAATTTTTATTAATAGAAAGAAAAGCGTAACCCGAATTTCAATGAAGCTACCATACAATTGTAAGAAAACACAGAATTCACTAATCTCTAAGAAAAGTGAACATTATTAAGCCGATTGCATAGAATAAAGCTAGAAAATAAAACAAATTATACCTGACGTAGGACATACACCTGATGTCTACTTAGAGTCGGTAGGATTTCTAAGATTGATTGAGAACGACAAGTAATATCTATCCATAACTGACTGAGGTCACCCAAATCTATTAACGTCGAGTGGACACCTGTTAACATATTTAAATATAAAAGATTAATTGATGCATATTTTCTGTATATAATTTTTAAAAAAGTTACACTAAATTGTGATTATTTTATTAAATAAAAATGAATGCTCAACTGTAGTAATTTAGATTCGCATCAGAAACTCTGACCTTATATGTATCAAGCTTTTTAAATGATGAAATCCAATTCTCTACTTATCTAGATATTACAAAATAGCATTATTTTTTTCAATAAAATCCGCAATAGTTTTAAGCTAATTTAACCCCTCCCCCCCATATTTTATCTAGAATATCTATAAAACAGTCATGATTAAATCATATTTCTATCATCAGAGTTGATCGAGGTCATTGTTGCTGAGCATATAGGCAACCAAACAATTTGAGATAAACCTTCATTACAGTTTTCCTCTAGCTTAACTTTAACTATCTTACGTTCTAATAAAATTACATATATCAATAAATCTATTAAGTTACTGCTTGATTGAGTATCATACAATAAGCTTATTTACAGTATGATACAAAATAGAGTAAATACATTTGAAGTGAAACTAACAGTAGTAAATGTTGATAAACAATTGTCTTTAATGATCTTTATGTTAAAATAACCTATTTAGTGTTTATATTTAATAATCTAAATGTCACTGGTTGAAATCGTGAGTCAATTTGACCTAGATCATCATGGGAAACCTGGAAGTACGACGGCCGTTTCGTCCTAGGTCCTGGGTTCGAGTCTCGCGGAAGGTGGGATCGTGGATGCGCACTGCTGAGGATTCCCATGCTAGGACGAAACGGCCGTTGTGCTTCCAGGTTTTCCATGGTGGTCTAGCTTCAATTGACTAATGATTTTAACCAGTGAAATTCCTAAAAAAAATCTCCACAAAACCCATTCTGATAATCTAAATGTGTCTTATTTACATATATAGGTAGATACGTACAAAACTTACAGACAATAACTTCACATCTACTACAGTATTTCAAATGAATTAATCGTAGGTACTTTTCTACTAAAAGTAATACCTATTACGTACAATATTCAATCAGAATAATAACACTGACCACTAGATAGATTAATCTGATAAATAAGTTAATAAACTAAATAAACGTATTTCCTCCTTGACTAACTATATCACCATGTCATGAAAAAGACCACACTGAGATATCCTAATGTAAAAATAAATATTAACTACTATACATGGATCGGTTGATCATTGTTATCCTTTTCTTAGTTTTCAGAGTCAGTATAACCCCCAAACGCCCTGGTACGGCCGAGAGTGGGGAGAGTCCGCTCTCCCTCTCGAAATGCTCTCACATGGCCACGCGTATATAGCCTCTTCCAGGGAAGTCCTACTCACCGCCTTCTCGTGGCGGTGGTGTTCTTTACGAAAATGAGAGGACGAAAAGCGAATGTCCGGCGCTTTAACCGGATTTCAAACCAATGGTAAACATGGGCTCCAGTATCCTGAGGGAACAAATGGCGTATGAACCAATTGTTGGTCACCAGCTTCCATGGGACGGCATCTCCTTACGATGCTCCACTGCCTTGTGGATCAGACCCTCAGGTCGAAGGCTCGGGGTATGGCCCCCTAAGAAAACCACCTGCTTCGGTTTGGGCACCCGGGCATTATCACAGCCCTCAAACATATCAAATGAGATTTGTGTGGCGCATATGTATTTGGTGCCTCCTTGTACCAATATCTATATGTTGAAATAAATAAATAAATAATAAAACCTTTGTTGAAGATTTTGTGTAATTTAAAAAATCAACAAAATCAACAAAATTGTCACATTAGATTCAACTAATAGATTAAACTTATCAAACAGCCAGTAGAATTATCATCAACTGGAAATAAAAACCATAAATTATTTTAATACAAACAAGAGAAATTTATCTAAAACTTACCATTTTTAAATAATTTATAATTACGGAATGATGAAGCATGTTTACCTTCCCATTTGTTTTCTAAATATGTCACTAATTTTGTATATTTCTTTACAATAGCCACTATAGTTTTAGTGATATACCTTTTAAATATAGACATTTATATTAATATTCTTGTACAAATAACAATATTGATTCAATCTTTTGGTTAAATTATTTAACACTAGAAAAAGTACACTTGACGAGAAGGCTAAAAAGTAAAAATAAAAAGAATACTGTAGAACACTTATCACCTAATTGGTAATACAAGTAAAATTCATATTTTGAAATGAAATAATTAACTAACAATTATGTCCTTGAAATTTAGCAGGGTATCATTAGAAACAATTTTTAAAAATAAATAAATAATGGGAAATTGTGCAGTAACCAATTCACCTACAATGTAATCTAAACTGATTGATTTAAATGACTATTCATTTCATTGTATAATAGTATTAAGAGAGTAAAATGGAAATAAAATTTGAGGAAGTTTTATTCATAACTATAAGACCATTAACTATCGATGAGAATTTTATAATATGAAACTATTGTCACTAAAATGCTTCTAACCACAGATACGGGCTAAGATTAAACCAGTAAACAGAATCTTCACAGATACTTGACTGGTCATCTACCAGTATTTTATGCAATTGGTTTCCTTTACGAAATTGAAGGGAGCCAGAACAATAAATGAGGCGGAATAATATGAATTCATGATATTTTGTGGTTTCTCATCAGCTGCTTACAACCATATGTATTAAAGTGTAGTATCTAGGTATGATATAATAAGAAGCAATCGATACCGCATGCTTTGAAACGAAACAACTGCATGACTGTTGGGCGATCAAGTAGTATCATTAGCTCTTACATCTAAATAAGGCCCAAAACCAAGTACATGCTTAATTAGTTTTTTTACCCACAATAATAAAAAACTTCAGTATTTATTCATGAGCAGTGACTGAAGAATGACCACTTTTGTTTTGATTTGCTTTCATGATATCGATGAACAAGTGAACTAAGTTTTTGTAATAGATGGTAGTGAAATCCAGGATTTTCATTTCATCAGCAACGTACAAACCCAAACCCATGCGAACAAAGTACATCCCATTAATCAAGCCAGTGGCTATCTGAGTTCAATAGCACGGTGGATAACGCGTTTGTGTTTGAAGCGAAATGCATCGGGCTCGAATATTTACATGGACGTTAACAGCGAAAAGCCGGTGTATCCAGCTGACAAGTCTCAGATACGACGAAACACGTCCTGGATCCCGTCTCTAGCCACCATCAGAACTTCGTTCGGAAATCCTCGTAAATTAGTGGTAATATCTGGGAGACCTTATCAGGGTCCACATACTCTAAAGGTGATCATTCGCAGTCTTTAATAACAACAAAGAGCAAATCCAAACCCTTACAAATTGGATGTAAACATTATACACATGATTCTCTATATGGTGTGGTTTCTCACTTAAAATCGTGAATTTTTCTATACTACAAAACATTTAAAACGTGTCATAGTATCAAGGTAAATCAAACATGTTCGTCAAAACGGTAATCGAAGAACGAAAACCTCCGATTAGGCACAAGCAATCGCGAAGAACTTCGGAAGCAATTCGATGTGATTAAAAGGATAATGAGAACTTTTGTGGCAATTGATAATTTAGTTCCCGATACTGAAGTAATAATAAAATATCAGTGCAAGTCCACATATAGCTACTAATCCTATTATGCAAAACAGTAACTGGTCCTTGAGCCCAGCCTTGACGTACTCTTTATTTGTGAGGGCTAATGTAATACTCGTTTAGCTGCCCAGTCAGAAATAGGCAGATGGGGTTTGAATTTATAGCTTAGTGGTTGATGATCAACTGCTTTAACACTTACAGCAACGCATTTTGATAGTTAGGGATTCCAAGCTATAGTATATCCTAATACTAATTGAAAAAAAGTTACTTAACATAGCTAATAACAAGCACTTTTGGCGTATTAAGTGCGTCCCATAAACATTTATGTGATTTATCGTAGTTTAATGATACCTGAAAAACTAAAAATTTGACGTATAACGTTGATTAAAGTGATCTGAAAAAGTTCTAAAGAGTAGCTTGAACAGGCGAATCTACGATGTCTGTAGATGCAGGTTTGAGCTGTGATCAAAATGCAGATTTCTACTTGAGAATTTGAGATATAAGATCGTATAAAAAGTTGAAATTGGAGGGTATTAGTGCAGATGCACCCAACATACTCCTTTTCCAAACATTGAGCAACTTTATGCTATACATGTCTATGTACGTATATTTTCATTTTGTCTATTTTAACATTTCGCTAATGTTCTTGAGTTTCCGACTTTACACTGTCGAGAAGTGTAGCGACTCATGCTAGTGAGCTTTGTTCGATGCTCTATGCAATTGAACCCTAAATAGGTGATTGAATAAGTTGTAAAATAAATCCCTCGTACTATATGACTTAGATCCACAGGGTTAGGTCTATTATGAGAGTCAAATGAATAATCAAACCACAAAAAGTACCCTACGTGATATACTGGGTTGTAATTACACTGAACACATTCACAACTGATCGATCACTGAGCAATGACCAATGTTACATTGTTCTGGTCCTTTTATGCTAACCGAATCTTATCGATCAAGTTACAATGTGACTGACTAGTCTAAATGACTCGACATAATGTGCACTATGTTTTGATGTTAGATGGTTGATACGAGTCGATAGGAAACCCTTGACTCTTTCAACTACTTATTAACTTATGTATTATTTCAACATAAACGTCGAACCGGAGCACTTTAAAATCCAAAAACCTATTAGCAAATCTAAGTGAAAACATTTTTCCAAAAAAGTCAAAATGAAAAATACATCACTACAATAAACTATATCAACAAATAGTTTTCATTCAATAAATACGATACGATAAATATTCACTGTAATTTAAGAAATTTCAATTGACAAACAGTTATGATTCCCTAACAGTCAGAGGTGTAAGTAAAATAATAAAACAAATTCTTACAAGTGAATTTAATTCACGATGCAAGTGCTATAGCAGTTTTATATGGAATTCAAATCAAACGATTGAAACTTAAAGTATTTACTGAGTTATCTTATTCACTAATTAATTGATTATCATAATTGTGAAAGTCAACTATACTATCATTTTGGATTCACAAACTATTATCATAATATAAGAGAAATTCCACAAACTGTATAACCATTTAAATATTCAGTACAAATATTAATGTAATATATTTTATTGAGAAAAACAAAACAAAACAACTTTTATACAAAACATTATCTATTTAATAAAATATTATGATGATAAATTTTTCATTGCTTTCTCTATAAGTAATCTTTTTTTATATTTTGTTGCACGTTTCCGATGAGATCTACTATTTAAATGAGCTTCCCAACCATCGATTTGTGTAAATATTCTATTTGAACATATTGAACAAATGAATGGAGAATTGTTGTTATTGTTTTTTGATTCAGTAAAAGATTTAGGCAAAATTAATGATTCTTCTTTAAGACAAGAATTTTCAGGACAAATCTCAAGTAAACTTTTTAGATAATCATTGTTTTTTAAATTTTCAAAAAGTAAATCATCTTTTTTTATTAATTCATTGTAGACTAAGCGTACAGTTGGTGCAATAATTGTCTTAGTCCAAATATCTTGAGATTCAGAGTTTAAAAAATCTGTCACATCTATACGATAAACAGGAATGCTACCTTCTATAGGACGTCGTAAAAATCGATTTCTAATCCAAGAAACCTAATAAAAAAATAAACATTAAGAATAGAATATCATACTTTATATTTAAGCAATATTAAATTTTCTATCAAAAACTAGTAAGTAGAAAATAGAACCTAATATACGTAGTAAATTGATGCATATTTTTACAGTATACAGTCAGTCAGTCAGTAACAACGTAGAACTTCGTACGTACGTACATCAGTTCGAGTTGCCACACCACATTAGCACAGAGATGCCGTGGTCGATTCAAATCCCGTAGTGGTAGAGGTAATAAGAGTATAAGCAGTGATCGGAAAGATTAGTGTTTGGAGATATTACTTAAAGAGTATAATACAGTGAAATAAACTTGGGAAGAGAAAAAAAGAAACAAGAGGGAATCAGGAGATCAAAATTTGGGAGAACACAGAGGAATCTATCAAGGAAAGAAATTACTAAAATAAACAAAAAAATATTACAGATAAATATGAAGTAATAAAACGTGCTAAACTTGGAAAAGGATAGAGTACACTAGTCGTTTACGGTTACCAATCGAAACGGTTTAATCTTGAAATATACCGTATTAGATAATGGATAGTTAGAAATAATCAACAAAACACTCATTTTTTATTATTTCAATAAATGGATAGTCGGTGATGTGATTACTTCTTCACAATACAATTTTAAATCATTTAAACTCTGGTAATTTCCACATTTGTATATGCCCCCTATAGACTTAATGAATGAACAAATTGTTTAAAGTACATTATTATGATTTTTTACTTTACACTAATTGACAATATACGTCAGTATAAATAGCAATTAAACATTCGTAAAATGTATATCATAAATTTTAAGTTAGATATATCATAAAAATACTAGACAGTTTATTTAGACTCCTTGCTTGAAATTCTATGCATAACCACAACGTAATAAAAGGAAATATGGATTAAAATAACTTTTAGTTCACAAAAATTTCACACAACCATTCTTAATTCATGGTATAAAAGTCGTCTTATAGAATGGATGGATCTTAACTTACACTAGAACTCATGAAGCACGTTTTTTTCTACTTTCGTTTCGTCAGCTGGATATATCTATATCATACTGATGGTGTTCACGCTGAGACTCGAACCCATTGCCTTTTGCATCAAACGCCAATGCACTATCCACTATGCTACTGAGTATAAATAGCTACTGATTTGTTTAATGTACATTACTTTTCATCATTATTATTCAGAATGTTGTTGATATTCAGAACCATCAATTTTTACATGGTATGGACACGCAAGTTTTTATAAACGGAAAATTGCTTATTAACACATCTTTTTAATATTTTTAGTTTTTCAAATTAATAATTTTTATCGCCTTCATACTTTCAATTTATTTTACATCTTTTTCATACTCGTCAAGCGGACAATTACTTTTCATCCTTATGTAAATTCTTGATCGTCATGAAACTTTGACAACCAAGATTAGGTAATCGTTTTATTTTTTAATAAACTACTTTATTCGCTAATTAACTATAAATACAATTGTACAGTTTGAGTAAATGATATTGTAGAAAAGATAACTTTCTTCGTTGAATTGTCTTTTTAATGACACCATGGGTTACTTACGTTAATGGATAACTGAGCTTTACTCATTTCATGTTTACTAATTATTAGTGTTTCCTCATTACGTAAGTACTTATGACTAGCTCTTTGATCTTTTGACATTATCGTTGTTGTAGAATGCTCTATCATAGAAGACATATATTTGCAATATTTTTATTTAGTCTTTTTAATATATTCACATCCTCACGATGATACGCTTATATATACTTAAAACTTTCAATTAAATTTATTTGTATTTTGTAACGGATACCCGCTCGTTAATCTTAATGCTTTATATACAAACTGACCGTATAGTCCTTATTATGAAGTAGTTGCAATAATTCCTTTCCGATGCACAACTCAAATAACCAGCAAAAAAAACACACAGAGAGGGCAGAAAGAATGATTTAATAATTACCATCCAAACAGATATGGAAATGAACGAGCTGCTGTCAGCTAAGTATGTACATATATAGTGGAAGGACTCAATGATTCAGTAATTAAGTGGAATAAATATGTGACCAGATACGTAAATGCAGTCAAATATGTTTGTTTATAAGCACCTACTTGTGGAGGCCAATCCCATTGAAATAATAATTTTAAAAAAATAAATTATTAAGGATTAAAATTCTACAGTTTATCTACCATATAAGCTAGTTCAAAGGATTAAATAATTTAAATGTATAGATAAGGTTTTAGTAATTTTCAACTTGTTTTGTAATTAGAATTTTTTAATAATACATGTTGTAAAAAGATAAAGAGAACCCAATGAAATAACATGGATTCATGTTAATCTGTTCAAAAATCTTTATTCTTGTTCTCATCAAGATGATTAAGGAAGCTATATCTTAAGGAAGCTATGTACATTGAAATGATACAATAATTATACAAATCTTACAAAATGTGTATGTTAAGGTAAGTCAATAAAATATGGAATTCTGTAAATGATTGGTGAGGAATATTTATTTTTCAGTTCACTTTGATTTATTGCATAACTTTATTAAATTTTGCACACTAAATATACAGTATACTAAATTGTGTAAAGTAGTATTGTAGGTGAACAAAAAATAACCAAAGAATTAAAGCCACAAAGGCATCTATGAAATTTATTAATTGACATAACTTTGGTTCAAACTATGAGCAGATTACTGAGTTTATAAAAATTAAAACCAACCAAGTCAACAATGATATAACCCTTCAAAAGAGAAATACCAATAAAAAAAGAAATATAATCACCTGACGACGTGCATACTGCCGAGTGGCTGTTTTAACGTTCTCTGTTGCTTGCTTCAGAAGAGTATTTGCCTCAATAGTGTCACGTTCTTCTGGTAATAAAGCTAAATAATCTGAAAATTCTTTGAGTCCGATACTTTGAAGTAGGCCACGACGAGTCATAGGATCTGAGACTGACTCCAACTCTTGAGCAAACAATGCCCTTAATTTTTCCACTCGAGTTCGTTTTGCAATGTCTGAATTTAGCGAAATGAAATGAAGAATTATAGGCATAAAGATGTTTAAAACCGAAAGTGGTAGGGTTCGCAACAGCCATAATGATTGTACGCAGCTTCAATACTATTCATTTACCCGTGTTTACCAGCACATGAATACATATCGATCATCACATCAATTTTGATGCATTTCTTCCGTTAAATAGAAAACCATTTGAGTTCTACTTAAACTGGCTGTATAAAAGATCAAGTACTTATTCAATAATTCTGAAATCATGGAGATTTACAGCTTAAGTGGATGCTTTTAATAACGCTATCTTCTCCAAACTAGAGGCGGAGGAGCATTCATGGTCATTCAAGACAGCATCCCAAAAGCACTTATTCATGAAGAATTTTATTGGGTTGAAGAAGTGTTGTGCTAGCTTCCATTCGAATGCTGATCAATGAAAACAATCAGTTAGAAGTGTTATGGTTGTACTTAACACTTCAGTTACATACAAGTGCTCCAAATGCCCTGTTACGGTCAAGGGTGGGGAAAGTCTGCACCCCTCTCAAAATGCTCTAACATGGCCACGTGTATACAGCCACTGACAAGGAAGTCCTACTCACTGTCTTCTCGTGGCAGGAGTGTTGTTTACGAAATTGAGAGGACGAAAAGCGAATTTCCGGTACTTTAACCGGGTTGGTGGATATGAAGGATCGATGTACTGGAGTTGAAAAACCCTAATTCCAAACCAATCGTGAACATGGGCTCCAGGATCCTAAGGAAACAAATGATGTGAGAACCTATTGTTGATCACCGGTTACCATGGGACTGCATCTCCTTACGCTGCTCCACTGTCTTGTGGATCAAACCTTTAGATCAAAGTCTCCGAGTGTGGCTCCCTAATAGGACCACCTGCCTCGGTTTGGGCAACCAGGCAGTATCACAGCCCTCACACAAACCAATGATAACTTACTAACCTCGTTGTTGTTTTGTGGCGCATATGTACTTGGTGCCCTCTTGTACCAATGTTTATGTGCACAAATATATAAATAAATAGCATACAGATACTTTATATTGAACATTAATCAGAAACCTCCTGATGCATGTATTACCTTTTTTATTAAGGACACATAAGGTCATAATTTGACAACATTAAGGTTCGAACGTTTTCAGTCAAAAGATAAAAAAATTCAAGCAAACTTGCGGTTCAAAATAGCTTATTCTAATCAATTAGCCGGTACAATACTACACCAATAATTCAGAAGCAAAAAGTTTGAACTCCTACACAATTCATGTTAGCTTTCACCCCCTCTCTCTCTCACTTCCGAAAGTGTGTAGTATTTAGCTCTCGATCAAAAGTATTCAACGTAATCTAATCCTACTTAAGTCATTTCACATTACTTACTTATCAATAAAGCTGACAATGGTAATCTGTTTAGAGTAATTGAGAAAATATCCCTGAAACAGTAATGTTTTCCATGTAATAAAAACGCTCAAAAAGTCGAAATACTGTAGAAAAAATTAAACCTAATATAACAGTGGTAAATATACTTGGTTAACTGATATATAACATCTTTTGAGTCGACGTCTTAAAATGTCGCCCAGTTCCAGATAAAGGGTTTTTCTACCGACCGAGACACAGTTTCTTCTTTTTTAATACCTTCTGATAGGAATTTTCTGATAAGATTATCTTACCTATTCACGCCTGTTACCCCCCCCCCGTGGAAGGACAGAGACCTCCCACCAGCATTCTCCATTCAACTCTATCCTGGACAATCCTTTCCAGTTGCTATTCATCCTTTTTATGTCTGCTTACGATTCCCGACGCAATGTGTTCTCCGGCCTTCTTCGTTTCCGTTCGAAATTTCAAGTTAACAATTGCCTGGAGTTGCAGTTTGATGGTTTCTGTAATGTATGTCCTATCTACTCCCAGCATCTTTTCCTAATTTTTTCTTCACCTAGAAATTGTTTTGTTCTCTACTATAGTAGGCTATTGCTGATGGTATCCGGTCACCGGACATTCAATATCTTGTGTAGACAATTATTTATAAATACTTGTACATGTTTGACGATGGTTGTGGTAGTTCTCCACGTTTCAGTTTTGCACAATAGAACTGTCTTGACGTTCGTATTGAAGATTCTCACTTTGATATTGATTAACAGTTGTTTTGAGTCCCATATGTTGTTCAGTTGTAGGAATGCTGCCGTTACTTTACCAATCCTTGCCTTCATATCTACAACAGATACTCCTTGTCCGTCAACAAGTGAAAAATTTCATCTCTTCCAGAATTCCTCCATCAAGCGTGATTGCGTTGGTGTTTTCCGCGTTGTATTTGAGGATCTTGCTTCTTCCTTTGTGTATGTTGAGGCCTATTGATGCAGAAGCATCTGCTACACTAGTTGTCTTCACCTGCATTCGTGCGTGTGTATGCGATAGAAGGGCCAGGTCATCTGCGAAGTCCAAATCGTTTAGTCGCATCCAAGCTGTCCATTGTATTCCGTGGATAGCTGTTATTTCGATGTGTTGTTTAGTGTATCTATCTATTAATAGATAGATATCTAGTGAAAGGACACTTAACGCCTTCAGGTTACCCGTAATTTTTCCGACCAAACCAGTACTTACACAATAAATCAAGGATAGGTTACTGATGATGAGCTCCTTTGTGTGTAAGCCAACTCAACCACCCCTGTGGAGCTAGTTAAATAGGCCGTACTTAAAGGGCTTTATTCTTGTGTGTTCGTGAACATGTACCAGGGTGGTTCGGAAAAACAAATCACTAGATCGATTAACAGTACCATTCTTTCTAACTTGGTAGACAGTGAATATCATATCAAAATAGATGAACCCTTCTCTGTCTAACATCAAGTTCCGAAGAATTTAACTAATGGAGCTAGATTACAGCTACTCTACATAACTGTACCTATGTGGATCAACTCCAGAAAATCAAACTTATGCATACAGAAGAGGTATATTTAGCCTACATGTTTACCTTGACCTACGACTTGATCACCTGATACCTAAACTGAATATTAAAAACCTCTTATCCCTCTCCCAATTCCTTTTTTCTATACATCTTTCATAACCTGAACACTCATCTTTCCCGGTTCACATGAATTATTTTTTTATTGTAATTACCTTAATAACACCCCTCTTATTACTCATTATATTCACACAACAATATTATTATTGTTATTATTATTACCTCGATTAACGAGGTGCAATTCTCATACCACGCAATTTATTCACACGATTTTTTTACTATATCATGTTACTATTATATTCATTATAACTTGCTACTTTACTCCAAATTATTCTGATTTTTATTAAATGACCTTTCTAATTTATAAGTAATACAATTTTGAATTACATATGTCATGACAGATGAAAACGTTCACCACTTTTAACATATAACATTGTCAAAGTCATTAATGGATGCCTTAACTTATTTTGGCCCTTGTAAAATATTGTTATTATTAATATTAATGGCTTTATTCAATATTATAATCATGGATTTACAACTGCAGAGCCTGATGATCAAGTTATTGAGAACAATTGTTCTTTATTTTTGAATATCCTAGATAAATTTGTGTCGTATTGGCTATATCGAGGCGATCTGGACAGAATTCACATATGCCAACTAAGATTGATCAAATTTCAAACAAAATATCAACAGCGGGATAATCCCTACCAATCAAATTAAAAAAATATATCCAAAAGACTTTTTCTTACCAGGCGTATCAGGTGTTTCAGTCTCACTGAATCTATGTGGCAAAACATTCACTTTGTCAAGAAAAGTGTCCAATTCATCAACTAACCCGGAATCCAACATTATATTCACTCGCTTATTCAATTGGGTATTCAAAACATCGGAAGCACAGTCCAGCCATAATATGAGCGACTCTCCAGGATATCGAGGTTTAATAGATCGATTTAACACTTGTTTTCCCAAATCTACATTTTCTATATTTTCATTCAATTCAGTTTGTGTTTTAGTCTGAATAGATCCTTTCAGAACATCGAGAAGTGCTTTCTTTACTTTACGAACATTATTCGGATGCAATCGTGCAGCTACATCTGGTTTCAGAGTACGCAAAAGATCATAGCATTCTAATGGATGCCCAAAAGAAACTTCACTGGAATATTTAAAATACGGAAAGGACAAAATATAGTTTATTCTATAGTTCAGAGAATAACAAAATATTAACTTTCAAAATAATAAATAGTATTTGAGTAAGCAATCAGATGATCCTATTCACTGAGTTACAATTAACATTAGAAAATAATGAAGACGCTATTACGATTACTCATTCAAAAGCGTAATAAACTGTGGTATTAGACAAATGAATATTTAAACCATATGGTGTCAGAAAAGTTTATTCAAGTAAGAAACTGACAAAAAAGAACAATGATGCAATTTTACACATACATTCACAACAAACAAAAACAAATGAGTAAGAATAACTAACTAAACCTTAATGTGAAAACGAAATCCATCCATCGTCGGGACTAGGATCTATTTCTTCATAAAACGAAATCTGAGGAATGGACTTGGACTTATGATTCCAAAAAAGGGAGACTTAATAATACGATTAAAAACCGATCGAACTGCACCAAACGCGTTTATTCATTACCATCTAAGCCTTTAAATGTACCATTATCATTATGATTGACTCTATCCATTCTTTTAGACTTTTTCCAATAATGCTGATAATACTGTTTTAACCTCTTCTATTTTTTTCTGGTTGATTTTCTTTGATTATACAACTGTGAATGTAGCAACACTGTAGTTTGGTAGGTAAAACATTTCACTTTTGATCATTGGATTTCAGGTTTGAACCTAATTCCGGTCACTTTAGTCTAAGATGTCACACAAAATATGCAATTTTAAGCAGACTACATGAATCTGAACTCGGTTAATGAGTTCCATTACGAAGTTGTATTAATTCACAGTTGTGCCAAGACTGTCCATCTGCCCAGTTTTCATTGCTTGAACGTACATTTTATTCTAATAACTGGATAACGTGGTATTCAATTAAAAGGATTATACTTTTGTTTCTCGATTTACATTCAACAGTGAATTAGATTTAACATTTAAACACCATGTGACAAAACATGATGAAAGAGCATACACCGAGTGCGAAACCCTCTAGGGATGGTTACGAACTACATGTCAGGTATGATGGGAAAATCTTAAATCATAGAACAGTAAGTGACATAAAAGAATTGATTTCCTTCAATTCCTAAAGATATTTATTCATGTTTATTCTTCTGTTAATATCTGAGTATAAGCAGATCATTTTACTAAGATATGTATTCTGCTGGCTAGCTAAATTATCCTCAGTTATCTGTTCAGCCAAGGCTTAAAGCAACCAGTCTCATTAGCAATTATCAATTACCCACAATGTATCATCATGTTCATCTATCGGTCGGAATTCCATTAATTTATTTTAACAACACAAAACCCGTTCATCAAATCACAAAACCCTCATTAAAGTGAGACCTTTGGGTAGTAAATGATTAAAAGCAACAGGAAATAAACGCTAAATCAGGGCTCCATATATTTCTTTATATTATTTTTTAATTCAAAAAGAGCCTGTTATTTATTTAAACACATAAACATTGGTACAAATAAGGCACGCAATATATATGCGCCACACTTCATAATTCGATTTGTGTGTTGGTTGGAATACTGTCCGGAAGCAGAAACCGAAGCAGGTGGTCCTATTAGGGAGCCACACTCGGAGACTTTGAGAGGGGGGCAGACTCTCCCCACCCTCGGCCACACCAGGTCATTTAAAGGGATGACTCTCTAATTCCAAAAGAAAATGTCACTTTAAGGGTTCGAACCCTAACATTTTATTCCTGTGGTTAGAGATGTTAGCAACCATTTACTAGTCCCATGAACGATTTAAGTGAAGCTAACTCCTCCTAACTCCCGATACAAAACAACTAATCGCCACATCAAATCATTTTGCTTGGTGACCATAGTGTACAATCGGAATGCAAGTTTTAATTGGAGTTAGGAAGTACACTACAGCATTAGTCACTATCTCCTTACACTGAATTTTATGAAGTAGATGAAAGGATTGTAAAACGAAAAATACTTACGAATACGTCAAACTATCAATTTTAAATTAGTCCTCTTGATAAATTTGGATTATCAAAACTATGTGATATATCAGCGCAATACATTTCGAACAATGTGATAACATCCATACTTTTTAAAAGCATTAATATACAAAAAAGGTCAACTAAACAAATGAAATGTAAGAGGAATGTTCTTAACTAGTATACATGTGCTCAGACTGTTCGGAATGTTTTGCGCTAATATATCACATAGTTTGGATAATTTTCGTCTTCATATTACACTATCCAAATATGTACATTTTAATCCGAAATGTCTTATCATTTTCAAAAATGCACTGTCTAAAAATAGATAAAAACCAAGGATATCCAGTAATAAATAATATATGCTAAATGTGAAAGTGACGGATATAATTACCAGTGTAATTAACAGATTAAGATACCTATCGAATTCACTTGTTGCATCGAAAATAGTACGTTTTGAAGCTAGAAAATCTTGCCATAAAATAGCTTCCAAATAATAATGAGTTCCACCAACAAGAATAGGTAACTTTTTCCTGATATATCTTATATTTTCAATCAGCGGTAAACAGATGTCTCGATATGAATGAACATCATATCTATGTCCGAATTCTGGAGGATAGATTCCTATAAGATGGTGTGGGACACCTAAACACTCGACATGTGATATCTAGAATGAAAATTAAAAAAGAGCACTAATTTAATAGCCTTGTTCTTATAAACGGCCTGTCAAAAAAAATAATTTTCCAAAGAATGAAAATAAATTTCGGATCGAAATATGTATTAGATGGAAGCAGTTTTGCTCCATGCTTGTGATACCTGGCTTCTCCAAGTTGAGGATGTTAAGTATCTCTCTATGTCTGGTCATCGTTGTCTCCGGAGGATTGCTAACATCCAGTTGCAAGCCTACGTTAGTAATGCAGAGGTTCGGTAACGTTCTGACACAGCGAAGATAATTCAGTTGGTGTCACCATCTTGAAACACCGACTTCGATGGTTTGAATGTGACCTACAAATGTCGTCCCGGCGAATTCCATATCTCGCATTACCTGCTGACGCTGGGACAGGTTGGGAAAAGCGGAGAGGTAGTCAGTGTATGACATGGTGCCGTGGTATGGGAGAAAGCTGCAAAGGACTGGCTTCTGTCGGTCCTTCATGACTCCCTGGTTGGGGTCCTAGAAATGGTACAACTCAGTGGCCAGAGACGTTATCAGACATGACTCAGAATAGAAGCCAGTGGAAATCCTGCTATGATTTTTTGTATTTTCTCCATTAAAATGAACGTAACTTCCTTAACTGAAAGAATTTCTATGGGTTGTATTTTTCTAACTGAACTGTTTCTCCCATTATTTTCATTACTATTTCACTCGTGTTAATTCCTGTTCATTGTTCTCTTTTTTCTTATACGCACTTTACATCCTTTATGTCTTCACAACCTCATGGTTATTTTGTGGCGCATATGTATTCGGTGCCCCTTGCACCAATGTTTGTATTGAAATAAGTAAATGAAAATAATTAGATATTACATCCACTGATATCAGATTTGGTCTTTGGAAACAAATATAATTTCCAACTCTAACTAAAAGTTTAAATGATATAAAGTTTTTGAAAAGCGTGTCTGAAAATGAGTCCATAATCCCGAATAAAGTGATGATTTAGTTGGTTACATTTCCTTACTTGATTTACCGCAAACGCTTTTAGTCAATGAATGCTAGTAAACGGTAAAGATATCAAACCAATATTTTTATACCGATAACTGTATACAGCCACACTTTTGTTTCAAGTTGCACATATGAAAATGGTCTTGGCACAGTAGTAGGAACCTAGAAACGTAGCTTCATACGACATTTCTGTTAGCAAAGAAACTAGTAACTGATTACGTACGAAATGGTCACTGCTACATACCTACATTATACGAATGTTAATTCTGTAATTCGTAAGCTTAATAACGAATTGTATGATTATTTACTGCAGTTAGAGCCCCGCTTCTTGTTTGATGGTGAAAGACATAACTCAGAAGTTCGAACCACGTCATTGAGGTAGAATTCAAATATAAGAATTAATTCAAAGACACAATGCTGAAGCTGTTGAGTATTTTACACCGATTGTATACACAGTTTTAATGTATTCAAATTGAAAACTATTCCAATGATCAACAGGGGAATCACATGGATAGATCATGAATTTAACCACTGAATTAAAATTCCCAACACAAAGTCACTGGATAATTACATCGGTTATTCTGCATGATAAACCCATCTTTCTGACAGTACACATGACTGGAAATAACACTGCCTTACTGAATCACTACTAAAGCAGGAAAATTCTTCAAGGCACAAGACTTACACCACGATATTATCAGTGATTCCCTGAAATTCAAAATGAAGCAAATCTAACAAAGCTATAACTCACCTTGTTTGTTGCAATATCTAACCCACTATACAATTGAAGGGCATCGAAATTGACGACCTCACCTCCGAAAACATTGGCGAGGCTTACTGCTAGTTTCGACTTCCCAGTCCCAGTGGCTCCACAAATAGCTATAACAGGAAGCTGGCGACGTGAGCTAAAGTAACATGACTGCCCAAACATATGGAGTAAAAACAGCCTTAGTAAGATTATCTTTTAAAATGCTATCTTACCGTGAACTAAAAGCAAACTTTGGCACAAAAAACATGCGCCGAAACGGCGCTTGGGTAGTATGCACAACTGAACAAGATAACTGGTTGAGAATGATGGAAGGGCACCTGAAAGAGAGGAGTCGGTGAATAGGTTACGAGTGTTTTACTATTATGCATGTAGTTAATAAATGAAATGATATGCCGACGTAAGAGAATTAAGTCTTTTTGCTACAATGACCCAAAAACCATTGAGTGGTTTCAACAGAAAACGTCATATCAGGACCTTACAGTGTTGGCGTTTGATGTAGATGACTTAACCACTTAGCTTTGAATTTAAATACTGTATTAGCAATATAACCCGGAGTTAAAGTGAATAAACTGACCATGAGCAGCTAACCACTACATATCTGTCAATAGTACGGCTTGTTAAATATATCTGTTCGTCTATCACTCCACCACAAAGTACAACTGATTTATTATTATTATTCAACACATAGATAATGGTACAAAGAGGCACCAAATACATATGCGCCACACAAATCTCATCCTATATGTGTGAGGGCTGTGATACTGCCCGGGTGCCCAAACCGAAGCAGGTGGTTATCTTAGGGGGCCACACCCCGAGCCTTCAACCCAAAGGTCTGATCCACAAGGCAGTGGAGCATCGTAAGGAGATGCAGTCCCATGAAAGCCGGTGACCAACAATTGGTTCATTCGCCATTTGTTCCCGCAGGATACTGGAGCCCATGTGCACCATTGGTTTGGAATCCGGTTAAAGCGCCGGACATTCGCTTTTCGTCCTCTCATTTTCGTAAACAACACCCCCGCCACGAGAAGGCAGTGAGTAGGACTTCCCTGGCAGAGGCTATATACGCGTGGCCGTGTGAGAGTATTTCGAGAGGGAGAGCGGACTCTCCCCACTCTCGGCCGTACCAGGGCAAGCATGAGAGACCCTTTAAATGATTTTGACAGGTTCTGAGCTCATACAGTCAACCTAAGAGCAGAATATAAAGATGAGGGATTTATAATATTAAGACCAGGATTACGGTTAAGAACTGGGATGTGAAACAGAATCCAAACCCTATACTGTAACTATATACCATAACTTCGAATACGAAATTTGATTATAAATCCCATATTTTATATCATAATCCTAAGGCCAACCCTAAACTGAAGTTCTTAATGATGCACTCATCATTAGAAAGAATCAAAACTTTTTTTCGGAGTCAAATTATTAACAACACAGTTGATGAGCAACAGTTTCTCAGTGAGACCATTAATCTCATCATTGGGATGCTGATGAAGTGCTGCTTTAACACATCGGTTTCGGTTTTGATGGGACGGAAAACTGGGTGACCTATATTAGTCATGGTAACTGTGATCTCTCAGTTAATCTAACGCTCCTTTGAATGGATCGACAGATGATGCTTCGATTACGCAACGAGTTAACGAATTCTGTTCGTTGATGATTTGATGAGAAAGTCGATAATCAGCTAACAGAAAATTTGTTCTGGGCTTGTGAACCGCGAACAGATATGCACATGGACCACTGGATAGTCCTTAAAGTCAAGCTTTACTCGCACGGTGCAGCTTCCAAGAAAAACCATGCCTTCTGTAGCACAGGAAAATGGTAACACAGCTTCAGGCTTTCTTCTAATGTCCAGTCTATGGTAGGATTGAGTTTAGCCAGAAGATATCTAGTGTGTTGAAGCATTAAATTAGATTATCTGGAAGAGAAAAAGGAGCCGACAACTCAGCAAGCACACAGAATACGCTAATATTTAATGACGAAAGCAATTGACAACAAGAAAAAATAACACAAGCGTGAGATTAAGGAAACCTGATGATCGAAGCAAGCGTTGGGTTTCAAACGTGTTACATTCCTTCTCCTTTGTATTATTGCCCCTGAGAGGTCTTGTTCACGGCTGACTCTATATTCGAGCGTTCAATAGAAATATCTATAATTTTTGAGTTTTTCGGTCATTTACGGGGGCTAAAGCTGCATAGAATAATGTAATCATCACTTAGAACTTCACTCTCATCATATAATGTATTTTCATAGGATTCTGTGGTGGACCAACTATATCAATTCCAAAATAATGATGAAGTTACTGCTAAAAATGAATACTCCAGTAACCAATTTAGAGGAAATAAAGGCGCATTACGGGAAATGAATGGGACGATAGTGTAAATGAAAAGGCAAATTCGATTTTTTTTGGAAGATATCAGTTTTTCCTCCTTATATAGAGTATTTAGTGGAAATTTGTAGACAAATGTATGTGACGCACAACTTTTGAATATGCCACTTACTGATTCTGATTCAGATTTGTGTAGTAAGGACAGAAGGCCTACGGCCCATGTTATTCCTTTTCTAGTATGCTTCTGTGAGTGTCCAGTCTCCTGGCAATGAATCGTCGTCTTAAGATCACGACTCACTTTCACCCCTAGATCCTGTTTGCAGTACTACGTACATAGCAAATGTCAGTGTTGTAGATGACTTTTAAGTCATCGGCATAGAGATAGGTCTCACCTGTGCTAAAGCACTTGCATATATTGTTGATGTAGATTATAAAGAGCAATGAACCAAAGACATTACCCTGCACAACACCACTGGTTATTGGTCTCAGTCTTCAGTCTTCAGTAATAAAGATAGGAGGTCTGTCGACCTATATTAATCCTTGCAGTTTGTAATACTGTGGAGGTCCAATCTCGTTTCGAATATATTAACAGACGGTGCTGATATTACGTGTTCCGGTAGAGAATTCATGTAATTCACTACGGAACTCCAGACGTAAACGGTTTGAACTCGGTTTTTGAACTTTCTTCGAATGTCCTCTCAAATGATCCGTTCTAGACGGAAGAAAAAGATAAGACATGTTAATACCAAGGTCATCGTTCAGTATACGATAGGCCAATATTAGATCACCCCGTATTCTACGGTAAGATAACGGAAATAAGTTGAGGTGTTTCAGTTTGTCTTCATGAGATAGGCCAGATAGACCTTGTACCATCTTAGTACCTCGTTGTTGGACTCTTTCCAACATATCTGCTTCATATTTGAAACAAGGACACGCTGCTTGAATCCCATATTCTAAATATGGTTTCACAAATCGGGTGTAATAATCTAAACAGTTCATCATCTAAATATTGGAAAGACCTACGAATTGACCATAATACCCTATAGCCTTTCGCAGCAGCAGCCTTACAGTGATTAGTCGTTTTGAGATCATTACTTAATATGACTCATAAATCTTTATAGTTTCTTGCTTTGGGTAGCACGAATCCACTTAGTGTATAGTCATACGATTCATCAGAGTTATTTAACTGCATCACTACACTTATTAGGATTTACTTCTAGTGACTACCTATCTAACCATGCCACCAATGAGCTAAGATCGTCCTGTAATACTATCCTATCCGACATACTATGGATGGGTCTCCAAATCTTTATGTCATCAGCGAAGAGTAGAACGGATGATTTTGCTACAGTTGGAAATTCATTTACACAAAGTAAAAAGAGAAGAGAACTAAGGATTGTACCTTGGGGAACCCCACTTTCTACGGGTACCCACGAGGAGAGAGCCCCATTAACCCTTACCCTTTGTCTCCTGTCATGGAGAAAGTTACTTATCCAATCGACGACTGTATAATGGATTCCAAAACGTTTCAGTTTGAATTTAAGACCAAAGTGTGAAACCTTATCAAAGGCTTTACTTAGATCTATGAAAATCACATCCACAGGAGCATTCCGATCCTTTGCCGCAGCCCAATCTTCTCGTGCAATGAGAAGATTTGTCAAGCAAGATAGGCCTTTCCGAAAACCATGTTGTGCCCTGGAGAAAAAATTATTCCCCTTCAACATAGTTTAGAACGGATATCCGAATGATTTTTTTCATCAGTTTTACATTTGCACTAGTTAAGCTAACGGGTCTAAGTCCTTACTCCCAGCCTTATACACCGGACTTATTATGGCGTCTTTCCAGTATCTGGGCAGTCTGGACTGCCTTAGAGACATGTCAAACAGTATCGCTAATGGTTCAGCAGTTACATCTGATACGGCTTTAACAATCCTAGGATAAATGTCATAAAGACGACTTTACTGATCAGGTTTGAGATGCTGAAGTAGCCTTAAAACAATACCTTTCTCAATGACTACAGGGTCAGTCAGCGGGCCGTCACGATCACAATGAATCGTTAGTCGTTCCTCATGACTGATAGAAAACACTTTGCTGAAATATTCCGATAAAGCCTCGGCTTTTCCGATATCATTTTCTGCAAAGATTAACGGATTTTCTTGCATCAAAAGTGATGGAATTCCATCGATTCTCTGAGTTCGCCTTTTTCTATACGAGAATAACCGTTTCGGACTATATCTAGAATCCCTAACAAATTGTTTTTTACATGATCGTCTAGTCTTATTTACTAACGCTTTACAGGCGTTCCCAATCTTACAATAACTGGATCTGTATTGTTCTAAGCCAGTAGAGATGAACATATTCCCGTGCTTCTTCCTTTTTCTAAGGAGTTTCCTGACCGCTTTAGCTATCCATGGTGGACTATTATTCGGTCTTCGCGGTACCAGGTATGGTATGAACGGGGACGTAACTAGTCTAAATTTACCTTCAAATAGAGACCATGCTTTTTCAACTGATATGCTAGTATCTACTAACCAATCTGTCTTAGCAGCGCATTCCTGAATGGCTGATATGTTAGCTTTCCATACATTTGGGCGAGGTGTAACCTGATCGTATAACATGTCCCTAGTTCGAAACGCGAATGACAAAACAGCGTGATCGCTGTTCACTAACGGTGGGAGAATATTTAAGTCGACAATATCCTCAGTCTCATGAGTGATTACCAAATCCAGCAGAGAAGAACCCTGGTTAACAACAAAACGTATGGGTTGGGATATATGCTGCACTAGTGCATGCTCCATTATTGTTATCAGGAACCTACTATCAAACGAGTTTATAGATCCTTCTGTGGTCATATCAGTCCAACTAATATCAGGTGCGTTAAAGTCTCCTATTATCAAGCAGCTGGTATTTTCACTCCAAAGATGAATGTACTCTAAAACAAAGTCATCAGCTAAGCATATTGGGCTCCAATAGCATAAATGTACTACATCCTATAGCCAACTTACAGTTAATGACTTCACAAGTGCCGCTATCATGGGATTCGCTAGTAGAGGAGCGGATATTCATTCTATTGGCTATATATAACAGGACGCCGCCTCCTTTTCTACATCTATGTCTATCACTCCTGATGCAATGGTATCCGTATAATTCTGGAGTAATGTCTAAGTCATGGACTAACCAAGTTTCTGTCACCGCTACTATGAGTGGCTTTAACCTGTCCACTAATGCTTTTAGTTCATAGAACTAATTTCGTAGACTACGAGCGTTGGCATATAAACCTCCTAAGTAGAACAGCCTATCCACACAGGCCTTGGTAGCATTCTCTTCCAAGACCTGACCATCCGAAAACCCACTAGCCGGAGATTTTCCTCGCCGTTTTGCCGACGGGTTTCAAGTTCAGCTAGTGCTTTCTTCCTTTTTATTTTATCTTCGAGAGACATATCAGGTCTAACTCGGAGGTCGGAATTGTCGTGACAACGAGCGCTACCTAACAAGAGATCCCTTTGCTTCTCCGATCCTAGGATTAACTTAAGGAGTCTGCATGGACGGGGTTTAACATTGTCCTCGGTCCTCTTGCCTATTCTTACCAATTTTTTTACCTGAACTCCTTTGGAGTTATCTGGTAAAATACTACGAATGTATTCTCCTAGCTTTTCTAAGTCATGCGCGTGTCTAATTTTCAGATCAGGGTCGTTTGACTTCCGCAATTTGCTCACAATAATATTCGATGTTATTAAATTTTTCTTCCCAGTCACGCCAGGATGGGTTTCATTCTTACCATCAGATTTTTGTAGTGCAATTCGTGTTCACAATTTGAGTCCACCAGTGAGTTACTAACTATCTGTGTACTGCTTACAGCTTTTTTCGTTTTGTTTCCTACGTACCGTAATCCATTTTTCATCCCGCATAACACTGGGACTATTTGGAACGGTGACTGTGTTATCCAGATCTTCGGTTCCCACTAAAGGTGCATTATTAACAATGTCAGTACCAGGTGGTACTACTCCCCCTGTTAATGTCAACGAAGATTTTACTTTTACGTCGGTCAGAGTCGGTTGTTTGAGGCGTCGCGTAACAGCAGGTACTACACTGACACATTCGTCACTGTCGGTGCCCGTGTTGCCAGCGAATATGACATCGCTCTTCTTGCAGGCTAAAACCTATAGGCCCATAGCCTCCTGTATTAGTAGTCGAGGTGTTGATGTTGTAGAGTTAATCTTGGTTATTTGGTATCTGTTCGTAAGAAAAGACTTGATCCATTGCAAAAGAGGGCTTATAATTCCAACTGACTTAAGTCTGTCGATTAGAAGATTATGAGATATTTTATCAAGGGCTTTCTTAATATCGAAATATAGTATAAACACTAGTTTCTTCTGGTCACGTATGTGAGTAACCTCATTAGAGAAGTCTATCAGACATGTACTGCACGACCCTGTTCCAATGAAGCCACGTTGTGACGGGTCTATTAGACCTTCCATAAGTAGATGATCACATAGTTGATTTTATATCAATTTTTTCCATTATGCGTGATATAAATCGACTGATATTTATGGGTCTGTAGTTTTCGACCAGGTTTCTCGGTCCTGATTTGTATTTGGGAAGAACATACGTTACCTTCCAGGTTTCCAGATATATTCTGTCTCTAAAGATAATGTTTATATTTTGAGTAATAGCGTCTGTATGTCCGGTCCTGATATTTTATAAAGGATTGAAAGGATGTCATCGGCACTATAACTCGGATCTGGTTTAAGCGTTTCAATGGCGGTATGTATACTCGTAATGTCGGAATTCATGGTACTACGATAATTTTTGCTGATGCACTTTATGTTGATATCAGGGGCATGAGATGTATTCCCATTGTGGGAAAACCATTCACCTAATGGTTCACATATGACGGTGTGGCCTAGCGCCTTCATTTATGGTGTGTCCGGTGAAACCAGTGAGGTCAGCATCAGATATCAGACGTTATGGCGATGGCACCCTCATCTGAGCATTCCACTATAAGGCTCTACGATAAATTCATTTCTGTAGGCACTTAGAGGGGTTACTCTGCGGCGGACCGAATACACCGATACCAAAACATATGATAAATTTATTGCAAAACGTGTAGCGGTAATGAATATATATATACAATTATAAGGCCAAACAAAATATATTGTGGGTTTCTTAAATTTTTAGTAGAAAACGTGTTCGAACTTTTGGTCGCGTAATACACTATTATAGAAAGTAGTCAATAGTTCCAAGTATGATAGATATAGTCCAATATAATTTGTATCCAAAATAATCGCACAATGAGAATGTCAGTGTGATTTGCAAACGTGGATTGCAAATATATTAGAGGTCTTCCATCTCGGCAATCGATAAGTGAGCATCAGTGTTACGCAAACGGAAAACAAGACGGCAACGGAAGGTCAAGGTTAAACTTAAATAACAATTTTACAGTCAACAATATTAATTGTACAAATTATGTGAAACTATAAAAATTGTCAATAGTTACAAAAACTACTTACTGAGGAACTTCATATTAACCGTCACCACAATTCTTAGTGCCTCTCCTGGATCACTTTTATTGCTAATCAGTCTCTTTTCGTTTCACTTTAACGGGAAGCGGCTTGGATCTTGACAACGACGTGCAACATGATGCTCTCACATTCGCTAATCCTATGCGAGTAACCAAGCAATCGGAAGCCGGATCGTGTTACACCAGTTTATAAGGGATGTCGACGCAGCAAACATTCAAGCTACAGGCGGGTAGCACTTCTCTCTATACTCTCCAAAATTATGGAGTCACTAATACGTGACGGTCTACGTGACTACTTACTACTCATAAACTTCTTTCAACCCAACAACACGGTTTTACAATAGGACGCCCTTGCATAACCAACCTGCTGACCACAGTTGACATATGGACAACCATCCTTCATATCAAGGGAAGTTTTACATCATATGTCTTGAGTTCTCAAGGGGTGTTGATAGGATCAACCGTATATACTTTATCAGTAAGCTCAAATCGTCTTTAATTGGTTAGCTCACTTCATATCTAAAAAATCGACATTTTAAAGTTAGGGTTAGCGGCACTTATTCTCAGGTTATGGAATGTCCTAATGAAATCACCAAGGGTTAGTACTACGACCTATTCTTTTCTTGATTTACGCGAACGATATTTCACAGGAGGACCTGACTCGACTTCAAAGTTGGGCAGACGATAACGGACTAACCTTCAAAGTGTAAAGTTGTCCATCTGCGACATGTTGCAGACTACAGTTACAACTTAAGAAACTTCTTTCTAGAATTGTCATGAGTCGAAAAGGATTCAGAAGTCCTGGTACCCTACGATTTGAAGTCTTACGCTAACTGTGACAAAAATACCTTTCGAGCAAACTCTGTACTGGTAACATTGAAGCATACTTTTGGCCAGTTTGATGGAAGAACTCTCCACATCATCTTCAGTAGTTTCATTTGTTTCCATTTAGAGTACGGAAACATAGTATTTTCGCCCTCACTCCAAACGGATAATGACACTCTGAAGCTCATCCAATGGCGAGCCACTAAATGAGTTCGAGGACTCAAATTCAAACCTTATGAAGAGCGCCTCCAATCACTTAATCTTTACCCACTAGGGTGTCGGTGCCTTGAAGGTTACTTTTCGATGGCTAACAGTATCATTAACACTTCTGACCATCCCCTTAAACACCAACTTATGTTGAGCTCCAACACAAACTTAAGGGATAACATCCACAAACTAGAAACACATTGCAGAACGGACTGTAGAAACAACTTCAACTCCTCGAGTGTTGTCAAATTCTAGAATTTGCTGCTGATTGAGCTAGTCAATGCGACTTCCCAGGCGTCCTTTAAGAGGAAACTTGATCTATTCTTAAGGACTAAAGATAACATCTTTTTATGATTTACCGATTTCTTTTTCCCCTCTATCAACGCTAATATACCTAGGTTCCTGCCTGGAGGCATTGGTGATCCAATGCTCGTTAAGCGAAAGCTTCTATTCTGTTCACAACCATCCGAACCATTTTGGGATATTGAAAACTGAAACATGTTCGAAGCCTGAATGTATGCGTTGCTTTACATGGTCAAATGTGATTGTACTATATAGTTTTCACATATCAGCTGATTCTCAAAGTTAGTTCGAATGAATTATGTCTACCACCAAAACTTTTAACCAGACTATCACAATGTCAACATAACACAAACCAGGGCAGTTTTATGTGTTTAAGAGTGACTGGATTTCGTAAAAGAATTTTTAGAAATGGGTTTTTAAATATTTAGGTTGCCAACAACTTTTACGAAATGCTCTCAGGGAGGTCACTATATCGTGAAGTGTTGGTGATATTCTTATCTTCTTTGCAATCTCCATCCAAAGTAATAATATTTGGCGCCCATCTGAATAAGTTAAAAACCGAAAGGTTTTTGCATTGAATAGATGTGTAGAGTTAAAAGATATGTAATAATTTAAGTTTGTTTTGGTTCAGTTAGTGGTAGTATGTTTACACTTCCAGTTGGTAACTCAGGCCTGGACTCGAGTCCATTGCGATTAGCTACTGTTGCCATCGTTGTATATAAAAACATCTCTCCTTTTGGAGCACTCATCTAAACCCTGACTATGCTCCTGGTTCGCACTAATTTGATTTCGCGTTCAAGTGGTTAAAAAGTTCATCTTTATAAACGGATTAATGTAAGCGTGTTGGTTTCATCTTCAGCTGCAACCAAATATCAAACCAAGCTAGGCGCGGTTCAGCTGGTCTGCTGCTCCAACAATACAAATATGACTAGCCTGTTCTCTGTCCCCAGAGATGAATGATCCACCCTGCGAGGTAGGGGTCATCAAGGAACTCTTAAGTCTGAAACTTCATGAATCAATCATCTAGGCGAGCTATCTTATTCCCAAATCTTTTTAAGGAAGGTGGCAAACTTTTGGTCAAGAAACTGGTTGGTTTATTTTGAAAGGTTTGAGAATTAGAGAGTGCTCCAACATTCAAGTAACCGGTCATCATCCTTAACAAGAGCTTAGGTCATCTTTGCATTGACTGTCAGCTGATAGATCTGCTTCTGATCGCATCCAAACTGTTTCTTTCCGTCATATTTCATAGATTGTCCAGAACTCATGAATGGCTGATTCGCAATAAGCAGAATGACTTCCATCCTGGTCGTAGATGTATTGATCATATCTTCACTTTCCACCAAATGTTAGAGCAATCTGTATTTCTTGATATTAGGGTCTCCTTAGGTTCGTTGAATAGAATTTTACTCTGGGACTGTCTGTTGTAGAAGGCTGTCTTTGAAAATTTTATTAACATCTTAAGGGCTCTGTATATGAAACATTTCAGACATAGTGAGGGCATACAATCGCTCCCAACAGTGGGACTAGGTGAGGTTACCTAACCTCATAATTTCTGTTTAAATTTTTCATCGATGGCTTATCGAAAACAGCCCTGAAGAAAGTAGGTTTTGGTAGTGGTATGGATCTGCTGCATGCAGAAAGAATTTCTGTTCTTCAGTATGCAGATGACAATGTTTCACTATGCTTTGGCACACAAGTTAAGCAAACCGAACTTAGTTAGTTGACTATAAATATCCATAGGCGTGGCATGTGCTTCTCAGATTTTAAATGCAAAGTACTCTTACAAGACTGACAAAGGCCTATGGCTACACTCACTGTTGATAGTGAGCAGTTAGAATTAGTCGAAAAGTTCATGTGTTTGTGTAGTTGTGTAAGTGTTGGTCGTGGCGTGATTGGTGAGATGGATCTAAATATAGTGAAAAACAGAGGGTTATGCCAATGTGACCCATCTTCGGCGCCTTCATGATGTTAGTTCGACCGTAAAAGGTCAAGTTTACTACTCGTTGATGAAATCAGTTTCGCTCTATGCTTGTAAGGCCCGATCTCTCTAAGTTGAGGATGTTAGAAAACTCTATGTTTGGTCATCGTTATCACTGAATGTTTATTGACATCAAGTAGTAACAGTTTGTTAGTAATATATAGATTGGGCATCGTGTGTTGTGACAGCAACGATAGTTCAGTTGGTGTCACTATCTTGAAACATCGACTTCGATGGTTTGGACATGACCTACGAATGTCGTGTTAGTGGATTCAACATCGTGCATCAGTCATTGGTCATGCTCGAAGGTGCAGGCTTTTTCGCTGAAGTCTGAGGGACAACCGTCATCTAAGATTGCGAACCATGAGTGACCGTTGGATTATCCACCATTTGGCATATGTCAAATATTAAACTTGATATCATGTCGTGATTCTCACTGGTCGGTTTTGTTTGCATCTTTTGGTTTTCTTGGTTCTAGATTCTCACTACTTTAGGAATAATTGTTTTCACGTCGAATTTTCCATTCCCTACGTCTTCATTCAGTGTAGACCTTATACTGAATCACATTTGTATTGTCCTTCCGTTTGTAGATTTGTATTTAATCCACCAAGTAAAACTTAGTGTAATTTGATCTTAACGTGCAGTGTCATGAACTGAATTGTTGGCTTTTATATCAGTGTAAACGATACCATTTGGTTATTTACGACTGTGGTTGTATCAATGATCACTGTTTGAATTTGGGCATTTAAACCGTGAATTAATAGTCCTGACATTGATAGTATTTTCAAAAGTCTAAATTTATTTAGTGACTTTTACTTTTCAAAGGGTTATCTCCTTCAAACGTCGTATGTCGAAATAATTTTAATGAAAAACTACTCGTTTACCTTTTTGCACACTCCTGCATAGGTTTTGGCACAATCATTTTGATCACATAATATAAGCAATGGAATTTCGACAACAGTTTTCCAGAAAGTAGTTTATATTTATACAATTGGTGTAAATATTAGCAGGTAAGTCAGTCATTAAGTCATTATTTTTAAAATAAAATTGTTATGCGCGTTAGCTCATTACCTTAAAATTAAAATTAGACAACTCAGTATATAAAACACGAGCATTTTACCACCTAGGGATAATTAAGTTTTCATATTAGCTTTCTAACAACTATTTTACAATGTATGCGTTTACTTATTCTGCACCCAAGTGCATTCTAGATGAGTTGGTATAATTTTATAAGTGACTCGAAAATTCCTGTTTCTCATAGCTTCATTTTTCCGAGAATGTCGACTCATGTTCCCCTAACTGAGTTCATATTTAAGATAATAATTTTGGATAGGTAAATGTTTCTTATTTTTATCTTATACATAATCGTTAAGCAAAGGCGTTTAGGCCCATTATTGTAGCCGGTTTGATAGCTCAAAATTTCCGTTGCATAAAAAGGACCTACACATACCGTTTAGCAAAAGCTGATTTTGTTCTATGAATTAAAATAACTTACGTACTATTAACTAGATTAAAAAAAAACATCCCATTTGAGTAAACTATTATTGTATTCTCATCAGCACTTGGTAGCTTTACGATTTAGCTTTTTCAATTTGTATAGTGATATGGAAATTTATCTATAAACTGTTAGTTCGTTAGTTTCTAGCCTGATGTACTAAATACTCTCTGAACTTACAAGTAGCATTGTACGTGGACTGATTTTGATGATGTAACTAAATATGATTATTTAGAAATACAATCGTATCTATTCATAAAAAATAGGATTAGTATGTATGTAGAGATAGGTCTTTAATCAATACATGTTGTGCATTAGGCTGCTAGTCACAAAATACCTATGCATCTTGTGTGTTTTTTGACTACTGAATACGAAGTTTATCCATTCTACCGTTTACTATTCATTACGATTGTCAGTAAGTCATGTTCCTGCTTTGTTTCCGTTTAAATAGTTAATCCAACACGACTTGTATTATCTTCTAACTCATATATATATATGGTATTAAAACTGTTTCATGGTCTTGTAGAGGAAGGGGTTGTACAGATTTTCACATTATTTTCGTTGGTTATTTCTTTATCCAGAACATCTCTTTCAGCAATTCGTTTGTCAGAGGACATTGTCTTCAGTATAAATTAGTGTTACTTATGAAATGAACAAGAAACAACTATATCTAGCTCATTCTGTGGATGAGTTAAAAAAGCTTTCGAAAATAAATATCAGATCAACTGTACCTTCAGTCTTACAACGTGAAATGTCTTTATTAAAATGTCAGGCTAATGAAGTTTGGGAGCATGATGAAGAGCGTGCCTATGTATTATTTATGAAGTATTTTGAATATTATGACAAGTTGAAACGTTTAACAGGCAGTAAATGCTCAGTAAGTTACCACTATTATTAAATTTTTATATAAAGGCATTGCTGAAAAATGAATTATTGTCCTCGATTGAACGTGCTGAAATCTTACGTGATAGTCTGAAAGCTAGATATGAGGATTTAAGTCGTCAGACTTCACCCGACGTAAAAAAGACCATTGAACCTCAACAGAATCACAAACCAGGTAATTTAAATATAAGATAATGTAGACTCCTTACTTAGATAAACCACAGGGTGTGATCAGTTCATCTTGGATACAGACAAATGAATTGGCAGGACTTATTAAAAAGCAACATAAGTTTTTGCTTATTGATGTTCGTTCGAAAATCGAGTTTGAACAATGTCAAATTGCATTTGATAATATCATCAACTTGCCTTATGATTTTATAAAACGTGGGTAAGTAACATATGCAAAATTCGAGAGGTTGTTTTTGCAACTATTCCTTTAAATTCAATTTGATACTACTTGTAGCTTCTATTTGTATTCATAAACAAGTGTTTATCTGTCTCTTTAGAAATAGGTGATTATGATGAAATATTCTTATTTTTTAAATATATTTCGCGTCACAATTCGGTTATTAGTCAAACAAAAAAAATGCAGAAAACATTGAACAATTGTTTTGTCTGATTTTCATGCACATTTTAGATTTTCTTTCCGAATTTTCTTATTTCATACTCCGTGTTAGGATTTTTGATCAATTAATGTAGCTCATTAGCCAAGTAATAACATGCCTACTTAGACTCTAAGTTGTATTTCGCTTGGAAATACGCTGCATATGGATATTCTTCGTCGCAAATTAATCTCTCGCCGTGATACTTAAACGCCCTGGATTCAACTCCTGGTGGGGTGATTGGTGAGTACATTTTAGAAGTTCTATACTTGAATGGAACATCTATCTAGTGCAACCTTGTTTTCTAGAGTATCCCAAATGCGACCAATTTGTGATGAGCACTACCTGAAAATTAAGCTAATCACTACGAAACCCCTTCAGATAAGTAAGCTACCGAACTCCGTTTAAAAGGGCCCTTTAAATCTATTTTAACCCGTGTTCGAAAACCCAAATTCGGCTCTCTAATAATTAGATTCTTAGCTTATGTCTCACTGTGCAAGATTATTACCTACAGTATTTTTACACATTTTTCACTGTTTACCATAAATCTAAACGGAAAATATACTTATTCAGTATTTATTATCATTTGTATTGTTTTGGGGTTTGAATAAGAGAATAATACACGGAGTGTTGCAAATTTGAGTTATAAATCATTATGTTAAGTGAGTCGTCTAGATAATTTATTTATTTATTTATTTGAATACATAAATATTGGTACAAGAGAGCGCCAATATATATGCGCCACACAAAACAATGAGAATTTAAAGAGAAGGAAAAAGGAAAAAGCTAAGGAGCGTAAAAAAAGAGGACAATAACGAAGAGATTGGTGTATAATAGTGTAATAATAATAATGGTAATAATGAGGGAACGGAAAGGTGCAATCAGAAGAAATCTTTCAGATAAGGGAGACAACCACGTTTTATGAAGAAAGTAAAAGGTTACAGCAGGATCGCCACTGGCTTCTATTCTGAGCCATATCTGATAACGTCTCTAGCCACTGTGTAGCACCATCTCTCGGACCCCAAGCAGAGAGTCGTGAAGGACCAACAGAAGCCAGTCCTTTGCAGCTTTCTTTCATACCACGACACCATGTCATATACTGACCACCTCTCCGCTTTTTCCAACCAGTCCCAGAGTCGGCAAATAATGCACGACGTGGAATTCTCTTGGACGACATTCGTAGGACATGTCCAAGCCACCGAAGTCGGTGTTTCAAGATGGTGACATCGATTGCATTATTATCTCTGTGCCCGAAAACGAGATGCCGAACCTCTGCATTACTGACATGGTGTTGCCACTGAATGTCAGCAGTCCTTCAGAGACAACGATGATCGAACACAGAAAGTCGTCTAACGTCCTCAACTCGGAGAGGCCAGGTTTCACAAGCATAGAGCAAAACTGCTCTCACCGACGCGTTGTAGATCCGACCTTTTACAGTCAGACTGACATCACGAAGGCGCCAAAGATGGCCCAGATTGGCATAAGCCGCTCTGGCTTTCACTATACGTGCATTGATCTCATTACTCACACCCCCCACCAGCACTTATGCAGCTACCCAAATACACGAACTTCTCGACTAATTCTATCTGCTCACCATCCAGGGTGAGTAGAGGATTAGAATCCTGCCAGTCTTGTAGAAGTACTTTGCACTTCGAAGGTGCAAAGCACATACCATACCTACGGACACTGATTACCAACTGATTAAGTGCGGATTGCATGCATTGGGTATTATCACACAGTAAGACAATATCATCCTCATACTGAAGGTCGAGAAGTCTTTCTCCAGACAACAGAGCTGTTTCCAGAATGTCATTGTTGGCAAAGTTGAAGAGGAATGGTGAGATTGGGCAACCCTGCCTAACACCACTGCTCGAATGGAACAATAGAGAGAGGTGGTTGTATGTCATAAATCTACCTGAGGTTTTTGCAGATTTTGCAGACCATCATTGCAAGTTGTTTCCATTGTTGCTAATCGAAAAATGATTTTAGCATGGTTTACTAATTTTGTCGTCATTAATAACGTTCGGAAAATTATTTAGAGTATTCATTGATAGTGTAAATCTATTGCAAAAATAATGGGCTTCAATATATGGATGATATTATGTTAGTGCTAGATGATGAAATCTCAATTAATCGGTTGGTGGAGAGTCCACTCTCCCTTTCGAAACGCTGTCATATGACCACGCGTATATAGCTACTCTCAGAGAAGTCCTACTCCTTGTCTTATCGCAGTGGGTGAGTTGTTTACGAAGTTAAAACGAATAAAAGTGAAAGTTTGGCACTTAAACCGGGTAAGTTTGTACGGAGGATCCACATAAGAGAGTTGAAAAACCCTGATTTCAAAGTACTGGTGCACATCGGCTCCAGGATCTTGAGAGAACAAATGACGTTTAAACCTATTGTTGGTCACCGGCTATCATGGGACCGCATCTCCTAACGTTTCTGTACTACCTTGTGGATCAAACCTCTAGGTCAAAGGCCCGGGGAGTTGGCCCCTAAGAAAACCGTCTGCCTCTGTTTGGGTTCCTGTGCTTTATCCGAGCTCATAAGCAAATCAAATGATTTGTGCGGCTCATATATATTTTGGTTCCTCCGTATACCATTGTCTATGTCTTTAAATGAATAAATCAATGAGTTGGCAATTAGTATTTGTGAGTATGAAATATATTTTGCTACTTTTGAACTACGAGTTATTTTTTTAAAACTGACAAGTTTTTTACCTGGACTCACCCTTTGCGACAATACTTTGGAAATATTCGAGGTTTGTATATATCGATAGTTATGTAAGTGCTGGTAATGGTTTGGAAGAAATTTCAATCAGGCAGCTTATGCCATTCCTCTTTAACTTTCCCATCGATAACGTCTTGCAAGTAGCTGTTATGGAAATAGGTGGTGATGTGGATGTGCAGAAAGAATATGGCGCAGTTGTGATATTAGTCTGGTTGCCAATAAGAGCAGTTTTTCCGCGTGCTTGTGAAATATAACTTCTTTGAATTGAAGGTGTTAAACGACTGTGTCTCCGAAGGACTGCTGACCTCTAGTAGTAATACCATGTTAGTAATGTTGAGGTTCGGCAATTTGTGTCTAGATGTAGTAACTAATTCAATTAGTGTCACCATCTTGAAATACCGGTTTCATTATGTTGGACACGCTCTACTAGTTTCATCTCAGCGAACTCTATAATGTGCATTATTTACCGACTCTAAGAGGAGATAGAAAAAGCGGATTGGTGGTCAGCTTATGATATGGCACTATCGTATGCACGCTTTATAGGACTAGCATTCATCGTTGTTGGGGTCCTAGAAACACTGCATCATAGTGGCCCAAGAATTTATCATGGATGGCTAAGAATGGAATCCAGTGACAATCCTGCTGTAGTTTTCTTTTAAATTCTTCACAAAGGTGATAAGAACTGTCAGCGAAGGAATTCTTTCTTGATTGCATTTTAAATGAACCATATATCTTATTAAATGCTCTTCTTCTTCATTTATTTATTGTACTACCCTTCCTTGTTTTATTTCTTCAACTCATAAGTGTGCCGTATTTTCTTGGGTGCCCCAGTGTACCATTAAATATGCCATAAATAAATAACTCAGTGGCTTGAGACAGTATTTGACATAGTTGAGACCAGAAGTCAGTAACAATCGTGCTACTGTTTCCTTCATAAAAAGTAATATACACTTTTTGACCAAACGAAATTTATTTCAATTATTTTCTTGGTTAAACTGTAATTTTTAATAAACACTGCCATTGTTTATTCGTTTATTAAATTTATAATTATTCCTTCTTTGATTTCTTCAAGAGATTCCCAATTAGCTTCAAATGGCATGTATTTTAATACTCTTTTCCACCATGCCTTAATGTTTTATATAAACACATAAACAAATTACTATTGATTTCTTGGTGTATGATTGGAATAGCATATTTTACAAGACAACAAGTTTTTTGTTCGTAAATTTAAACAACTTTGGTTCCATTATGCTCTCCAAGCTAAGTAGTCCAATCGCGGAGTTCTCGTTGTCGATCTGGACAACAACTATCGGGGCCCATTTCATGTAGAAGTGAACTTCTCATTTATTCCCCATGTGTTATATCAGTTTTGTTTTGATGACTTTGTTTATAATTGGTTTTGTTCGTGGGCGTTTTGTGTATTCGTCCTTGGATTCATGTTTATTGTCTTTTTCAGTTGATCTCTGACTCTGCAGTTAACTGACTTCTTCCGTGTGTTTGAATGGATTAATCCTACTTTAATGTATTTATTGATTACCAGTCGATCTTGTTGCCATACCTTTAGAATTTCTGGTATTCTCCAGGATTCCTCAATACGTAATTTCGAGATTTCTCCAATTGAGTTCATGTTCATGGTTGTCTGTATGCACTGATATTTATGACAACATATCATATCGCTTCACTGCTAATCTATGTACATGCATGTATATTTTGTTAGTTGCTTAAGTTGTTCATAGTTATTTTTTTCTCTTCAAACTTTAGGACTACAGTAAATAATATCTCTGATTATTTACAAAAGAATGATTTCTTTAAAAAACTTTGGGATAGTCGGTCCAAGTTCGATGATATAATACTATTGGATGAGAATGGATTTGATTCAGACCAATCAGTTTTAAATAAAAACCATCCTTTGCAAATCCTTAAGGATGCTATGTTAAAGGTACGATAAAATCTTGTTTCAATCTGATTATATACTATAAAAGGTATTTGTGGCAGTTTTGTTTCCTACTATAGATAATTCACACTGAAGTTAGTTATTTAAATTCTTCAACTGCGATATTTATGAGCGATAAAGTTTATGTTTATTTCGGATGTTTACTGAATTTATTAATGAAAGTCTTATAATGAAAGTTTTATATAGATCATTTATACTGGAATTATGTGCCGCATATAACTTATTTTTTATGCTTAAAATATATTGCTTGCTTGGAACAATTAATTCTACAATATTTGGATATTTATGTGTCACAGTAGACCGAATATTCAGTACAATACTTTTTAATCCAAGCTTAGTTAAATAGGTGTATCTTCAAAAAAGCGGTTTTCATCATAACTGTAGGAATGTTGCACTGTGTATCGTTAACCTTACACAAAATCGATTTAAAGACCCTCAAGTATCATGATTATTGAGCTAGTATTTAGCCACTGTGTTGGAATTCATTAATTTACCCTTTTCAACATCAGCGATTTGATCCGACCATACTGTAATGTAATTGGTAGTTATCAACTTTACTTCTAGTATAAGTGACCTTGTTGGTTATGCCTTTCCATCGAAAAAATAACAGTATTCATCTTAGTGCTTTGGATAGAATAGGTTACTGATAGATAAATTTTAATAAATTTCAAACTGGAGTACTTAAACTCACTTCCAATCTGATTGGCCAGGATTTTAAACCCTAACTAATCTTGTCATAGATGTTTAAAGAAATCCAAGATCGATCTTTAGTTTATGCACTGAAGTGGATACTGTAGTAAAGCCTAAAGTGTTTTACTACTTTTTTAGCTTTATAAGTTTATTGATGAAAGTCTAAAGTCTAGTTTTCAAGTCAGTTTCACGACTGCTCGATGGTCATACATAACATTTATGATACTCTTATCCGACATCTCTTGAGATTCAGTCAGTCAGTAACAAAGTAGAACTTCGTACGTAAGTACATCAGTTCGAGTTGCCATCCCACATTAGCACAGAGATGCAGTTGTCGTCATTGCAAACGATTTTGAGCCATGTCATTCAAGGTCTCTAACCATCGGTTGCTATCATCTCTCGGATCCCAACCAGGTAGTCTACACGTACCAACATGGCTCAGTCCACTCCTGAGATTAGAAAGTATCGATTTTAAGTATGTACATTGCGACTATATTCATTACGCTTCTTGATATTATTCTGCGTGTTTTATTTTCCGTTTGATTCCAGTGGGATGCAGAGCAAGTTTTAACTGCTGAACCTAGAATACTTTATAAGGGAATGAAAGATTTTCGGATGCGTTATCCTCCACTTCTCATTCAAAAAACTATGTCATCTAATCAAAAAGACTCCAGACAAATAAACTCTCAACTAGAAGGTAACCGTTGGGAATTCATTATTTTTGTTATGTTTTCCTTCGTCTGAATTTATCGAGCATTTCACTGTTGGGGAGACCCAGAATATTCCTCGAAGAAAGCTCAAAGGGGCCCTGAAAACATTGGACAGCACTTTATCCAATCAGCATCGAATGGAATTTTCTCAGAAACACCTAGAGAGTGAAGAGTCACGTGTGACACTTCTGATTGGATGATTACCTATCCTGCTACTAAGTTCAGTAGGGTTCTGGAACATTCCATAAACCCAATACCATCTGAAATGATATGAATACCCTCAATTTTCTGTACATAAATAACATTAGAGTAAAGCGTTCTCCCCATATTTCGCTCCTTTTCTCTAGTGTTCAAGTTGTTGTGTAGAGTTAGCCTGGGGGCATGTGAAGGGCTTAGGAAACGGAACCAAGCGTTCAATCAGATTTGTCATTCACCGTCAAAATTTCGCCTATTTTTCGTACTATATGTTTTTGGATCACTGAGAACTCATAATGAACAAGTATCTTATACAAAATTTATTTACTGTATAAATATATATTAAGATTAAATACAAGGTTAGGGTAACTAATAAGTTTACCAAATTGAATTCCATGTTGATAGGTATATATTAATGCTCTTTAATGAGACTAAAATTTATGACACCGTTAAATAACTTAGTTGTCACTAATAAGAATGAACGATGGTCGTAAAATATCGCTATCCAAGTTGGAAATGCAAACTATGGAGTCCCCAACTCAGTAGTCTTAGGGTTAGTCACTCCCCAAGAGGTTTGATTGTTCTGGGTTCGGTCCCTGTCAGAGTCGTAAATGCGTCTTACTGAGGATTTAGGTACTTGAACGAAGTAATTATCTGGCATTCCATCGTTTTCAGTGGTTTGCCAACCAAATTCAGTTCATAATTTAAACTAGAAGTTATATTTTGTGAATCCCACGCTTCGCAATGTATTGTGCCATGGAAGGTGGTAGCTGGAGCTACAAAACAAATTTTAAACTAGTCTCAACTCAACAGAAGTTTACAACCTCAATAACCGATGTGTCACATTCATTTAATCGGTTAGGTCAAGAGTTAGGACTGCTCACTCTATGAATTCAACATATGAAAATATTTATTCGAAAACATTCATGACCGAGTAAATACGAATTACATACATCTACTTTCAGTGGTTTCACGTATGATAATAAAGCGCGAACTGTTATGCAGTATTCTTATACTTTAAGAAGTAGTAAGTCATCTTGCATGCGATGCTGGCGATCCAAGCTGATTTTACTGAAATCAGGTTTTGTAAACTGAGTAATGAAAGCTTATATACTTCTAGCTGGTTGATTGTATCCATGTTAAGGTTTTGTCAACCAGAAAGACATTAGGGTTAGGGTGATTCATAAGTGAAGTGATAAGTCCATCTAACTACATAGTTTCCTATCACTATGAGTTATTAGGGTAAACAATCCTGGAACTAACATTTTGGATTACAAGAGTTAGAAAATTAGTGTAATTACTTAAGGTTTTCCACTAAAATTGTTGAGAAGACAGTTTTTGTCAGCACTTGTATTGAATAGGCAAATATTGTCTAAGGAATCCACATCGTTTACCGATTCTCCAGATAAGTATTCGGTTTCTCATATTTCAGATGGAGTATATCCGAAGATAAATATAGCTGATAAGCAGTATGTCTCAGGCACTGTTCATCGTAGTAAATTCAGATGATGCTTCTTTTTTTAGGTTTGACCTGTATGAATATTTTGTAATGGATAGTTTTCGGTAAGGTGGTCTGTCGATCAATAGAGTCGAGTGATACCTTCAGGTCAAGGAATAAAATAGACTAATCCTTAACAGTCTGATAATGGACGTGTTTTGAATATTTTAGGCTAGCTGCTTAATTGTGATGTTTTCATTGTAAATTCTTGGAAGGCCCTGGCTATCATTTTAAAATACAAAACTTTTAAATATTTGTCCTCATTTTTAATTGGTAAGCTTGTCTTTTTCTGCTGGTGGGCGGCCTATGCTCCTCCACGAGGGGTAACAGGCGTAGGTAAGTAGGTTGTCTTTATAAAATTCAATAATTATCTTCTTTTGTTTTGCTATCTTTTATTTCTGTTTTTCGTTTAGTTATTTTAATCATTAATTATGTGATCGTGTAATCATTGGTAAAATAATTAGATTTTCCACTTGCGAATATTTTACATAGTAAATTATTTTCGAGGAATTTCCTGAGTGTTTTGTAACCATCATAAAGATCCATCTGGTCTACAGGTTTAAACATTCATATCACAGCAATTAATGATGTAGCTTTCTATTGATCATGCCTAGGAACCGAATTCTACCTACTATGTACGATACTGTTGCGTAATTTTTTTTTGATTACATTATATTCACCTATTAAGAGCTTTCAATCACAACTAAGTAATAATTACTTTCAGTAGCTATTTGGACATAGATTTATGTTTAATTAATAACAGTTAGATAATAAAAGTCGTGTACGATTAAATAACGTAATGTAATTCTTCATTTAATTCTTCTTTGAAAGCTCCTAAATTTCAATATCCAGACTTGAATATCCGTGAAGAACAATTACCTACTGTTAATTTGGCTGATTTGTTAGCTTCTCAAAGTAAAGATCCTACATTATCCTTTAAAACTATTCAAAATGGACGTACTGGGATAAATAATGGATCTAATTCTGTATTTAAACGTCCACTAGCACCCAAACCATCCACATTCAGCAATCGTGTACAGTATACTCCTAAAATGATGTCCAGCCAGTCTCCAGAAATATCCCTTAACAATATCAGACAAACCAACTCTCCAGTAAGTATTTTACAGTGTATAATTCAGATTAATTATAATAAATATGTTTGAATTACATGTCAATTGATAGAAATTTGTTACTAGGTATGTCGCAATGACTGTCAAATAATTAAGATGTCACTAAAGTAAGTGGCCCAGTGAAGGCAGTTCTCTGTATTTGATGTTTTGTAGTCTCATGTGGGATGCTATAGGTATTATTCTCATTATCTCTGAACCACCAAACCAAATAAAAAGTCCTGAAAGAATTCATACTTATCAATAGAGATTACATGTTTGTTGACGTCTGTAGTCATAAAATACTCCCTACTGACCTTTATGAAATGTTCGACATATAATGACCGCGAAATCAGATTATCTAACTACATTCAACTACTTATTGGGTAAAGTTAAGCCACTACTCAGAAAATAAACTATTCAACGAATGATATAATCTGATTTTTTATGGGATCATTCATTTCTTGGTGATAAAATACCTTAATTCGTGCATTAAATAAATGTTGTGAATCTGAAAGCAGGCATATTACTTGTTAGTATTCTATGGTAAACTTGTTAGTGAATAACAGCAAACATGGTGTTGGAGATATAATTTCAATCGAATATAATATAATGTAAATTAACTTTGAGATCTGCCCTTTGGTTAAATATCCATCTCAACTAACTGTTCGGATAAAACTATCGTAAGTTAAATTTAAAGCTTTAAGCGCTGGATAATAAAAATGTAAAAAAGTAGAATTATCAAATGATATGGTCAGAACCACTTCTAATTATATGACTAAAAACCTAAGATAAAATATCCAGTCGGTTTTAATCAACACATTCGAAAAGTGACTGTGGTTATTGACGAAGAACACTAAATAATGAATTCAAGATAATAATTCACTAGCTTTTCTTTATTTTACTGGTTGAGATCATGAGTTAATTAAAGCTAGACCACCATGGAAAACCTGGAAGCACTGGACGGCTGTTTCGTCCTATTACGGGACTCCTCAGCAGTGCGCATCCACGACCTCGCCTCGTGAGATTCGAACTCAGGATGTATCAGTCTCGCCCGCAAGCGCTTAACCTTTATTTGTTTATCGGTTTCCACCTTATTGTTTGGATATCAGCGCGAATGGTAGATAATTTTTCCTGTTCTTCGTGTGCTATCCTTCTTATGTTCCTGAAGCTTTCGACAAGTTACAAAAAGTAGTCAGTAAAATTCAAAAGATAATTTCCCATTCGGGACTTCGAGATTTTGCTGTAGTGTGTTCATTAAAGCAGCTGTTTTCTCAGGTTTAATAGTTTCTGAATATTGTAGATAGACGTTTGGATTTGTTTTTTTATACAATTAGCACCTAACTATTTTGAAACTATTCGTTCAAAAGTCAATGAATTTCATTAAAATAAACTTTTAACAATTGTTTGATCCCTTGCATCTGTCTATGATCAGGTGTTCTAGTGTTTCAATATCAAACATGCTCTTTTCCATAAGTAATATATTGGCGTAGAACAGAAAATTAATGCGCTCTAATACGACTTTTGCAAGCTGCATTACCGCCAAATACTTTGTACGATTACAGAAAGTTTTCGAAGCGTTACAGTTCTCAGAACAAGCACAGATATCGTATTTTAAAGTGACTTGACAGTTGGTGTTCATACAGTTGTACACAGTTGAGGCTTTTGTTTAATAACTTATCACACTTTTCACTCTGCTTTACTCTGAACCTTGAATAATTTATTACCCTTACTTATTCATTCTACACTTTACCAAATCTTCTTATTGTTTTCTTTCTATTTAATTAAAGTGCATCAGCTTAAGTGGATACAATTCTTTTGCAGATCCTACTTTGTCTCACCAGGTTATGATAATTGGAAATAAAATTAAAAACAAAATTGTTTATTTTAGTCATACAGTTTGTACTCAAAATAGAATATTAAATTTCCGAAACATCAATCTAAACTCGATAAAATAGTGGATAAAGCATTCGGTGTTTGAAGCAAAATGTACCAGTTTCTAGTTGTAGTGTGAAAATCAGCACTGGAATACAGGTACACCCAACTGAGTCCCGAAAAAGGACTAAATACGCGTTCTGGATTCCATTGTTTACTTCACTTCTCTGTATACGTTGGAAAACGAAGATACTTAAATTTCATGGTCAAAAAATGGATTGGTTATAGGGAACCAGTTGTATATTATTCAGTTTTTGTCTTACTTTTTATGTCAGATAGATGATTATCAATTTCTAGACTGAACTTCTACAGTGAAAATACCTAGAGAAAACATATACGAATTTCTTTATGTGTAATAAGGTGGTGTTATAATGATAATTGTAACACTGTATGTTTGATTACAATGAAGAATGCTCAGCACAAAATGTACACTATCACAATAAACTCCCTTTCATATTTATTTAACTTATGAATATTGGACAAATATATCCTCAATTATTTTTTTTATCTCCAAACGTTTCCTATTAATATTCAACATAAAATATCTGACACATGAGTTTCATTCTGACTGCTTCCCATTTCTTCAGAGAACAGATGAGAAAGAAAGTATATTCTTATAGTGCTTAAGAATTTTAACCAGGTCTCTGAATTTTCATAATTGACTAGTCGTATTTAAGAATCTCGCTTCCACTATCTTAGTTTAAGTATTTTACTCAATAGTACCATTCTGCTCAAACTCGACTCCTCAAATATGTACTGTATACCGAATGAAAATAATAATTAATCTAAGAAATATCATTAAATAATATATTAGACCAATTAATTAACTCTTATTTAACGTTGGTTGAATTTAAAACAATTATTTTTGCTACTCACTGTTACTAATACAAAACCAAATTATCGAGATGATGAATGTTTAAGGTTGTTTTGTAAGGAAACACGTGAAACTGTATAAAACACCAACTACTGAAAAATAATCGTAGTTCATACGGATATTCGTCAATATTTGGGCGCCGAATATGTAGAAAACATTATTTATGAAAATCATATTTGAAAAAATTTCAGCGATTAAATTTTAAATAATTCTAACGTTTCTTCGAGTAAACTTGTCTGAACTTCTTCAAGACATTAGTCAAATTTTTAAATTGTTCAAATTTACAATTGCTGAGATTATTTCAAATATAATTTTCACTGATAATTGGATGAATTGATTGACTTTATGTTTACATGGAACAAATCTCTTTACAGACTCCAGGAGATTTAGTTATTTCAGTAACAGTATCCAGACATGTCCAAAATTTTTCTGTATAGTTGTAGCTAGTTAAATGCATTATTAAATCGTTTATTATTATTATTATTATTATTATTATTATTATTATTATTATTATTATTTCACTACGTCAGTAACGGAATGAGTCAGTTTGGTTACAAAATCAATCAGTCATATTGATTGCCTCTTGAGACAGTTATATTTATCGTCATATGTTAATCCTTAAATTAAAAGCTTGTTTCGCTATTAAGATGTGCTACTTATGTGTCATTTTTTTTATTTATTCGAACACATAAACATTGGTATTAGAGGGCACCGAATACGTATGCGCCACACTATAAGAATGAAGTTGTGAATGGATAAAAAGTGTAAAGTGTGTATAGTGAAAAAAAAGAAAAACAATGTACGGAAATTAGTGTGAGTGAAATGATAATGATCCTAGTCATAATGATAATAATGAGAGAAACAATTCAGTTAGTAAAAATACAAACAGAAAAATTCTTTTTGTTCCCAGAAAACAATCCTGTTCAACTTAATCTGATTTCACGAAACACTAAGATTGTTGGATTGTAATAAGTATGACGGTGTTCTAACATTTAGCGTAGGATCATAATACGATCAGTACATCCTCGACCAGAATGACAACCAGCCTCCCTAGCGAGTTAATCTTTCTCGGGTTTTGAACAATCTACGAAGTATGACGGAAGCCAATAGTTTGGATACGATCGGAAGTAGACTTATCTTCAGACAGTTGTTGCAGAAACGACATAAAACCCTTTTTAACGATAGGGACAACTATCAACTCATTCCACGATGTTTGAACACTCTCTAATTGCCACATCTTTGTAAACGACGCAGTCAGTTTGTTAACCAGAAGGTGGGTCGGAATTAAGTCATCTGAACCTGGTGATTTGTGGCATTTCAGGATTTGGAGCTCTTTGCGGACTTTCGCCTCGTTCGGTGGATCAATCGACACTGAACATCAAAGACAGGATAGTCTGTTCGGTTTTACCGGGTAACAGACTAGTTGAACTGATCCTTCCAAAACTTTACGGTGCGCTTGTTGTCAACCTTAAACTTATCTCGGTTTGATATTTAGTTGCAACACATGCTGCAACCGATTTGCTGACATCGATCCGCTTGGGAAAATGAATTTGTTAACCACTGAAACGCAAGGTAAGATTAACGCAAACAAGGGCATGATCAGAGTCCAGATAGGAGCGGTAGCAGTCTAGACAACCACGTTAGAAGTAGCTGATCACGGTATGATCAATCTGAGTCCAGGTCTGAGATGCAGAGGGAAGACGCCAAGTAGCAATGACTGTACCGGTAGTCAGTGCTAACCAGAAACAGGTTGTAATCTGCGTGAAATTGCTGTAGACAGTCACCATTATCTTATCTGCGACCAACAAGTCCCTATTGGTCGCCTAAACGACTCTGTTCTGTGCCCAGATGCCCGACCTGAGAATTCAAGTCTCTTTGGCTAATACTACAATATCTGTCGAACGTAATTTTCGTAGAAGAACAATTAACTGGTGGTAAAAATCATTGATCGCATCGGGGCTTTAATCTGTCGGAATGTAGGAGATGAAGAAACATCATTTCTCACACCGACTTCGCAGTTTCATGTAGCTTCCTAATCTAACAGCACATAAACGACTGTTAGTGGGTATCTAACCGATCAGCGCTGACTTAGCTCTAGTGCTTAGTGAGACATTTAACTCCAGCAAAACCAAACGAAGATGCCACAGGGTCCCCGGATAAACGCACATGGAACAGGTTTTCCGAAAGGACAGATGAAGAGCGAATTTGTATTACTTCAGTGTGGGTTTCAGATAAATAACAGACACGGGTGTTGAGACTTTCTAAAGAAATTATCAACCCTATCTGTTGTCTGATCTGTATTATTGTGCGAACGTGGAAGAAAGCCAGCTTGAATGGTTTACGTAATTTCTGAATCCTTAGTCGGTGGCAGCATTCAACTTTCGACCAGTCAGCGACTTGAGATCATTTGGATGGGACAGGGTTTCCACTATAGAGGAGCTACTGTGTAAGTTGAAAAATAAAAGAATACGCAAAATAAGAATGAGAGTAAATATGTGACAGTATAAATGAAATGAATACACAGAATGAGAACGAAAGAGAGTAAATAAGGGATGTAGTATAAAAGAAATGGAACCGAATGTTATCCAATGATTGTGAATGTGGTTTGTCGGAATGCTAATTGAAGCAAGAATAGTTTTTCCAGCAGTAATCGTCATTTGATTTGTGTGAGGGCTGGGATACTGTCCAGGCCTCCAAATTGAAGCAGATGTTTTTCTTAGGAGTCTATGACCCGAGCTTTTAAACTAGTAGTCTAATCCACACAGCACTGAAACAACCTTAGGAAATGCAGTCCCGTAGTAGTGGGTGACCAACAATATGTTCATACACCAATTGTTCCCTCAAGATCCTGTATCCCATGTGCGCCATTGGTTTGGAATCAGGGTTTTCCAACTCCCGTACATCGATCCTTCATATCCACCAACCCGATTAAAGTACCGGATATTCGCTTTTCGTCCTCTCGATTTCGTAAACAACACACCCGTCGTGAGAAGGCAGTGAGTAGGACTTCCTTGTCAGTGGTTGTATATGCGTGGCCACGTGAAAGCATTTCGAGAGGGGGAGCGGACTCTCCCCACCCTCGGCCGTGCCAGGGCATTTAGGGGTGATGTCATTTACCGACCACAATACGATTTCTTCAAACCCAAACTTCACAATCATGCATCATAGTAATTGTAAACTATTTTTAGTTTGTTAATCACGTTGTATGTATTTTTCGGTCTTGTTTTTGTCTGTAATCATTACAATATTCTCCGGAGTTGTCCTAAATGTTTCTTTTTTCAACTGCTGTTTTTTAGGTTGATCATCGATTAGATGTTGTATCATCAGGTTTATCGAATTTATCGATGGGAAATTCTGATTCATAGTAAGAAAATTTATTTAGATTCCTTAAATCATATTTTTCCCGTTAAGAAAACATTGAAAATTTTCTTTTGTTATAATAGAATTTTGTTAACTTATGAATTTAACTACTTATAATAGAATTTCAAATAACCTTACTCTGAATTCAGAAAAAATGGCGGTTCGATGGTTTAGTTGATCGACACTTGGCATATAGGTTTGAACCGTGTTTCACTTTGATATAAGCTTTCGATTATTATCACCGATGCATAGAAAATATTCAGTTTGGATTCAAGTACACGAAAATGTACTTAGTTACAGAATTCCATTACTGTTTTGACCGTCTCTACGGTAAAAAGATTGAACCTTCCTAACTATACTTTTAGTTTTAAAACAGTTTCATTGATGTTGATTCGTTACAAGTAGGTGATATGACTTTATGTCCAACTTGTTATCACGTGATTTATCCGTCAATCGTAATACGACTTATACAATCTCCGCATTGTGCTAAACCAATGACATTTGACCAGTATGAGCAGCCTAGCATCCTTATTGGTCCTATGTTCGCCTAGCCCGTCCACTTGAGTCCAGAACACCAATACCAGCGTCCACTATGCAAATCGAATCATTTATTCCAGACATACTGGGTTTATATATCAAACGAACAGACCGCAACGCACCATAAAATAGGAAATAACATTTGTACACAATAAAGCCAAAAAGTGGCTGTGAACGTGGGAGACAGTAATCAATAAACTGAGTATAACAGTAAATCGTACAATAATAATCTATAGGTCAAAATGAAGCTTATAATAAGATTAATATAAATATACATAATATAATTATTGAATAGTTATACTGTAAGAATATACAGATCATATTAGTTCATTAATATGCCTCAGAAGTTTCTCGTGATTTAATCTTCACTAGGATATAACAAGTGATACATAATGTATATCAAACAAATTTAGGCATTAACTAATCTTACTTGTTATCTTTGAACGTCTAAAATAAATGATTGTTATTTCCATATTAAAATCGTTTGTTCACATTTGTTAGCCTTTATATTATCAATGTAATACTGTAATAATAAATGTAAAAATAAAAAAAGCGATAACAAATTGTATTATTTATGAATTACAATGAATTAATAACTGTAATGGCCTAGCCTAATCAAATAAATAAATGTGGTATGTTTAAATTAAATTGACTTATCAAATTCATTCCTATACCCTAGCCTAATCAAATAAATAAATGTGGTATGTTTAAATTAAATTGACTTATCAAATTCATTCCTATACTCTAATGTCACTCACATTTTTTTCTTAGCTTATCTAATTATATTTGCATATTTTCTCGAATTTCAGTGCTTCATTTCTATGGTGTTAATAATAATAATAATAATAATAATAATAATAATAATAATTATTATTATTATTATTATTATTATTATTATTACTATTTTTACTTAATATCTGTCGTTAACAGAATTTTTTTATTTATTGACATACCTAAAGTTTAATTATAGTCTGCTTTCATTATTGAATATTTTGTAATTTTTATCGATAATTTTTTATTGGATGGAGATTATCTATTTTGTCTTATTGATAAGTACTATTACTGTTTTGCTAAATAATTAATTCTATGATGTCTAAGGTATAGATCGTAGTAACTACTTGTTATCTACCATTCTGTGCATTATATCACTTTGTTGTCAACAAAATTTATTTGTATGTAGGAAAGTCCTACTCACTGCCTTCTCGTGGCGGGGGTGTTGTTTACGAAAATGAGAGGATGAAAAGCGAATGTCCGGCGCTTTAACCGGATTCCAAAACAATGGTAAACATTGGCTCCAGTATCCTGAGGGAACAAATGGCGTATGAACCAATCGTTGGTCATCAGCTTCCATGGGACTGCATCTCCTTACGATGCTCCACTGCCTTGTGGATCAGACCTTCAGGTCGAAGGCTCGGGGAGTGGCCCCCTAAGTAAACCACCTGCTTCGGTTTGGGCACCCGGGCAGTATCACAGCCCTCACACATATCGAATGAGATTTGTGTGGCGCATATGTATTTGGTGCCTCATTGTACTAATATCTGCGTTAAAATAATATAAATAATAAATAAATAAATAATGTAATATTCATAGAAAGTTTTGTTGACTGTGAAATGATAAGTAGTGTTAGTAGTATAATAATATCACAGTTACAATATTAACTGTTATTTAAGAATATGTTCGATACAATCTGTGGAACTGTAATTTTATTCAAATTTATTAGACATTAAATGAGCTAGGAGCTAGATTTCTTTATTCGTTAATGGTTTATATATTTTTTATTTAAATGGCTGTTCGAATTTCGTGCGTTTCACACTTAGAACTTCCATAAACAGCATGGTCTCACATATTTAGCATTTATTATGTGACTGTTTTCGGAAGCTTCCATCTAACTATGATTTACATTGGTGATGAGCTTAAAGCTTCTTGGTTTAAACTATTTAATACGTTTATTCACTGATCTACACATTTGAATTCTTGATCGTTTGCTAAATTTTAACTAATACACTAGTATCGTTAACCACTTCATAAAAAGTGTTGTTGATAGCTTCATTTGTGATTTTGCATGAAATCACTGGTCCAAGAGGCATGGCGTTGGTTGTTGTAGGAGTAAATTTGGAAATAAATGGCAGGCAAACCAAAACGTGCCATCAGTCCATGAAGTGATTGACTGTTGGTTTGTGTCATGTAGGTAAGTATATACTTACCTGGTTGGGGTCCGCGCGGTTCTTGTAACCAATGTTCGGAGACGTTGAACAACTTGTTTCAGAATTGGTCGCACTAGTGCAGATGATTCCCCTCTCTCTCTCTGTTTGAAACTATCTTCTACTTCTTTGCGTAAATTCATTCTCTCCTTTTTAATTATATTGTCTATGTTTACCACTGATACTGCTATTACTTCCACTTTTGTGAGATTTGTCTTGATAATTTTATCCCAGTGTCCCGATGTAGTGTGGAAGCTCAGGACGATGCGCCTTTTTATTTTTATGACATGACTTACTAGAGCGGCTGCTTGGTTATCGAGTGACTTGATCTATGGTTATTATGCTGAAAATTCACTCTGTTTTGAACAGCCAACTAATACCACTTGTGTTCACAAAAATAGTGAGCCTTAAAATCGAATACATAGGCCTGTTCTTTGTAGCTAAATTACGTTACATTGTTATATTAATACTAAGTTAGTGGTTTTTATTTACTAAGAATGAAAATAGATTAGTGATTATTTCCCTGAACCGAATGTTTGTTTCATACAAGATGAAAATCCTGGTAGTACTGTGATAATTATCTCATTGATTATTTTCACTATTGTGAAAAACTTATTATTTTTTTGTATTAGTTCAACGAATATCCCTTCAAATCTCACTCTCCCATATGGTTCAATAAGAGGCGATGAAGATATAAAAGACAATGTTTGGGTAAGTAGATTTATATAACTTGTTAGCAGACATTGTACAATGCCTAATAATAAAGTGTATGATGAAATACAGACAATTTGGAAGTGTATTTTTTTCAGTCTAATTTAGAAAGCCAGTATCTGTCTAAATGCTATGACGTAACATATGCATACTTGACATCATAACGATTTTTGTATTGTTTTTTTGTAGAAGAACCTACGTTTCATGTCTTTCGGGTTTTTTATTCGTGCTAAAATGGTCTTACTTTATTTTTCCTTTATCTAAAAAATTATGGTTCGAACACATGAGTAGGTGTAGGCTACCTGACTGAGTTCTACGTCATTATCGTAATCAATGGCTAGAGACCTTGATGGGCATGGCTCAGAATCATTCACAATAGCGCATATGCATTTACTCTTTGTCATCCTTTGGAAGCTGAGCCTCAATGTCTTTTTATTAGCTTTTCCTTTTCTAAACCATGTCCTGTCCACTATGTGGTACATGCTACTTATGCTGACAGATATGCATAGTATCTAGCAGCAATTGGAAGTGGAATGCTTGCCAGAAAAAGATTGAATTAAAGAGGACAGCAAGGAAAATTGAGAGTAATTGTAATAACAACAGAATTGGAAGAATCATGAAGTACGTACAAGCCAACTGAAGGAAGAAGTGCAAATAATGCATTGAATATATGGTTTTCAAATTTTATGACAGCACTTTGTAATTTTGCATTAAATAATAAAATTTGTTTTCCCCGCCTGGTTTCTCGTTCATTACACTATTACTGATACTGTCGCTACTTCTGCTACCTTAGAACTTTTCTTGATAATTTTATATAGCCATGTTAATGTGAACTTTAACTAATGCGTCAGGTTCTACGTTGCACATGACTAATCATCTGACATACTCTGTCTGGTTATTGATTTCTTGATAACTTTTAGGTTTTAATACCACAGCGACCGTTGCTATTTCCTGATTGGTCACTTTCCCTTTTAGTTTGCTATTGGTGATATGTCCACAAGGTCATTATTATTACTTCGTAAACACACTATGAATTTATTTTTGCAATATTAAAATCCTCATGAAAGTTATGTCTTCTCTTTATCTCATATGTCTATGGATTCTTAACGTTGATGTGTTGATATGTATTAGTTAATCATTCTGTTTGATTCTCGTAGATCCAGTTTCGAATTTTATTTATTTATTTGAACATATAAATATTAGTACAACAGGGCACCAAATATGTATGCGCCACACAAAACAATCAGAATTCGAAGAGAGAAAGTAAAAGAAAAAACAATAACGAACAGATTGGTGTAAGGTAGTGTAATGATAATAAAAATAGTAATAATGGGGGAAACGGAAGGGTACAACCAGAAGAATTCTTTCAGTTAAGGAAGTTACAACCACTTTTTATGAAGAAAGTAAAAGAAGGTTACAGCAGGATCGCCACTGGCTTCTATTCTGAGCCATATCTGATAACGTCTCTAGCCATTGTGTTGCACCATCTCTCTGACCCCAGCAAGGGAGTCGTGAAGGATCGACAGAAGTCAGCCGAACCTCTGCATTAGTAACATGTTGATACCACTGGATGTCAGCAATCCTTCTGAGACAACGATGATCAAACAGAGAGTTGTCTAACATCCTCAACTCGGAGAGGCCAGGTTTCACAAGCATAGAGCAGAACTGCTCTCACCGACGCGTTGTAGATCCGATCTTTTACAGCCAGACTGACATTATGAAGGCGTCAAAGATGGCCCAGATTGGCATAAGCCGCTCTGGCTTTCACTATACGTGCATTGATCTCATCACTTACGCCACCACCAGCACCTGTGCAGCTGCCTAGATACACGAACTTCTCGACTACTTCTATCTGCTCACCACCCAGGGTGAGTACAGGATTAGAATCCTGCCAGTCTTGTAGAAATACATTGCACTTCGAAGGTGCAAAGCACATACCATACCTACGGACACTGATTGCCAACTGATTAAGTGCAGATTGCATGCCTTGGGCATTATCGCACAGTAAGACAATATCACCCACATATTCAAGGTCGAAAAGTCTTTCTCCAAGCAAAAGATCCACACCGCCATTACTTACATCCATCAGAGCTGTTTTCAGAATGTCATCGATGGCAAAGTTGAAGAGGAATGGTGAGATTGGGCAACCCTGCCTAACCCCACTGCTCGAATGTAACAATAGAGAGAGGTGGTTGTATGACCTCACTCTACCCGGGGTGTTTGTATATAGGGCTTTTAGGATGTTAATAAACTTCTCGGGCACACTCTTGTTCAATAGATAATCTCAGAGAACAGTCCTATCCAACGAATCGAAGGCAGCCCTGATGTCAAGAAGCACTACGATTGTTGGCCTTTGATAAGTATGATGGTGTTCTAACATTTGGTGGAGTGTGGAGATATGATCATTGCATCCTAGACCGGAATGAAAACCAGCCTGCTCCTCGCGAGTCAATCTTTCTCGGGTTTTGAACAACCTACGAAGTATGACGGAAGCCAACAGCTTGGACGCAATCGGAAGTAGAATTTTCCCCCGATAGTTTTTACAGGAACGACGTGAACCCTTTCTAAAGATAGGGTTAACTATCGACTCATTCCATGACTTTGATACACTCTAGCTCCCAGACCTTTGTAAACAACACAGTTAGTTCCTTAACCAGAAAGTCACCACCATCTTCAAAAAGGGTCGGAGGTAAGTCACCTGGGCCCGGTGATTTGTAGCGTTTCAAAAGTTGGAGTTCCTCGCGGACTTCCGTCTTATTTGGTGGACCAGTCGTCACCGGACATGGAGGGCCTCTCAGTCGTTTGCACCTTCAGATAATAACTTAATTCTTCAATTAGAAAAGTTTGCAAAATATATTTCTAAAATAAAACCTATGTTCCATGTTCGTCCGTTAGCAAACTAGAAGACTCCATTAACATAGTGCTTGACTAGATAATGAACTTAATCAAACTGAGCTATGCATATAAGCAAATTGCCGACGTACATCATGTTTCAGTCTCTCGTATGTAACCGCTTAACTAACATATAATCATTATGTTTAAAGTTATACTGCGAAGTACACCGTTTTTATTAATGAGTTATGAGTATCCAAGCCCTACTACTCACAAACTACGTGCGAAAAATCGATTATCATGTTAAAGTTGGTCGTATTGGTTGCCTATTTACTATAACCTCACAAATCCATGTATTTGGATAATTTGTATATATCTAATATTATTATCGTTTCCTTGTTGATCTACACCACCTTTTTACTTTTGTTAACTTGTTTTATTATTCATATGACTTAGTCATAGAAAGTGTTTATAAGTGCTTTTTCATAATAACTTCAGTATAATTAAGTTGTGATTAACAATTATTAATACTTGCATGTGTTAAATGCAATGTTTACGAGAAATTCAACCAGAATAAGTCATAGTATAATACTTTCCTTCTCGATCATTGAAAACTTCATCCGTAAAACTGATTCAACACTCCAACACTAGCATCCTTGGTGATTACTTCTTAGAAGAATTTTCAGATTTTCTGTTATAAATACTCACACTTTTTACGCTTTAGAATCTTCGGTCGGCACTACAATGAACTTATGTCTTTTTTTCTTCGTCTTCCTAATTGTTGGGACCAAATTAAGAGTTATTATTGGGGTATCGTGCTTATTTCAGTAGTGTTTTATGTTATCACGTTAAATTTTCAAATCACTTATTCGAGTTTTTCGCATGATAGTTTACGTATAGAATGTAATTTTTAACTAATGAAACACCGTCCACACCACTGACTCAAATTCAATACAGCCGAATTTCAGCAAAATACGATTTACATACTGTTGCGCTATTTTAATAATCATTACCTTAAATAAATAGATTATTACTTCATTTTCAGTGAAAAAAATGTAAGACTTATCACACCCAAACATCATAACAAAGTTAATCTATTAATAAAAATGTAGTGGATAACAATCTAAATTCGTTCATTGTTACAATCCTAATTGTCACATTTTTAGGCATCACCTACACTATCACATAAATTGTAGATAAACTTAGGAGAAAGTAACTCTATGATGGCAAGATTGAAGACAATTTACAAATCTATTGATAAACATACACTGCTAACGAGTTCCAAATATTACTAAACCTAGGTTCAAGGTTTCCTGTCGACTATCTCCAACCACTGTCTTGCATCTCAACATCGCACATGCGATGTTGAGTCACTTAGACTAGAGGCCACATTGCAACTTAATCGATAGAATTCAATCTGCACTACGAACGACCTGATACACATGAGATTAATAACAATTCATCAATCAATTGTAAATTAGAACTCTGTCAAACACTTAATAATAATCGTATATCGTATTTACAATATTCCTTTCTTTTGTTGAATTAGCACCACATTTTTATATTCTTATTCTTTCTGAAAGCCTTATGCCTCGTTTATTCTGCTAAAAGAGAATGTCGCTCAAAAATTATGCATCCATTAGATATAATCTGCAGGTTTATTCATATTTTGTTGTCAAAGTTGTGATAATAGACACGGAGTGTTGTTTGTTGATCTTCCTCTTGAATTCAAATTCACTTTTCCAAGTCTAAAAGTTATTGGAGTTGGAAATTTTAACAAATCTACCAGAAAAGTTTTATTCTAGTACTAGCCTTTTTTTAGTTTTTTTTAAATTTATTATATTCACATTTTTAGAAACTATCTGATGATAATTTGGATGAAGAACCTCTTGCCTACTGTGACTACCATGATAAACTACATCCTGATAGCACGTTGTTGAACAAATTATCCGGGCAAATGATAGAAAATACAGTTAATAGATCAAATGGTCCTTATGCAAATCCATGGAAAGCATCTTTATCTATGTCACCTAGTAGTGTTTCACTTCAATCCGTGCCAAGTATTCCTCCATCTGAAACTAAACCAACAAATGTTTTACATTCTCATTCATCCCTAACATCATTTAATCAGTCAGATGTTTTAAATAATCAAGGTGAGAAGGTTTTTACAAATGAACCTCTGCTATGTGCATATAATTTCGTTACTATATTGTTTATCAGCTCACAGATATCATACCACAATGCTAATTGAAAATGTTTCAAAATTACTGAATAAGCAGTTATTCCAGTCTTTACCTTACAAGTTGACAGTATCATCAAGCAGAGAAAATGTTTTCCTGGAAACCTTCAATCTTATGAAATGTTATTTTCATTTGTGTTCTTTGTTCAAGTAAATTTAATACCGATTTTATGTGTATGTGAAGTGGTTAAAGGTAGCGAATAAACGTTTACGAATAAAATCTCCGTAATATCGCACAACTGATATCAGATGAACAAAATGTAGTGATCAAAATCTAAGATAATAGTAACGTTTAATACGGTGATTACTGGGTTCAAGTCTTAATGACAACACCATCAGATTAGGACGTGCTGACCAATTATACTGATGGGTTTCAGAAATGATAAATTACGTGTAATAATTTCCACTTTTCATAGCTATCAAATTTAATCAAGTCATTTACTGAAGCGCGATACATGGGTATATATTTTGGCTAGTCTGGTAATCGATGTTATTTTAATGTTTAGTCCAAGACTTTATCATGTACAAAATGATATGGCTTGATTATGAAATAGTAAAGCGGGTTGAACCCTATGTTGTTCATGTAATCAGATCACTACTAATAAAAGTAATACAAAAATCTGTGAATAATAACAACGATGAAATTAGTTTTAGAATAAAATAAATTTAAGTCGTGAAAGTACAAAAGGCAGGGGTTGTACGTACATTAATTAAATTAGCTCACCATTTAGTTGAAATGGCCATGAACGTTTTAGGGCCTGATGTTGAGCTACTTAAATGAAGAGAAAGAACATTTTTCGTTGGTTCAGAAGTTCGGTTTTTCAATCCAAACACTTTTTGCTTCCTTTGTTGAGAGGACTTTAAGTCTAGAAGACTTCAACAAAAATTACCAATTCGGTGAACCGTTAAAGATATTTGTTTTATGTAGTCATTTTAGACTATTTATTTACTTTGAACTTGATCATTCGTTTGGATCGTGTGTTTGGATATGTGACTGTAGATCCCAATGAAAACAAACTCTCCCTACGACTATAAAAAAACAATAATGATTTTTAAATACTGATTTGTGGTACTTAACGATCCACTGTCATAACTAACGAAAATACAGTCATTCATATCTTGGTGTTTAAGTAATTAGTGCTGAGATTTTCACCCGTCAAAGTGAAATGGTGTGTACACTAATTTTTTTCTCATCAATCATCAAAAGCACTATTCCGGGGATTTTTAATAATAACATTTCATAATTTTTTCCAAGTAATTCACTTAATTACTAAAACCTTTCTTCAATTTATATATCCTATGTTATATGTCGAATTATGTATATATTATTCATTTTAGCTATTCACCAAACACGTACTAATGGTTTACGTAATCTAGGGAATACATGTTATATAAATTCTGTAGTACAAAGTCTGTCTCATACTAGAGCATTAGTTCATTACTTTCTGGATGGTTTTCATGAACGTCAAGCTGTCGTGTCAAATCGTCTTGGTTATGGTGGTGAAATTGTCAAACATTTTGAAATGCTACTCTCAGCGTTGTATAACCAACCTAATCAGGATGCTGAATTGTATAAATTTAGGGTAAGTAAAATAATTGTTTATTATCTAGTGTATTCTATGTCTATTTGCTTATTGTAGGTAGTTTTCTTTTCATACACTTTTTTGTTTGTTTAAAATAATAATAACTAGCAAGAATCCGTTCACATTTAGTCATAGAGTAGTTAGACTATTTCCTCTTACTTATTTTTTGTTGATCGATTAATGTCATCATTCAAGTATGGATGTGAGTCTAACCAATAGTCACTTGAAAACAGTGTAAGACTAGATATAGTTGTACATCCCAAGTTTCCACATTTTGATTGGCAAACAAAAAGAAAAGCAATAAAACCAAGAGGAGGTAGTGGAAAGTTAGACACTTGGAAGTTTAATCACAATTATAGCACTGGATTACTACAGCGTCCTTACAACTCATTGAAGCACGTTGGTCTATTCCGAGTGACCGCAAGTTTGACCACGAATGAAGATTATTACTTAATGAAATTATGCAAAGTTTACATAAAGACTGAGAGGTCTGATGAGTTAGGAACATCAGCTGCATCTGTCAACAACTGAAAACTCTTCCAATTCATCCAAATCACTGGAAGCGAGCAGCCTGGTGTAAAACAATCTGTGAAGATGACGAGATGCAAATCAATAACATGTACCAACGTCTTGGATTTCGGAATATTGGCTTTCGTCATACTTCGTAGATTGTTCAAAACCCGAGAAAGATTAACTCACTAGGTAGGCTGGTTGTCATTCTGGTCGAGGATGTACTGATCATATTATGATCCTACGCTAAATGTTAGAACGCCGTCATACTTATTACAATCCAACAATCTTAGTGTTTCTTGAAATCAGAACCACTGTCGATTAAGTTGAACAGGATTGTTTTCTGGGACTGTCTGTTGACGAAGAGTGTGCCTGAGAAGTTTACTGACAAATCGGCATAGCCGTATACACAGACGCCTCAAACGGAATGAGGGCATACGACCACCTCTATCCACTGTTCCTTCCGAGCAATGTGGTTAGGTGGTATTGCCTAACCCCACCATTTCTCTCCCACTTTGCCATCGATGACGTACTGGAAACATTTCTGATGGATATAGGTAATGGTGGTATGGATCTGTTACCTGGAGAAATACCTCTCGACTTTCAGTATGCGAGTGATATTTGTTTGCTGTACGTTGACACACAAGCTAAACAAATCGAATTTAGTCACTTGACTATAAATGTCCTTAGGCGTGGTATGTGCTTCTCAGTTTGTAAATGCACAGTACTCTTACAAGACTGACAAGAGCCTATGGCTACACTCACTGTTGATAGTGACCAGTTAGAATTAGTCGAAAGGTTCGTGTGTTTGAGTGGTTTTGTAAGTGTTGGTCGTGGCGTGATTGGTGAGATGGATCTAAATATAATCAAAGACAGCGAGTGTTATGTCAGTGTGATCTATCTTTGGCGCTTTAGTGATCTTAGTTCGACCGTAATGGTGAGTAGCAAAAATAAGTATTTTAAATTCAACCAACGTTAAATAAGAGTTAATTAATTGCTCTAATATATTATTTAATGATATTTCTTAGATTAATTATTATTTTCATTCGGTATACAGTACATATTTGAGGAGTCGAGTTTGAGCAGAATGGTACTATTGAGTAAAATACTTAAACTAGAATAGTGGGAGCGAGATTCTTAAATACGACTAGTTAATTATAAAGATTCAGAGACCTGGTTAAAATTCTTAAGCACTATAAGAATATACTTTCTTTCTCATCTGTTCTCTGAAGAAATGGGAAGCAGTCAGAATGAAACTCATGTGTCAGATATTTTATGTTGAATATTAATAGGAAACGTTTGGAGATAAAAAAAATAATTGAGGATATATTTGTCAAATATTCATAAGTTAAACGAATATGTAGATAACTAAAACATGCCAATTGAAGTATTGATCAGGCTCCTGTTAAAGATTTTGTTTAGGTTCTGAATGATAAATTGACTCTGTGAAAAATATATAAAACCTCACGTCGAATTATAGATGATGCTTGCCATCTGACTTTATATCCATAATTTATTTGTATTGTTATTTGAAAACATAAATATTGGTGCAAGGGGGCACCAGATATATGTGCGCCACACAAAACAATGAGAATGGGAAGAGAAAAAGAAAGCAAAGTGCGTATAAGAAAAAAGTAGCAGTAGCGATTACAGCTTAGTGTATAGTAGTTTAATAATAATAATAATAATAATAATAATAATAATAATAATAATAATAATAATGGGGGAAACGGAAAGGTACAACCAGAAGAATTCTTCCAGTTAAGGAAGTTACAACCACTTTTTATGAAGAAAGTAGAAGAAGGTTACAGCAGGATCGTCACTGGCTTCTATTCTAAGCCAGATCTGGTAATGTCTCCAGCCACTGTGTTGCACCATCTCTAAGACCCCAGCAAGGGAGTCGTGAAGGACCGACAGAAGCCAGTCCTTTGCAGCTTTCTTTCATACAACGACCACCTCTCCGCTTTTTCCAACTAGTTCCAGCGGTGTTGTCACTGGATGTCAGCAATCCTTCAGAGACAACGATGATCAAACAGAGAGTTGTCTAACATCCTCAACTCGGAGAGGCCAGGTTTCACAAACATAGAGCAGAACTGCTCTCACCGACACGTTGTAGATCCGACCTTTTACAGCCTGACTGACGTCACGAAGGTGCCAAAGATGGACCAGATTGGCATAAACCGCTCTGGCCTTCACTATACGTGCATTGATCTCATCACTCACACCTCCACCAGCACTTATGCAACTATCCAGATACACGAACTTCTCGACTACTTCTACCTGCACACCATCCAGGGTGAGTAGGGGACTAGAATCCTACCAGTCTTGTAGAAATACATTGCACTTCGAAGGTGAAAAGCACATACCATACCTACGGACACTGATTGCCAACTGATTAAGTGCAGATTGCATGCCTTGGGCATTATCGCACAGTAAGACAATATCACCCGCATATTCAAGGTCGAGAAGTCTTTCTCCAAGCAACAGATCCACACCGCCATTACTTACATCCATCAGAGCTGTTTCCAGAATGTCATTGTTGGCAAAGTTGAAGAAGAATGGTGAGATTGGGCAACCCTGCCTAACCCCACTGCTCGAATGTAACAATGGAGAGAGGTGGTTGTATGCCCTCACTCTACCTGAGGTGTTTGTATATAGGGCTTTTAGGATGTTGATAAACTTCTCGGGCACACTCTTGTTCAATAGATAATCTCAGAGAACAGTCCTGTCCAATTATTTTTTTCATAAAATTTGGAAGGATTCAGAGTTGATCATTAAATTTTGTTTCGAATATTTGTACTAACATGCAAACTTAAAAAAAGATGTTTATTCTATTTCGATAATGTTAATTATTTAGAAATGCTATGTCCCGTCTAAACATTCCAACATTTAATTTAATTAAAACAAATTACCATATTTTCATCTGTTCGAATCACTGAATTAGTCAGGAAGTTGTAAATAATTCGAACCACCACAACAACATCAAGGTGATATAAGAATCAAAGAAGTCTCAATAATAGTTATAGTAATAATATCAGTCGTAGGAGAGCATCAAATGTAGAAAACGTTTGTCGAATGGAATGAATATAATCAAGTTATTATAAGTATGGAATAATTCTATGATCATAGTGTTTAGGAAGGTAATGAAAGTATACCGCTGCTAACATTTCAATAGTCAATGACTTCATAAGGTGATGTTATATTTTCGTCTGTTTATATGTGGATTTTTCTCTAAATCACCAGTACATGTCAATTTTGGAAGTGACTGAGTATTCGTAAATTCTACGAATGACTAATGTTGATGAATATCGGTAGTTGCTATAAACAATTTACGATTTTTATTCATTCCTTACAAGTATATATTTGCGTACTTACAAGCGTTCCATAATGTTGACCAATGATTCAAGTTTTAAAACCATTAAATAGCAAAAAATTAACGATTCTTTACCTCTTTCAACAAGTGTAGGTTTACGAAGTTTAAAGCCCCAATTTCTATTATGCCTAGTTATACTTACTACCCAACTTTCCCAGTCGAAATCAAACCTGTATTCTGTTAGTTAGTTGAGAACCAAGTACACATTAAAAGATAACTGATCTATGATTTAAATTGTTATCTGATAAGACCACAACAATTTGTATATATTTTCAATCGCCTTGTGGTTACAACAAAAGAAATGATTCAGTAATTTACTTTGTCTAATTTAACACCATAAGAAATCACCTAATATCGAGTGATCCAAATCATTTATTTATTTATTTATTTGAACACATAAATACTGGTACAAGGGGACACCAGAAACATATGCGCAGCACAAATCTCATTTGATTTGTGTGAGGGCTGTGATACTGCCCGGGTGTCCGAACCGAAGCAGGTGGTTTTCTTAGGGGGCCACACCCGGAGCATTTGACCTAAAGTTCTGATCCACAAGACAGTGGAACAACGTAAGGAGATGCAGTCTCATGGTAGCCGATGACCAACAATTGGTTCATACTCCATTTGTTCCCTCAGGATACTGAAGCCTATGTTCACCATTGGTTTGAAATCAGGTTTTTCCAACTCCCGTAGTTGAACTTTCCGTGTTCACCAACCCGTTTAAAGCGCCGGACATTCGCTTTTCGTCCTCTCATTTCCGTAAACAACACTCTCGCCACAAAAAGGAAGTGAGTAGGACTTCCCTGGCAGAGACTATATATACGTGGCCATGTGAGAGCATTTCGAGAGGAAGAGATTCAGATCATATCATAGTATAATTCAAAATTTACCGTATAGAGTAACTCTTCATCTTTATCCGCCAACAGTTTAAAATGTTAATTTCTTACTAACTAATATAAAATATCATTTCAAAAAATGAACTATTTTAAACTTTACTGTTATTGTAATTTATTCAGTTCGAACAATTTTTTTCAATAAGATCATTTTCTTAATAAAATTATTTTCTTTCTAAGTTCATATTAGATAGTAGTCATCTTTGTAAAATATACAAACCATTCTTTTTGTTTTCTTTATATGAACATATGTAAAGTTTGAATAACATTTATCTAAATTTTATTCAGTGGCATATTATTATTATTATTATCGGTAGTAGTAGAAGCATTTCGAATTTTACTTATTTCAATCATTTGTTGTGTTGCTTTTTCTTGTCTAATTGCGAAAAAAAAAACACTGGATGGTACCTTGATAAAATTGAAGTCAATGTCGTTTGTTTTGTACGCTGTATATGATAATAATAGAAGCGATTTCAGGTTGAATAATTTCTATGTAATAACTATTTATGCAGATAAAATATAGTATACTTTTGAAATTTAATGTCTTTAAATAAAATACCAATGGCTCATATTTATGTAATGGATATTAGGTAAATACTACAAGTACCTTTGTAGTGTGATAATCACTCCGGATCTAATTGGCCTGTGAATACTTTGGATATTAATTAAAAAAACTCATTGAAACAGAAAATCAAAACACACCAGTTCTGTGGTAAATTATCTAGTAATATTTCATTACAGTTAGTTGTATTTGCTGAAGTGGCTCATCCAGTGAATAGAGTTATCTGTTACTAATCAAAGCTTTTTTAAATCATATCTAACATATTGATGTTTTTTATCCAAGAAGATATACATACTATACTTTCAATTATGCACAAAGCAAAAAACTGTCTGGTTCCATTACTATTAGCTTAGTTTTGTTATCAAACCGCAACAATACTTCCGAAACAATCATGATTGTTGCATAAAAGACTGTTGTGCAAGTGTAAATCTAACTGCACATATTAAACTGATGTATACTCGGTATTTGACAGTTTCAACCTACTCTCATAGTAAATCCAAATATGCTCTAGATAAATGTTTGGGACTATGACTTTCGTTTATTAAACGTTAACTATACGGAAGATAAACATTTTTACTTTACAATGATCTCCCACCTTTTGTGAGCTTTCAATTTCCCGTAATCACCTATAGTGTACATTATAAATTGGCAAATTGCTTACCAGAAAGGTTCGCGTGTGAGAACACTGTACCGCATATTACAGACATCTTGATCAGTCAGACGTTTCCCATAAGATTGGTAAGCAAAATTCTTTATGTGGAATTTAATGGTATCGGAAATCAGCAGCTGTCTCACAATTTCAAACTCCCCATCCGTTAACCTGCGCACCTATGAATTACTTTGGTACCTCAGGGAATTGCACTCGTGATTGTGATGCACATTCCCACGTACAACAATCCAATAGCCGTCTATAATCTTACAAAACATGAAGGCCGGACATTGGGTGTTCATAGAATCCCTTCGTTAAAAAAATTATAAAACCATTTACCAAATTACCTCCTCCGTCTAATACGTTGTGACGAACCGCTAGATCTTATAAGCCCATTTCGCCGACACACAAATTTAATGTACGATTTTTGATCTCTGCCAATATGCGAATCTCTCACTACATAATGACTGTAAGTCGACCTTTCGAAATTTGTGATAGTGGTCTTTAACGCTTCAACCGATGGAAACGCAACTAGAAACAAGGTAGTCAAAAAGACTTCCTCCATTTCCGTTACGTGAGAAACACCGGCGCTTGTACTCGGCACGTTACTCTGCTCCATAATGACGATTGAAATTGTGCTTCGTCGACAAGTACTGATAATTTACAACAATTTTCAAGACATAACTAACCAATTAAATCTAAATTTTGAAACTAGCCATTTCATTGGACGAAACACGGGATAAAAAATATTGTAGTTTGGGGGTGGAAAATTTTTTCTATTGGGGTGGGGTTTTTTCAAAAAAAATGGCCGGTCGGACAATATTATTCTTTGTGGTCTATAGTTGTGTTGTTGATATACATAACTCAATAAGGCAAAGATTTATCAAACAAAAAGGGAAAAGTCACCATAGAAAAATATACATTGTTTTCATGAGTTTTTTACTGCATAGATATGAAGTTTTATTTTTAGTCAATCTTGACTGAGTTTAACTGACCAATAGTCATAAGGCGAAAAAGTATTAACCACATACTTAACTCTTAATAGATCAAAGGTCAATCCACTCTTTGTAAATGAACTTCTCTGCAGCCTATATTTTAATGAGAACTGATCACAGACTAATGTCTCGACAATTTTCATATTTTTTTCTGGTTAGCGTTTTCTTAGCGAGTTAGTTTTCTACGGGATGGGGTCACTAACCTTATGCCCCACCCTCCTTTTATCCGGTCTTAGGACCGACAGCAGCCCCAAAGGGGCTCCAGGCGGAGTTATACATAAATTTAAACACGATTAAATGGAGTGATTTTTTAAACTCATGATTTCCTCTTCATCGTACCATAAACTGAAGACAATAATTATGTTTCATTTATTTTCTTTTAATTGGTTTGAATTGAAAATGTAAACTACGTATTTTTTATTCTCGTTATCATCTTAGTCGGCTGTTGCAAAACATCAATCTAAATTTTCTAGTAATGATCAACAAGATAGTTTAGAATTTCTACTCTTTTTATTGGATGGTCTACATGAAGATCTTAATGAAGTGAGTGTGGATCTTTTTTTTAATTATTGTTAATTTTCGTATTAAAACAAAATCTCCGAACTTTGTGAAATCAGTTATGTTTTTTTTCGAAGGCTTAATTAAGAGCAGCAAATGAGACTATCAAGTTTCTTGCAATTACTGTTAATGATAGAAATCACGTCAATCGTGTTGTTAACATGTGAGAACCTGTCTAGATCTTAAGTGAGATAATGTAGTAAAATAATGAATCTAACACGACCTAACCATTCTAGTCCCTCTTCTAGACCTCATATCTTGTAAATATCTTCTCTCTCTTCACTGTAAAGTGTGTAAAGTGTGGAAAATTTAAATGACATACATTCATGACAGATATTATATTATTTATGACTAGTCGTTCTCACGTGCTCTAATTGTCATCAAACAATAAACTCCGACAAATTAACTAGAGTGAAAAAATGACTTAGATTAATGACTGGTGAATCAATTTCTCATCCAATCAAAATCGACAAACCTTAGTAAGTATAAAATTATAGACTATGTTCATAATATGCGGTGTAATCCAAGAAATTTGTAAATATTTATCTATCAACCGGCATTATATTTGTGTGGAGTTACGGATCATGTAAAACGAAGCAGTCCGTTCAACTCGAACATACAATTTAACGACTGTACAGCAAGTTCTATCCCTCTTGGCTACTATGATATGTAAAACACTGTACATAATGTAGTGTTTATTGACTTAAACAGTATTTTATGAGACAAAAGTTCTTTCGAAATTGCGTCTTTCTTATTCGCATAGGGTTTTCGTCATAGTTATATCTTTATGTAGTAGTTGTCTATCTATCTAATGACATCAGATCTTGTATCACATTAAGAATCTCTCCCATCACCCTTACTAAGTATCCAACTTACATAGCGTTACAACAATTAATATGAGCACAAAATGTATATTTCACCTTTATTGTTTGTTTTAATCACTCTGTGAAAGGGTGACATGTTTTTAAAAGTAATTTTCAAAATATATCCATAATCAGTTGAGGCTCAAATTGACCTCATTAATTTTTTTTTACAACTCTACGTGTTGCTTGGTTTTATGACTAGGTATATGCATACTAATAAACTATCAGCATAAGTTGTAAAAATATTTGTATTCCAAATCATACTATCACTTTACTCCTAAACTTCGGCTTTTTATATTTTATACGAAATGTTTTTATCGCATTAATCATCCTATTCCTGAATTTAGCTAAACAGAGTTTTCTACTCCTGACTGCATTTGCTACCTTTGTTTGGTGATCGGGTTTGCATAACCTGATAATCTAATTAAGATATAGTGTCTGAAACGCTCGTTTCTTTAAGTCCTACTATCCCAGTCAGGTTATTCAGAGAGTACTGAGACTAAAAGTAGAAAACTCCAGGGTCCAAGAGTGATGTGCTCCCAATTGTACTGAAGTGTGATTGGAGTAATGTTTTTTCCTCAGACAATCAGAATAGGCAACTATACAGCTTCCTCACAACGCAAGTTAGGAGTTAAAAGCGACTGACCCTAAAACAGGCATATCTCACCTTACTCCTCAGATTTCAATTACCGACGATGAGGCCTTTAAAACACAAGGTTAACTTGCCTAGTACTACGCACAACAAGAGCATGTTTGGTAGGTCTCATTCAATTAATCCTTGTACTCTGCGGTAACCCTTGTATATTGTCAAGACCCCTCTCCTAATTCAGTTTCCTTTTCAGATATCTCAATAACAGGTTTTCTTTCATAATACGTGAAACCTGAAAGTGACAACTGCCCTCGAGCTTAAGTTTCAACTAATATACTATCTGTCAAATGCATATATTTTCTGTACTGTCTTCATTTTTCCACCTTTTTTTCAAGGCTCGTTCAGAAAAAAACAATGCAACAAAGCTTAAACACAATGAATCAATGGTTGAATATACTTCTAGTCATGAACAAGCAGAAGCGGCATGGATTCAACATAAAGATCTCAATAATTCAATTATAGTCTCTTCATTTCAAGTAATACTATTTATTTTATTGTTTTATTACTTACTACTTTAAATTTACTTATGAATAGTTTTAATGCTTTTTGTTTAGATTTTATACTTTAATTCACCCTTACTCAATGATGGAAGATTTTTCTGAATCATGTGTGTTTATTCTAAGAAAATCAAAAACAATCTGACTTAATCAATGTATTCGTCTTTGAAGTATATATTATTTTATAAGACCCAATAATTGTGCCGTAGTGTGCACTACTTATACGGACAGATATAAGCAGTATGTAATGGGAACTAGAAGTCGAATGCTTACCAGTAGAGGGTTGAAACCAAGAGAATATAAGGGAAAACAGAAAGCAATCGGATTAACAGGAGGATTAGAAGAATGATGAAGTATACGAAACACAACTCAAAGAAATATGTACAAGTGATGTACTTAATGTATGATTTACATATTTTACAAAGGCACTGTGCGATTTTGTAAACAATAAATTAGTTGGTTTACCCTGTTATTCTTCGTTCATTACAGTACTTGATTTTCAAAATCAACTTTTAATAAACAAGGTTTAAACCTGAATCTCAATGAAGGAATGTTAAGTGTTTTAAGCCACTAGACCTTAACTTCAATGTTTTTCAACTATCGTGTGTAACATTTTGGGTTTAATTATTTTATGTACGTGTGTGCATTTGAGTTCAAGACTGTACTATTATTATTTATGTATCACAAATATCTAAAACATTCATCATCAAATTGATAGTTGGTGATTAGTTTGAAGAAAAAGTAACTGACTCAAATACGTTTAAAAGAAATATCTTCAACCGCTTTTCCTCCCCTGGCCAACCTCAAAGTCAATTAGTTAATCGTAATTTTAGCTATCGATCGACCTAATTTGACTATTGTACTGACGACCTTTCGCGGTCAGATGTTATTGTTTCTGTTATCCTTATTCACAAATTCTGTATTATTATTATTATTATTATTATTATTATTATTATTATTATTATTATTGATATTAATTCTGGTTAAACATCATTATTAATCTTCCTAATACATAATTCATTCACTCTGTATTCATCCCACCTTATTATGTCATACTAATATTTCACACAATTATAGTCTTCCACGAAACGTTTGATCGCATTGTAATTGCACTATTATTTCATTCGCCTTATCTGACCCATGATTATTCTAATCACTGATCTTAAATTTTCACTTAACATATAAGCTAAATTAAGTTAACATTTTATATGAGTCATATCAGCAATAATAATTTGATTCTAGTTTGTTTGACAATCCTAAATTAATATACTTTAACTTTAAACTATTCACTTAACCCTTAACCTGGTCATTTTTCGGATTATTAACTTGGATATATAATTCTAAGGACCTGAATAGAATTTATCGAAAAGAATATTCTTCATTCAAATATTTGTCTTTTAATATGATGAGAATCTTTAAACGATTAAAAAGTAACTGTATTCGTTTTCTCTTGTATCTGTGGGCTCTTTTCAACTAATTTGATTACTGAATAAAAATTGTTTTAAAATGAAGATATCATATAATCTATTATACGACTAATCAAATTTTCTACATTCTTTCCCGCTTTTGAATTGTTAGTTTAAATAAAGAAAAGAAAAGTCTATAATTAAAGAAAATTATGTCACTCATTAACTAAACAAAAATCTATGTACTCAACTTTGTATCATACGATCATATTAAGGACTAATGATACTATTTAATTGTATAAAACAAAATTGATAAATTAGCATTTGAATTTACACCTTATTGATTGAATACCGTATGTTACAACCTTGAAATATCCAATTTATACTTGATTCATATTCTTATAATATAAAATATTATTTTTGTTGTCACTATTATTAAATCATTAGTCTACATTTCTAGAACTATATTATTTTACTAACTAAATATTGTGTGATTGATGAAGAAATAAATTTGTAGGGGACCAATCTTTTTTGAACCTTTTCACAGATTATATGTTGACTTATTCACTATATATCATTTCCATTTATAGGGACTTCTTCGTTCCACTGTGAAATGTAATAGTTGTCATGTAACTTCTACAACATTTGATGTTTTCATGGTATTATCCTTGCCCATTGAACAAATTAATAAATGTCAATTAACAGTAAGTTAATTTGATTTTAATACGAAAACCATGATTATTCAGAATGGCAGTTTGTGGAGATTATAGTAATTTTAATAATTAAATTCATGAGTCGATGTAAGTCAGACCACTAATGCAAGCTTGGAAACATTGGACGGTCGTTTGGTCGTACTATGGAACTCCCCAGCAGTGCGCATCCATGACCCCGAATGCGGGACTCGAACACGGGACCTTCGGCCTCGCATGCAAAAGATTAACCTCTGAATAGGCTTTGCTGCGGATTCCCATGTAAAGACGAAACGACCGTTCAGTGCTTCAGTGGTGATCTAGCTTACATCGACTCATGAATTCAATTATTAAAATTCCCATTTAAACATTAAAAGCTCGAAGTTCAGCGAAGTGACCTCTTTTCAACGTATTTATTATCATATATATAAATGAAAACTTGTGTTAAAGTATTATTTCTGGGAGGACAGTTGAACAAGGAATAAACATGGTAATGTAACAGAAAGATTATAATACTGTACTAGTGATAATAGTTTAAGGTCAAGGTAACAATAATGGTAAGGCGTACTTCTTTTGTGCGCACTCATGGATGACAAGAGCTGCTGTCTTAGTGAGCTGGCTACGAAAAATCGAGGTAGATTTGGACGACTTGTATAAACAACCTTATAATCAACCTGTGTATCAGTAAAGTGGTTAGAGTCGACTAGGTGTTTAAGAATGGAACTTCTAACTACTTTCCTCTCGCCCTTGTAGAACCACACTGGGACATGTCCTCGTATGCGAGTTGAAGGCTAGCGTTGGGTACGGCCTATGTACCTTGCTCCATAAAAGCAGGTGATTTGGTAGATGCAGTTGCAGGCGACCAAACAAAGAAGCTTATCTTTTACGGATACGGAGAACAGGTTCCTACTAGTAAACATTATTCTCAGTTTTGTTCCATAGAGCGTTCTTTTTATTTATTCATATTGCGTAATCTAGTATTGTAATCTTTTTATTGCATTATGATGTTTATTCCGTGTTCATTTGTCCTCACAGAACTAATAGTTATATATATATAGATTGAACAACAATTCCTCGCTGATGTGAATATACTTCGAAGTTTTAAAAGACGAGTTTTACCAGGAACTTTTCAACTTCCCCCAGAAAAAAAGGCTTTTGGAAATGGTAATCATAGAGGATGGTCTTGACGCTGAAGTCAGTAGACTAAGTCAAGCTGAAAAACACTTACATGGATTTCTCGACATTCCAGTCTAACAACTAGATAACCACTTGCTCCTAATAAGCACGCAGATGCATCCATTCTTTATCTTTGTATGGATCTTGAGTTTCACCACTCATTCCATTCCTCCTAGAACTATTATATTTTGCTGTTGAAATCATTCATTTTAAATCTAATTCGTGTCAATACATACTAATTCTGGAACATTGGATACTCATCCATGTTGTTTTGTCTAAGTTTTAATTCGTATTTTTTATTATTTTTCTAGGATTGTCTCAAATTATTTCTTGAAAAAGAAGAAATGGTTGGTCAGTGTCGTTGGCATTGTCCAACATGTAATACAAGACGTGATGCTTCCAAGTGGATAGAATTATGGAAATTACCGACATATTTAATTATACACTTAAAAAGGTTGTTTAGACTTTCTTTTTCAATTGTTAGTTATTCTGATGGTTTTATTCATTGTTATGGATGATGATGACGATTCAACTTTACTTTATAGTACTAAGTATTTTTTTTCAAAATAATTACAAGTCTGATAAATATGTTTCCTACTAAAGCAACTGATGCACTGTAATCATTTTATTGTGAAATTCTGAAAAACTGTACTAATTACATTTCGAACTTTCTATTAGAATTAGAATGTAGTTATCATTTTATTTTTATACAGCCAGCTAAATAACATTATATCTCAGTGTTTTTAAGAAAAATCCTCATTATTATAAATGAAACAGTTGAACAAATCACAAAATGATTGATGAAATGTATGTTTTAGATGTTACTACTAGTCAATATTCTAATAGTAAGCAAATTGCTTGAGTAGTTTATATTCTAATAGGAACTTACCAATTTAGTTGTAAATATTCTAAACAGAAAATGTCATTCATATTAAATGTCTGGTTTTGTTTTGTCATTACAAATTTCGAAAAGATAAATATAGAGAACGTCATACTTTGGAAGGTTATAGATCTGTGGTTAAGCCTTTCGGTTTTCAATCGACTGTAACCAGTCTACTTTGTGTAGTAATTTTAGTTTATACAAAGCAAATATAGTCCAACACTTCGTGTCTTCAGTTTTATATTTAATCACTAGGTTGATTAATTGTCACTATTTCACATTGATTTAACTCAATGAATTTTGACAAACAGATTATATTTCCACAGAACTTTATAAAATGTCTAGAATACAATAAATGTTGACTTGGTCCATCATATTGTGATTGATTTAGAACTATGGTGCATGGAACAATTTATCATCAACTGGCTAACCATTTATTCATGTTAGGAGTCAAAGTTTATTTGGTTAAACATGATTATCAGTTTATCTGTTCACCATCAAACAGGCTAACCAGCATAGAACAAATAAAGGAAACATTTATACTGCTCAATATTCTTAATAGACAGGTTGTTTAAAGTATAAGGACGAACTTCAGCTATTCTAGAAATGATCTTGAGAAGTTCGCACTTGTTTTTAGATAGTCCGAGAGTAGTTGATTAAAATAGCTTGCTTTTACCGGGGAAAAATCCCAAATGAATTGAAAGCGTACATAACGTCTTTGTATTACTTTCAAAATCCGTGGAATTTAAAAATTAAGAAACTGTTGAAGAATCTTAATGTATGACCGAAAGCTAATACCTTATCAGTTCAGTATTGAAATGTTTACATTTACGTCTCTAGCAAGTTTCACGATCATGATAACTAATCATAAATGTAGCTTTAAGTAACAACTTCACTTTGCGCTATTCACAATGTAATATAATTGATATTTTCTGTAGACTGTTGTTTATAACGTGCTATCAAATATCGATTAGTGTAATTTCATTATCTCACCTTTTTCTCTCTTGAACTAATCAGATTATCAGTAATGTATTGTGTTTGACTAAATCAATAAGTAATGAAATAAAATATTACTGATAGTTATATTTAACACAAGAAAAGATTATTAGTTGAACCATGTTTTGACCTTGTCAACAAAGTAGCGTGATATGTTCATCTGAGAAATATTAAATTCTATTATTATTATTAATTCGTAATTTTAGTATGTGTGTGTGTATGTATAGATGTTTTCATTCAAAAGGGAATCACTTTTACTCTCTTGGTTTCAATAATTAAAAATTCATTATTTTCCTTTTTAATCAACTATTTCATATTAGAATGAATGAATAAAAGTTTCATTAACTGTTATGTAATTTTTTTTTCTTAGTTGTGTAATTAAAATTGTGTTGTACATCTATTGAAATTACAAATGTTTCTTTTTTAATTCAGATTTCGATATGAATGTGGTAATTGGAGAAAACAAACAACCAATGTAGATTTTCCTATTGAATGTTTAGATATGAGTTCGTTTATTGTTGGCCCCAAATTGCATTCTAGTGAATACGCTTTATATTCGGTTTTGGTATGTTATTTTCATTATAATATTGGTTATAGTAGTGTTACAATCAATATCAAACTAAAAACAAACAATAGTAATAATTAACTTTGGGAGTTTGTAGAGATTGTTAAAGTTTTCTAGTTTTCATTATTAGCATATATTAGTTAGACACTCCGTTTTATAAACTAGGAAACACTGAACAACTGCTTCACCCTTATTTGGGACTCCTCAACGTTCAGGATCGAAAAATCTACCGATGATTATACTCAGAAATTTTGGATTTGATAGCGAGTGCTTAACTTTTACGTCTTTTATCTGTTACCCACTAATATTCAGAAGATAACTTGTCTCGATGTAGATTAAAGTTTGGTTTAACGTTGAAGCTGGAATGCGTGATTTCGAAGTGAGTCTAACTGCCTTGGGTAAAGAGACGAAAACTATTCTATCACCTGATCGGTTGACATGCGAAAGAGAGAAAACGAGTCAACTCGAACGACACTACTCGATTTACTCCCGATCTCGATTTCCAACTCCGATTCAGTTTAGTGCAAAATGTTACATGAATAAATATATGACTAACATGACTACAATGCACAAACAATTAGAAAAATACAATTATGTCCAAAACTGGGCATTAGTGTAGAACCGAAGGTTACGTTTAGCTTTCAATAGCTTTGGAACAGAATAGGGTATGATAGTGAATCACACATCAAACGAAAGCTTATAGTTTGTAGAATAAACTAGGGACAAAACTAAATGTTAGTGTTTTATGAACTTTGAATTATTTGAAGTAACGTCCTCAAAAATAGCTTCCGTTGTTTGTCACGGCTTCTTTGTTGCTCTGTTCATATCACTAACCATTAGACCATGAAGCTGAAATATAATTGATCTACATGTCTAGTTTCAATTAATTCACAGTACTGTGAAGTAAACTATCAAATAACAATTTTATTTTCCATTTATTTTAATTATGCTTAGAATTGTGGTCGAATTAACGATATTTAATCATGTTAAACAGAATTTCAGTTGTCAGTGAAATTATTGTATGAATGATACATACATACGTACATACACACACACACACAATTATTTGACTTTCATTACATGATGAATATAACATTAAATTCTTTATTGAAATCACTTAAAATATGCTGTCAACAACTAGTAATTGAAAATTAAATAATCTCTTATTCAGAATTTGTATTAACTGTTCATAGATAAGTGAAACTAAGTAATTGAATTTGTCTTCTTACATTTAGCTCAAAACCGTTAAATGTTTTAAATTTAAACCGTCCTTTAGTCTGAAACAGCTTTAATAGTTCATACTAATGGTTTTAGTCAAACTTGATTATCTATTGAGAATAGATAACAAAAATCTCCTCATAAATCTATAGTAATTATGTGCTTCTGATTTTTAATCAATATTAAATATCTCAGGAAATTGCATTACACTGACTGAAAATAATATGGGTTTTTTTTATTAGATATCGTCAGCTTGGTGGTTAATGCATCTAACTCTCATCAAATAGGTCACAACTTCGAATTCTACTCCACCTGGTCAGAATCACTAACCTAAACGCATGCATTACTATAGAAAATTTGAGCGTGTACGCGGTTTGTATGTGGTAAATGAATACCACAAAATGATTTATTAAAATAATTGAAATTAAGGGAACTCAACTAACATGTACATGGTTTAAGGTTCAAGTCTGTAACCTTAATAGAAGAGAGTTAATTACTTTATTCACATTAAGGTACTGCTCCATTATTGAAATGTGAACACTTATGAACTGAATACTAAATTTTATATAAAACAGTATATTTATACAATTATCGGTGTGTTTTTATGTCAATTTGAGTGTTGCTTTTTTAATCAATACTTCTTTATTATAACAATCACTACATTTTCCTCCACTGTTCATTCTACAGAATCATCGTGGTACAATGGAAAGCGGTCATTGTAAGTGAAGTATACTGTGTTTTTCTACCATTAAAACCTAGTCAAATATATGTATATTACTTACCCAACAAGCAAAAATATTATTGGGATTTTGATTATTGAATGACTATTTGAATCATACCATTTAATTACTATCAAAGGGAAGTTACTATTTTTGGCGTAAACGTTTATTTGCTCATACAAAGTATTGATTGGTCAAAATATATGTGCTTTGTTGAAGTTTACCCACTTTTATCTAACTGATCTGTCCACATCCTTTTTAACTAGATTAATCAGGACATTATATTCTGTTGAGGCTCGACAACCAGATTCTCATTGCTTTCAGTTACCTTCATGTTAACTAAACTGATTGAATGTTAATCAAAATCATGAACTTCTTGCATACATACGCTATGCCGCTGTGCTTTAGTGTAATGTTGCGGAAGATGTGTTGGCCTCGTGGGTTCCAGAGACTCAGCTTTCATCACGTGATGTGATAACTCTCCCATCTGAATACTGCCTTCCCAGAGCAAAGTTTTCTCTTGTTAGTAACTATGTAAAGGGGTTCGTTTTAACAAGATGAGATTACTAATCATACTCTTAATCCACAGTCTGGGCCCTGGTCCGGCGTCACCTCCAAGAAGAGTTTCCAGTTAAGTTTATTTTAGTTAAAATCTTACTTCACAGACGATGCTTTCAGGAGATTATCTGTTGTCTATTGCTTTATTGTAGGTAATAATCTTCCTAGTTTATAGGTAGTTACTCAACTTTCATTTTTGAAGATGATATAGTCAGTAGTTATTACTAGTAGTGATGTCCTGTTAAGTTATGTAAATGAATTGATTGGTCACTGTTAGTATAGAAACTCGTTTGTTCGTATACCTCGTTATTAGGTATCAGTTAACATATCCATGGTATTAAGTGGTAGTTATTAGTGAAATCTTTGGACACATTCTCCATCCTACTTTTAACAAATCAACTTGATATATTTGTAATCCACTGGTTTAGCGAATAACTTTTCAACCACATAACTTCAAGGCACTAGGTTTGAATTTCAAAAACTCACATCTGAATCGTTCCAATTAGAACAAAAACTAGCATAGTTCTGGAAGGGATCTCTTTTCAACGAATTTATTATCAAGCTGTACAGTCGTATATATATGAAAATTTTTTGTTATTATTATTATTCATATTACGTAATCTAGTATAATAACCTTTTTATTAACTGTGTTCACATTTCCTCACGGAATTAGTACTTTTACAAAAACAAAAACTAGCATCTTAAATGTTTGCCATCGGTTACTACCCAATATTGTACTTGAAATATATATGTTGTGTTGATCCAATCATCCCTTTCTTTAATTCTGGATGATTTAGGATAAAGTTAGGAGGAAACTAGGGCCAGTCAAACTAGAACGTGATATCAGTACATGAAGCTATTGATTGTTGGTCTGGTCCATAATAATTTGTGCAGACTAGTTGGTTAAGGTCCACGCGATTATTCTGATCAATGGTTGGAGATGCTGAGTGGCATGACTCAAATTTAGATGCAAAAGTACAAATGCCTTTCCTTAAATCTTGAGTTTTAAGATTATTTTATACTTTTTATTTAACAGATTAACTGTATTTGCAAATCATATTATTATTGATTTACTACGACTAACACTGTGATGTGTGCTACTGATATCGACATATAGAAGTAGTATGTATCGCTATTTCCTTATTTACTCACAGTGCTGATGTAGTGTGGCAATTTTAACCGACTCATATACATACCATGTTCCATTTTACGCATTATTGACTGACTGCCTAGTTTTTTATGACAATGAATGTATTTGTTAATAAAGTCTACAAATCATATTTACATAAACTAAAGATTTTTATCCAGCCCAAACTAGTGTGCATAAGTTAGCATTCTAGATATCCCTACATTTTTGTTAGTAGTAGTTGTTGGAGTTACAATTCAACGGATTGCTTCGTCCTAACTACTCCGTAACCTCCCCCTTTATCTGCATGCGTTGAGTAATACTTATTTTCAGTAGCAATACTTCTGTTCCCTTGTTTAATCAATTATTTATCCTAGCGTACTGTTTTTGTCAGTTATACATTTTAACATTCTTGATATTTCAACAGATACAACATTTTGTCGTAACATCCGTGACGGTCGGTGGTATGAATATGATGATGAAAATGTATCTTTATTAGACAAAAATGAAATACAAGTAAGTTATTTACAGAATTCAAAATAGCATTTGTTAGTGTAACAAAGTCCTTGGATTAGAACACTTAATTTCTCTGACGTACTTGTTTCTTGAACGAATCAAATGAAGTAGCATTTTAATTAGTTTGATAAATCAAACTGAATTGTTGCGATTACTGAATTTCGAAGTTGAATCAGTAGCTGCATGACATCATATTTCAATGAATCGAAAAGATATGCTTGTCAATAAGGTAGTACGGAGAAAATCCCTCCTACGCATTCAATCCCAACTTCTTTCTAATAACTTCTAAGAGTCCTAAATTTGATCATGGTTGCTATTTTTATGAACTCCAAACCTATGCTAAGAGGGTATTCATAACCTTTTTATTTCACTCTCGTCCCATTCATGATCAGTGTATTGTAGGAAATGCCGTATTATGCTTTTAATTATTTCCATCTACAACTTTCATTTGCTGAAGCGCTTTGCTTCTATTACTATTCCAGTCGGATAACTTTTACAAGTACAATCCATGTATTATATATATATTTGAACACATATTGGCACAAAGGGGCACCGAAGTGAAGTTTAAAATTCTCACGATATTAAAAAAGCTTGAGGTGATTTGGAAAATCCGTTTTTGAAAAAGAGGATTTTCTCTAAGCTGAATGATTTAGTCAATCGAGTTCCATTCATTGTGTTTGCTATGTAGTTAGTGAGACTATAAGATAGATTTATAGTCTTAAATTTCTCAGATTAGACTAACTATTTTACTTTTTCTAAAGATGGCATATGATATATGAAATTATTTGTAGAAGGCAGCATTATAAGATGAAAATATTTAACCAATTTGATTGTTAAAACTTGTAAAAATTTTCCACGAATCGTTTTCATTAATACTAAGGTATTTCATTGAATATGCCTTGTTCTACTTTTAGTAGTATAGTTCAATTTACAAAATAATCCAGAAGTCTTTTGTGTATTCGGCAATTCATATTATAAAAAATCGTGAAATATTTTGCTGTATAGAACTAGTATTTGAATAATAATAATCACACAGACTCTCAATTGCTCATTTCGGAGTCATTTGAATGCAATTTATTAGAATAGATTCGATTCTTAATTAAGATAAAGTTATATGTATAATTGCTTATTTAATTAGTTGTATTTATTTCCTAATATAGATTGATGTTTTCCTCTCTATTCTATTCAAGAGAAAAGCATCTGCTTTAGGTTATAAATAATAATTGTTAGATGATGACCCCAACACATAAACATTCGGTGCATTGCTCCATTTTACTTTCTTATAAAACATTTAATATAAGCCATCAAATTTAAATGTAAGATAACCCTGTAATGGTTCAGATTTATTTTAAAGTGCATGTTACACCAGTGTCATTCAGAATAACTTTTCTGTATATTTTAGTTTACCATACAATTTTGTCTAATATTTATGTCATACAATCGCTTCTAAGAAATCACGTTAGTGTATACATTTTCCAATGCTCAGTAATAATGTCGATTTCCAGACACATACAATATACACTGATGTTTACTCTATTGTTTACAGTAACATGTAGTTACTACTGTTAACTAACTCTTTCCTAATAACTAATTGACAGAAAATAAAAATGAGATTCAAACTTACTGTTTCATATATCTTTTGGGAATGGTTAGACATTATAGAACTGTCATCTAAGATCACCACCGCCTACGTGCCCCAATAAATCATTAACTGGTAAAAAAATTACAAGATGGATCTAGTCTACAGATTTTCAGGCAGCTTTCGAGAAAATTAGGCAACTCCTAATCTCCAATCTTTTACTCGCACATTATCATCCTCTCCTACGTATTGTGGTTGCATCAGATGCTTCGAAGTATGGTATTGAATCAGTTATATATTTCTCGATAGATCTGAAAAAGTGATCTCTCATTTAGCTAGATTCTTAGTAACAACAGAACGTAATTGTCGCCATATTGAGAAAGGATCACTTTAAATTATCTTTGCTGTTAATAAGTTCCACAAAATGATATTCGGACGTCATCATAAACCATTACTAGCCGTATCCGGGTTAAAGAAAGGGATTCGTGTCCACACAGCTAGCTGACTACAACGATGGGCAACCAACTTTATGGGCTACGATTTCAAGATCAAGTACCAGTCTAATACAGCCTTTGGACAAGCGTGTGCCTTACCGAGATTAATAAGATTCCAGATGAAAACTGTAGATGCCACTCTCGTGTCAGCAATAGAAAGTGAGATAAAAGTTCGTCAGGTGTTGTCTGATGCAGTCGGTTGACTACCGGTTACCTTAGAAACTTATCAAAGAAGCCACTGCAAATGACAAGGCATTAAGAGAAATGGTCAAACCATCATTTTCAAGAACTTTTAAAATACTTTCGTTGATGTGGCTTCTTGACAGTTGTTGACTCATGTCTTATGTTTGGTCACCGAATTGTCATTTCAAATTTATTGCACCAAAAATTTCTCAAGCAATTTCACTCGAGAAAAATGTGGTTGGCGAGGATCACACTGGAAAATGTGGGACATCGCCGTAAATCAGGCTACAAATAGACCCGAGAGCGAATTTAAATTTATTTAACGAAGGAAGGTATTGATGAGTACGAGAGTGTGCCTCATCAAAGTCTTTGGAGACCCTGGAACGCGAGAAAAAGTTCTGACCAATAAACGTTAAACAAAAGCATTGCAAAAACATCTGGAAAATCTAGAATCGCGTGTCACAGCGTTAGTTGAACATTTACTTATACTGCGTTTGGTTTCGGAAACCTCCAGTGGTACAAAGTCATGTATAAACCCACAAATATCCTTGTTTTCCTGTATACGAGCCAACCTTGTAGTAAAGTTTTAACTCGCAGTTCGTATCTTCCCTCCCATATCACTTAACATACAGAAGTAGTTCATGTTATAGGAACTGGCTAGGAGGACAGTTTAGACGTATCGGTAGCAGACCTACCAGTTTACCTACACTCATGAAACAGCGTCCAGGACCTTCAGACCTCGCTGTGAAGTTACTTCCTTACTATTGAAGTAAAAATCCATCAGTCCACACGTTTTACTTCAGTGAGTTTTCGACACTTTTATCATCCATGGCCAGTGGTGTTAGATAGTTGGATCACACTAAGTTTTTTTAACGTCAGGAACTGCAAAAGGTGCAGTATTGCCGACTGACATCACCAGATGTTCTTGACTAATGTTTGAAGACCTTGGATTTTATGGCTCATGATAAGTCGCAGATCTACTATATCGTCCTTAGTCTTAAGTTTAGTATTCTCCCATTACTAAATTCACAATCATAATTGTCTGTACTAAAATATATTTCCTATAACTAATTTTATAAGACTACTGATACACACAGTCCAACTTGTTTGTTCCCGTCTCAGTACTTCTATCTCTGTTGATGTGCAATACAGCAACTTTGACCGATGGAAATGTAAGCCACGTTATGAATGATATGAAATTTGTGGTAAACCATTTATGTGCTATAAATCATTCATTAAATTTTACTCTTTCTGCTTTATTCTCTTCCAGAATGATAATGCTTACATATTGTTCTATGAATTACTACCTCGTGTTGGTGTATTTTTTGAAAATACACATAGTATGCTCCGATGAGTTGTTCTAAATTGATTTGTTATTTATTTATAATATATATTTTTACTTTTCAGTAAATAATAACACAATTTATCACGTTAATTTTTTGTTTGTTTCAACAATCAGATGTATATCTACATATTTTGTATCACTAATATTTAATAAAAGATAAATTCTTATCATTTTCTGGAAATAATGTTGGATATTTGTTATTTTTTAAAAAAACCTTGAACATGACAATGAGTATTTATTAAGAAGAAAGGTCAGTAAGACATACTTCTAAATGATAAGTTAGTGTGAGCGGTATAACCAACCAGTTACATATTAAATGCCCTAGTTGCGGTAGTCACCTTATGATCACTTATAAACTGTTAAGACAGCGTCTGAAAATATCTGAAACGTTACTCTATGGATAGTTGAGCTGTATACTTGGTTGGTCGTATTAATACATTGAGTCCTATTACTTACACTTATTTAAATTTACGTTTACTGTCATGGTTCGTTGGGGATTTTCCGAGAAAAACAATGTAGGACACTGTCGGTTTATTCTTGCTTAGCCAAAAACGTTTATTCAATACATATATTTCACACACTACTAGAGTGGTACGTGTGCACTTCCGATTGTTACTCGTTTTCACGAATTACTATGCCGATCCTGAAGACTTGGGAAAATTGACAAACTCTTTTGTGAGAAGACACATTCCTTTTTCAATATATATCAAAAGTCACGTTCCTAACTTTTCTAGGTTTATTTTCACTTTCTATTTCAAAATCAAACGCTTATAGAAGGAACAAAAGTAGAATGACAGGAAATGTATAATTATCAGTTATACTGATAACAAGAGGATCAACCCACTATTAGAATATGACTTGTGAAATGAAAAACCTTTTGAATGATAAAAATCGTAATTCATTATTCTACTTAGCAAACAAATAACGTTTGAAGTGATCACGAAAGCTATGGTAGAAACTAGTATTGTTTGCTCTAAAAGGTATTTTATTTAATGAACATCAATAACCTAGTAAACAATAATCAACTGAGAAATGCTGATATGTTCACATGCAAAAGAATTCAGAAACATAAGCATATAATACATGTTAGCATACGATTAGTAATCAGCTTGAACAGTGATAACTTTGTACAGCCGTTAAGAAGTCATGTTTTTATATCATAGAATAGTTATGAAAACAATCAGCGATGGTTGTAGTTTCACTATGAAACTATTAGAAATAAAATATGTGTAAACTGATCCGCAACTTCAGTTAGACCTAAAGTTAACACCTGAGATTTTGAAAAATTCGGAGATACATTTAGTGGGATATCGCCATATTCTCTCCGTTCCAGAAAGTAATCAGAAAAAATGCCGACAAAGGAATGTAAATAAGAAAACAAACTAAACGAATGTTGGTAGCTACGCTGGAATCGCTTAGGAAACAGTAAACAAAGTGCGCATGATCTTTTAGAAAAGATTCACAAAGCAAGCTATAGATTAAATTAGAACGAATCATAAAGAAACGAAAGAACCAGGTAAATAAACAAGATTAAGGGATCTCAAATATTAAGCCGGAGTGAATGAATGGGCAATAGTTGTTTCTGTAGAAGGTACGGGAGCGTCGTCTTCGAGAACTTCATCTACACTTTCTCCTCCATCACTTCTAGCACCAGTGCTTGTACAGGCACTTGCACTACTGCTTTCTGTACATGGTACTTCCGTTAGAATCTCGTCTTTGTTTGACGATGCGAAGCCTGAATGCCCGGAATCTGATGATCTTGGGGTTGGGGATAACGTGATACGTGATCCTCTCCTAGAAGACTCGGAATCCGCATTCATACCATGTGAATGTCCAGTAGAGGGATAAGTAGCAGAATTTGCATATTTTTGTGTCCACAGTCGTGCAATACGATCATGTTCTGATCTGTTATGCATGTATTGGCTAGCAATAGATCCAACAAGCGGGTCGGCAGGATTGCAATCAGTAAGTAGCGAGCAAATGGACAGTAAAACTTTACTAATGGTAAGAGCAGGAGACCAATTATTCTAAGGTACGAAAAAAAAGGTGGGATTGCTGGTTAAATGTATTTAAGAGAACTAAATATATCAACAAATATTTACTCTACACGACAATTTATCTTGACGTTAACAGATTTTACGAAAAAGTATCGTAAGAGTATGTTCAAACTCACTGGCTGACAAATATTAAGGACTAATGTTAATACAGGATCCCACTGTTGATAGGCATTTCAATCTTTTTTGTTAGACTGCATGAACTACAAAGTTATAATGGCAGTTCTTATATGCTAGGTTAATTCAACATATCATCAATAAATGAATTAAACTCCTCGGTTTTCCGAGTTATAAAAAACAATTGATTATCTGCACTACTGTTCGCTTTAAATAATTTGTTGGTTGCTTCCATAAATTTTATAATGATCTATTAAAATCTGTATAGAAACAATGTCATCGGAATCAGTCGGAACCTTTGTAAAACGTTAGCTGGAAGTTTTGTAGTGTGACTAAGTACTTGGTTGTTAGCATGCAAATGACCTTCCACAGATTGATAAGATTAACGGTAGGAAACTCCGTAAAATACTTTTTTCTATTCAGTATGTCAAAAGTAGTGACAGAATAGTCACGTTAGTGAACTGCATACAGAACCCAGTTATGGTAATGAAACCTCTATTTATAAGCTACTGTACAAATAACTTTCTTTTATATGAAGTTAGTCAATAGGATTACTGATTGCTATCATCTTCGAAGGTAAGTTAGAAGCCGAGGAGGCCTGTTGACCGAATTGACATAAGGTGTGTACGTTGAAGGCTCCAATGTCTAGTTTGGAGCGAGGTTTCAGTAGACCTGGGACAGTGTTTTGCGCACTAGAATCGTAGGCTGTGGTGACACTTGAGGAGAAAGTCGATGTAGGAGGAATAATAGGAATATGAGAGAGAGGTTGATTATGAATACAGTCGTCTTGAGTGCCGTTAGAGATATGAGGGCGGTTATCACTTTTCAGTTGCCCTTACCGTGGAAGGGTTCTTCTGGAGTTGCCTGAAAAGGAAATTGGATTTGAGGTGTTCTTAGTGATCTGAGAGCGTGACCGCAGAGCCCAAGGGACAACTGCTTGAGGTCGGTCACCAACGACCTTTTTATGGATAATTTTTGTGTTAGCTACGTACTTGTTGAGACCTTACCGCCGGAGACGGATATCCGTGAGATAACACTAGGTGTGCATTTTTAGGGCCGACCTTTTCTAACCCCACCCCTCCTTGCGGGAAGGCAGCATCGCTGTCATGCCGGTTGTCTCGAGGAAACACTCTACTGCTGTCACACCTCTGTACAGTCAGCAGTACGACTTTGGACCTAGGTTTGTTGCTTTTAGTCTGACCGCTCTTCAACCGACCTGTCTGACATGGTAAGTCTTTGAGGAACGGTTGTGCCAGCCAGTATAGCTCGGTTGCTACATCATGACAGGCAAGCCCGACCACCACGTTAAGGTATCAACAACTCTAGCAGAAGTTCAAAAGGCTATAGTTAACCTGAAACGAGGAAGGGCAGCTGGTCCAGATGGATTGGCTCCAGAGGTCTTTACGGATGGTGGTCCAATTTAAGCGATTAGGTTCACTAATATTTTAGCTAAGATCTGGGAGTACGACGTTATTCCATCTGACTGTTCACAATCACTTATCGTCCCAATATATAAGAGAGGGTTAAAATCATCCAAACTCCGCCTGGAGTCCCTCCGGGAGCCGGGGGTTAGAGTCCTCATCCCGTAGAAAACTAACTCGCTAAAAAAACGCTAACCAGAAAAAATTATTCAAACCTTTTAAACTATGCCCTGGGAGTCAGAAGGTCTTCATTTAGAAGAACTATGACGCCTCATGATGAAAGCCGAATTCCTTCGGAAGTCACGAGGCCGATGCACCTTCTGACAACCAGATCAACCATTTACTTAGGTACATGGAATGTTCGTACAATGTGGGACACCGGAAGAGCTCTCCAAATTACTGCAGAAATGAATATATACAACCTAGAGGTGCTTGGGATCAATGAAACACATTGGACGCAAGTTGGACAACAACGACTAACTTCAGGAGAGCTTCTGTTATACTCCGGCCATGAAGAAGAAAATGCTCCACATATACAACGAGTTGCATTGATGCTGTCCAAACAAGCACAAAATGCACTTATAGGATGGGAATCTCATGGACCAAAGATCGTCAAAGCCTCCTTCAAAGCAAAGAAAGAGGGCATTTCAATGAACATCATCCAATGCTATGCGCCTACCAACGACTACAATGAAGACGCTAAAGATTAATTGTACGATAGGCTGCAGTCAATCATCGAGAAGTGCCCAACAAAGGACCTGACCGTTCTGATGGGAGATTTCAATGCCAAGGGTTTGAAAGAACAACACTGGATATGAAGACATCATGGGACGACAAGGACTGGGAGAAAGGAACGAAAATGGTGAGAGATTTGCAAACCTATGTGCCTTCAATAAACTGGTCATTGGCGGCACCATATTCCCACATAAACGCATACACAAAGCCACATGGACTTCACCGGATCACACCGTGCAAAATCAAATCGACCATATTTGCATCAACAAAACGTTCAGGAGGACTAAAGAGGACGTGAGAATCAAGAGAGGAGCTGATATAGCCTCAGATCATCACTTGCTGGTCGCCAAGATGAAATTGAAACTCAAGAAACACTGGACAACGGGGCGGACAATATCACAAAAGTTCAATACGGCCTTTCTTCAGGATACTAACAAACTCAACAAATTCAAGATAGTCCTCAGCAACAAGTTCCAGGCCTTTCATGATCTACTCAATGGAGAAGGGACTACTGTGGAGAGCAACTGGAAGGGGATCAAAGAGGCAATCACTTCAACATGTCATGAGGTTCTGGGCCGCAAGAAGCACCATCACAAGGAATGGATCACTGTTGATACACTGGATAAAATTCAAGAAAGGAGGAACAAGAAAGAAGCAATCAATATCAGTCGAACAAGAGCAGAAAAAGCCAAGGCACAAGCTGAATACACAGAAGTAAACAAACAAGTGAAGAGGAGCATCAGAACCGACAAACGTAAATATGTGGAAAATCTAGCAAAGACGGCGGAAAAGGCTGCAAGAGAAGGAAACATGAGACAACTGTATGACACAACAAAGAAACTCTCTGGACA